GGGCTGAGAAAACCTACCTGCTGGGAAGGACCTGGGCTTTGGCGCTGCACCGAGATTGAGATCCTTCTCCTCCAGCTGAGAACTCTCCCACGCGCATCACCGCAGTGAGGACCGCCCCCCTCAAGGCCGGCTTCATGTCCTGGGAGTTGGGGGTTACACCGCCTACCTCTGTGGGTCACTGAGGGTTGAGTGAGGGCTTTACCTTTCTTCCCTGGTTTCTGCCCATCACCATTTTTGCCAGAAAGCACAAGACCAACTACCACATTGATGGTTAACAATCCTCTGAGATGCCTAACTTTTACATCCCCGTGATTGACAGGCCACATCTAGACTGGGCTGAACCTATACAGCTGGGATTTTGGACCCACGTACAGGACATAACACAGTGGCAGACCATGGACTTCAAACTAATGCACTGACCGTTTTTCCCCAGGCAAGTTCCCCAACCTCCCTGAACTCAGTTTGCACTCATAAAATGGGTCCATACAGTACAGCCTGATTTCCCCTCTTTCACAGTGCCCAGCACTCAGGGGGAGCTCAGGCCTTGGGTCACTCCAGCAACGACTGCTTTCTACAAAGAGGGCAAGAGGGCCTCCTCTCCACTCTGTGTTGAACACAGCACTTCAGCAGCCACAGGAGAGATGATGCCCATTGAACATGTCCAGTAAGTCATCACAGGCCTGGTCATCTTCCAGGAACCGCCGATGATGTCCATTTCGGGAGAGACCTTTCTCCAAGTTGACTTTAATCCCCACTCAGGGGACCGTAAGTGCCCAGCCAGGCTCTCCTTTGGTCCTCAAGATGTCCTGAGATCTGCCGACAGAGTCCTTGATGTATGTGTGCCACCACCTCACCTATATTCTAGTCACCTTACGGAGAATGTAAAAGGAAACAAGACACATTTAGTAACTTGTTTTATCCAAAGTCGGGGTGGTTCCAGTGACCCTCGATGACATTCCAGCCGGGGCAAGTGGCAGCCAGTGACTGTGTAGCTGTGACGCTGCTGGTCAGGGGCATGTTTTCACACTCTGCCTGCTTTTCCAAAGGGGCGAAAGGCTGAGATGCTGGGTGCCTTGAAGTTCAGCAGCTGGTGGTTCCATGTCAGCAACAGTTTCAAACACATAAACTGCTAGTAAACTGGCAATTACTGGATGACTAGTTCTCAATTTAGTACCCCTAAATGAAAATAAAGAACCTTAGCTCTACAAATTGGTATTAAACAGTAGTGTTAAATACTCATTTTCTACAAATTCCACCCCATCCACACCTTTATTGTGCAAAATGAGGTAAGCTTCGGGGACAGTGAAAGCCTCATAAGGTAAGGGTTATACCGCACACAGAAATGGCGTTAACACCTGCACAACAGTCATAGCCATTCACAGAACATCCACAATCTACCAGGCATTGGACATACATCAATTCCTTTTACCCTCAGAGACAATACTGTTATTATGAACATCATAAAAATAAGCCAACTGCAGCTCATGGAAGTGAAGTGATTTGGCCAGTGTCCCAGGTAGCGGTGGCAGAACAAGGAATTGAACCAAGGTCTACCCTACTCTTGCCCCCTCACCAGGCAACACTACCAACCAAAATGAAGCAACCCAGAGCCTGACACCCTCCCCCTGCCTCCAACTCCCTCTCCTACTCCATCTGACCCGCTTTTCCGCAGCCCAGGACACCGCCACCAAGGAGCAGCGCCGCTTATCACATGTCCTCAGCCCCATATTCACATCCTCTACGTTCCAGACTTGCACTGGTCCACCCCCTCCCCACACTCTACCAACCTCAGCAAACAGGAACTTCGCCCTCTCCTGACTCCTGTTTACGGCTGGTAAACAGTTCGGACTTGCCCTCTACTGTTCATGTGCACACTTGTCCACCGCACACCCAGATGGCAGCAGAAAGCAGATCCAATCTCTCTCCTCTGACCTGCGCCTCGTCCAGGGCGTGATGGACAAGTCAGCTCCCTTCACAGGACCCTTTCCTGGGATGGCCAATGAGGCTCCCTTGGCTCTGGCGTTCAGAGCAGAGGAAGCTGATGGGCAGACAACACGTCTCCGTGGCCAGCCCGTGTTCGCACCAGATGCTGCTCCTCCTCAAAGGGGAGCATGCGTTAAGCGTATCAGGTGCTGGGGCAGACACTTCACAAATACTTCATCTCATCTAATTCTCCTAACGACCCAGAGACGATTCATCATCCCCACTTTACGGATGAGGAAAGTGGGTCTGATCAGCCACTGCCAGAGCTGGAATCCAATTCCAGTTCTGCTCAAGTATGAAGCCAGCCTTAAGTCCACTGCACCAGTGTCAGGGGGAGAAAAGGAATACCTTGCCCACATACAGGTATGACTGAGTGTGCAATGCACTCCTAATATCTATGATCTCTACTCCCCTTCTGAAATACAGGGCTTACCTTTTAATTCCATCTTTAGGCTGTTTTCCTTCTCAAGAGGGTAGACATTCCACAGTCCCTTTTGTTACTAAAATCCTTAGGGAGTAGAACATATCTTTGACACAGGAGATTGTTTCTACCCCATTCCTGGTCATTCTAGATTGAACCCACCTACACAGTCACATCACAACCAGCTCCTAACATACACATCCTCTACGTTCCAGACTTGCACTGGTCCACCCCCTCCCCACGCTCTACCAACCTCAGCAAACAGGAACTTCGCCCTCTCCTGACTCCTGTTTCCACGGCTGGTAAACAGTTCTGACTTGCCCTCTACTGTTCACTTTGCTCTGGGACCTCCTGGAGTTGGCCTCTTCCCAGTGCACCTCCTGGTACTTGCCGGATGGGGAGAGAAGAGCCTGTTCCTTGGTCTGCCTGACTCTGAGCAGGATGCGCCGCTCTAGCCTCCCAGTACATTCTTCCGGGAGCCACACCCCCTCCACCGCCAGCTGCATGGCCTGACCCTAGACAGGTGAGGGCGAAGGGTACAATCCTCAAGACACACACCTTCACCTCACACAAACTTAATCATTTTGCAGGTTTTCTCCTTCCCTGGATCTTGTGCCACAGAGAATCCAGGATCTCGGGAAAAGGTGACATAATCTTAACTACCTCTTAGCCCGACTTGTAATTCTCCTCAACACAGCAATGGGGCATTGGCACAGCACACGCGACTCTCCGTGCCAACTCAAGTCTTGATCACCGCCCCCTTCTCATTCACTCATGTCTAGAGCAGTGATTCCTGACATCTCCAGACTTACTGAATAATAAAGCGCCACATATGCTCCTGAATGGCACCCTCCCTGCTCTAAACTAGAATGCTCACTCACCCCCCGGGGTTCCCAGCTCTGGGACATATGGCGTCCTTTCTCCAGGAAGAAGCCCCTCCAGGACTCTGAAGCCAAAACAGAAAGGTCAGCAAGACCCTGACAGCCAGTGCAGGCAACCAGAAGCCGGGGCTCCTTCTTCACAGGTGTGTTTTCCTGTTGCTTCAAGTGTCCCACTGGTTGAAAGCAAAAAAATCTCTTGTTTAAGTGACAGGGGGTATGGATCAGTACTTCACACAAACCCAGAGGAAAAAAATCCACATGGATGGAAGAGAAAAGAACCAATTAAATACCAAGAATCTAACCAAACAGCTAGCATCTGGTTCCAATGCCAAGGGGAGATACATAGAGAAACATGGCAGCAACCACGACGATGACAAGCAATTGCAAAAAGGAGAAACAATGCACCAGAGTTTACCCAGTGACATAAACACAGAACTTCTGACAATGAGGTGGCGTGTTGGTTTGCAACTGAGAAGACCATTTGTCAGAAAAGGTGGGGCAGAGGCTTCTGTGGGGGCTGGAGGAAATACTGCAGAGCCTGAAGACCGGGCGCAATCAGTCTGGCACTAACGCAGGCCAAGAGTGGACTGCTCAGAGCCAGCTTTCCTCTTCTGTAATATGGAAATGCAAATGCAAACAGCCATTGCAACAAAAGGCACCTAGATTTGAAGGCTGGCACTTAATGAGGAACAATGAAAGTACTTACACTCCCTGAGGCAGGAAAAGGGTAATGCCCAGCCTCACAAGGCCATCACAAAACTTGAGTAACAGCTGATGTGAAGCGCTCATCACAGTACCAGGCAGAGAGGGAATGGCCAGTAACTGTCTACCAAGACTTACTGAGGGCTTGCGCCACACAACACGGTTTATCTTGTCGTACTCGAGTTGTCTTCAAGATGTTCATAAAGCTAAACATGTTGCTATGTACAAATGAGCAGAGGAGAACTCCCGGCATACACACTATAATGCTAATAGTGGTTCATGGTGCTGGAAAAAGATTCTTCTTTTTGCTTTCCTGCGTTTTCCGAAATGTCCCACAATTTTTGCTTAGAGGTATATCCTATTTTTTTATGCTGAAATGCATTAAAATACAATGAAAATCAAGACATTCCTCACCAGAATCCCCTACATGAGCCATTTCTTTTGGAGATAAGAGCTGACAAAAGCTTTGCTCGCTCTGAGGAGGAGCTGACATGAGCTTTTCTTTTGAGTAAGAATTACCTGGCTTGTCCCCATCTTCACTTTGCCACCGGGGAGGGCAGAGTCCAAATTTTAGTTGATTCGATTTGCTCCTTATTCTTTGTAAGTTTCTACTTTGATTTCCCCAGTGTTGACTCTCTATTTTATACTAATTTATACTTCTTATCCTGATTTTGTAGTTCTTATTTCTATTTTACTACTTTTCTCAGTGTTCAGAACAACCCTGAAGAACAAAGCCAGGTATACACACACGTACGCACATACAAACCGCTGCTGACTGAAGGACTGCTACTGCCCCCGCACTTCAGGTTCTGTCCGTGCGTTTCAAATTTCTTGGGTTAGGAGATTAAACAACAGAATTACAACCTTTAAACTCAAGTATACTTGACGTTTTTGTTAAATGCAAAACTGCAACATCTCCCTGTAATAACATAATACCGTAATTGTAAAAGTCCTAGAAGTCTCATAACGAAAGTCATTTTTATTATTCAACTCTCAAAATTACATGTATTTCTTTCATTATAAAAAAAGTCTCCATCCCCAACTCACCCTTCTTCACCCACCCTCCAAACGAGGTGTTGCCCAAGCAGAAGTCCAGTGAAGTCCACTCTGTACCCAAAAGCGGGAAGAGAGGAGGTCCCCAGAGGCCCAGGGGCGCTGGTATCATCGCCCACACTGCAGAGCCCTCAGGCCAGGGGAAAGAAAAGAAACGGCTAACACGACACACAGGAAGACAACTGGAATGGACGGCCTGAAAAAGACATTCATAATTTATACCATTTATAAACACAGCAGGGGCCCGCCAAGGCCAGAGCAGACCAGTCATTACACAAAGGCAAGCCCAGGCCTCCCCTGCGTCAGGTCCTCCTGATCAGGGATCATTAGGAAGCCCAAACAGCTTCACAGTTCCTGCTTCCCGACTGCTGTCATATTTGCCATCTTTGTCATCACAGGCAAATGCCAGCAGAGGCCTTTTGGGGTGCCAAGCCACAGTGAAGGTCGGGGACTCACACTGCACCTCCCAAAGCTTGTCTCCTATAAAAATCAACATAGAGAAACCAATCAATACATTAATAATAAGAGACCACACTCATTAAGTACTTAGCGATATTGACTCATTTAATCCACGTAACAGCCCAAGACAGATACAATCATTACCCCACTCTACAGAGAACACCGAGGCACAGAGAGGTCACAAGCCAGTAGGTGGCAGAGCAAGATGTGAATGCAGCCAGGCTAACCTAAGAGCCTACGTGCCGACCCCCAGTCTACACTCCCTGGGAAAACAGCGAACAGCAGCCAAGGTCTGTTGCGTACCCTTAGGAATCACGTGGACAATACTCCATTCCCATGAAGTATGACAACAACTCAGCAAGACACATGGTGATTTTAAACCCCATTTCATAAAGAAATGAGCGACTTAACAGGTAAGTCACACTTCAAGGAAGCAAGAGTCAACATAGGAGGCCAATCTGTTTCCGAAGCCACAGATCTACTAAACTTCAATGCCTTCTAGTAAGAGTAATACAAGCTCTTTTTCCCAAAATTCTATTCCTCCCACCTTTGAAATTAAACATGATTTTCTAATGCTGTTATTCCTTTAATCCCGCTTAACAGTTTTTCAACTTTAGGATTAAGATCAGTGTAGTAAAACATTTACAGTGTGCTGTCAATTTAGAAATGCAGAATATCCTCTATCATACACTTCCAACTAGCCAACCACAGTATGTGAATTATATTTCAATAAAGCTTTCATATACACTTGTACATGTGTGTGTACAGGTAATGAGAGAAAGAGAGGGGGGGAGGGGAAGAGAGAGAGAGAAATTCTATTTACGGGTCAGTTATCCACTCCTCATGATGCTAGGATGTGGCAGCCTGTATCTCTATGTCTGAGCACAGTTCTGAGTTAGAGATGTAAAGAGTGTTTCAAAGAGAATGGCTACTACCAGGCCTCTAACTCCATGTCATTTGATAGGAGATTAATAAAGAAAGGTATATAGTTCAAGAAAACCACAGTAGACATGAGAAGCCTAAAATGCTTCCCAAATAACAATGTGGCTTCATGAACTTTAATATCTTCTTAGTTTATTGGAAAGTTTAATCTCTGAATGATAAATGAGGTGCTAACTGTGAGACCGACATCACTATTCCAGACCATCAAAGTCCCAACAGACTTATGCAATGTGTACGGGTGTGTCTGAAAAGCTGAAAAATAAGGGGGCTGTATTAAAATGAGGTTCCATTATACGTGTTATCAGGAATAAAATTTAAATTCTTACTTTTACATTTAACCATTAAAAATACATAGAATACAAAATTATACCTAATATATAATTCCAACAGAAAAAATATATACTATGTAGAAGGAAAAGACTAACCACAAGAAATATACTAAAATGTTAGCGATGATTATCTCTAAATTATGAACCTATATCTTTGTATTTCTCCTTTATATTTGTTAGCATTTTCCAAATATTCTATAATGAGCATGTATTACTCTTATTTTACAAACTAATCTGTAAAGACATGTATTACTGCATAAAATCCAAACAGGTCAAGGCTATAGAGCAGCACCGTACAACCAACACTTCCGTGACAGAAATGTTCTACATCTGCACTGTCTAATACAGTTCCCATGGACCACCTGGCGCTGCCTGGTCCCTGAGAGGTGCCTAGGATGGCTGAGAAACTGAATTTTTAATTTTGTTTAATTAGTTTCAGTGAAAACAGACCATTTAAATTTATTCTTTTTCCCTATTTAAGTGTTCCCCTAATCTTACAAGTCTGATCTAAGTTCTTCTAAATTTTCTAAGTTTTCAACCAATTTCAATTTAGTTTTTTTACCTAAGTAACACATCACATGCATGGTTGGCTACTTGCTTTGCTCACTCAGTACTACACCTTGTGCATGTTCCATTTCAGCACAGAGTTATGTCTTTCTCTTCGCACACTGTAATATGGATGTATCACAACTTATTTCATTAGTCCACCATAATGAAAATTTAGACTGTTTCCCATTTACGCATTAAAATGTTGTAAATAATATAACTGTGCTTTACTTTGATAATCATCTTACTTTTAATTTTTAACCTAGGTTATAGAGAAAACTTCTGTTTAAAACCCAACATGTTATGCCCTGGCTGGTGTGACTGAGTGGATGGAGCCCCAGCCTGCGAACCAAAGGGTTACTGGCTCGATTCCCAAAGGGTTACCAAAGGGTCAGGGGACACGCCTGGATCGCAGGCCAGGCCACGAGTAGGGGGCAAAAAAGAGGCAACTACACATCGATGTTTCTCTCCCTCTCTCTCCCCTTCTTCCCCTAACAAGAAATAAAATCTTTAAAAAAAAATAAAAATAAAACCCAACATGTTAAAAGTATTTGTCTAAATAATACTGTGTCAACTATAACTAAAAAGCAATTTTAAAAATAATCTCAAAAAAGTATTTTTTGAACCATTTAGAAAAAGTAATACAGCCACATTTAATACATTCCTGAAAAAGTGTATGTGAATTAAATCATAATTTACATATATTAGATAGCATAGAAAATTAAAAGAAGCTTGCACAAAGACAGCATGGGAAAAACAGGTACACGCACGCACTGCTGCCAAAAGCAAACTGCAGTAATTTTTCCATAATATGGTTTGGTCCTACACAAAATGCAAGCACACTGGACTCAGCAATCCTGCTTCAACGGTTTATGCAAATGGATGATCACATAAGTAAAACGAAGTACATAAAGGACACTCACCACAGCATTATTTACAACACTGCAAAAATTAGAAGCCACTAACAGAAGAGTGAAATGGTATATAGAATGGAAGTAAATCCCACTCAAAGTGGCAGTAGGCTCAGCAGCCACTGCTATAAGGAGCTATAACATTCTGCAGGTGAGGCCGGTGGCCATAGAATAACAGGTAAGTATCCCGGCATCACAGGAGCTGTGCGTCCAAGTGGCTGGACCATGCCCCACAGTGTTAGCAAGTGGCATTCTTTAAATCGTGGAATTTCAAGTTTTCTTCTTTGAAATTTTCTATGTAGTTTGAATTCTTTTACTAAAATACAACGTGTTCCCAAAAGCAATACAGCTACGTTACAAAATAAAACCAATGTCACTCCAATAAATTCAATTAAAAAAATAAGGAAATTCTTTTGTAAAATAATTATTCTATTTTTCTATTTGCAAATGCTGTTTTGTTGTTTCTAGAGCAAATCACATCCACTTCAGTAATTCCTTAAATTACAGATACATATATTCACATATAGACAAAACATAGAAAGAAATACACCACAATGCTAAAAAGAGGTAGCGGTTAAATGGTGGGACCGAAGATAACACTTTTTTCTTCCTCCTACTTCCTGTATTTTAAATTTTTCATTATAATTAAAGGATTAAAAAGTTAATAAAATGCAAAATATTTTCCTAAATCACTTTCCTTCAGACCTGCCCCTGCCCTTCCTGACCCTTTGCTCCCTCATTACCTGACTGTAACAGTCATAATACACTTGTCCCAAGGAGACAAATTCATCTAGGCTAATGCTGATGGAAGTAATGATGTGCAGAAATGAAAACACAGGGCAAGAGGAGCCCTGACGGCCAGAGGTAAAGACAGGAGACTCTTGTTAAGGTAGGGAGGGTTTGGTTACCTGTTTCTACTTCAGCAATGTCAATAAAATGATCTTCCGATGCTGAGGCCAGCATCTTCCCATCATGGCTGAAACTTAGGGTCCTCACAGGCCAATCCAGCCTATAACACAGAGGGAAAAGGAGACATTAGAATAGCCTAACAGCACAGGGATGTCAAGTACGGCACAGAGAATATAGTCAATAATATTCTAATAGCTGTGTATGGTGCCAGGAGGGTACTAGACTTATCGGGGGACCTCTTTATAAGTTATAAGAATGTCTAACCACTATGCTGTACAACTGAAACTAATACAATATTGAATGTCAACTGTAATTGAAAAATAAAAAAAATTTAAATAACCTCCTAAGAAGGCACAACTTCACCCAAAATGAAATAAAACTATCCAACAAGGAAAGTGCTGGCAGAGAAGCTGACCTGGAAAAGCACCGCACACACACTAATTCATCCACATCCCAGAGGCTGACCAATGCATCTGCACTTCCTGTGGCAAAGTACTTCCCCATGGGATCAAACTTGATACAGATGCAGTTAGAAGGGTGGGCATTGATGGACTGCACAGGCTTCAGCTCTGGGTAACTGCGAAACAAGACAGAGAGCAGTCACACTGTGGGAAGAGGACTGTGGTGCTAAAATAATGGGAGACACTGAAGGAGAAAACCAAAAACAGCAGAACATCAAAGGCTGCAACAATTCAAGAAACCTTTCCTGAAATACAGATCCCAAGCAACATACTGAAACAGCACACCAACCCCCTCACCTGAGGATGTTGATACAACCATTTCCATTTGTCAGGAAGAACATGTTATTGTCATTGTTCCAGGAGATTTCATTGACCTCAAACTTGAACTGCTCCTCCGCTTTCGAACGGTGTGTCTTGGCATCAATAAAGGTCACCACATCATCCTTGTTGCCTACAGCAATGGTCTGCCCATCGGGACTCCAGCAGATATTGATGTTCTCACCTAGAAAACCAGGTATGATTAGTCAGATAATCTGTTTGCCTAGAATCCTCCAAAAATTTATTCTGTTATCCTAAAAGGAAGGCCGGAGTTGTCTCCAGAGCGCATGCATTAAGGTCATAGTTAATGAAAGGCAACTAGCACCTAAGTATCAGCAACTGTGAGTCAGGCACATTCGTCTGCAAATTTGCCCATTTGGTCCTCACAATACGCTATTTATTAGCAATTCATCATCCGCATTTTACAGATGAAGAAATGGAAGAGAGATGAGCCAAACTGTCAATCCTTGAAGTAACAGAGCCACCAGATTTGGCTCCAAAGCCTTTTATTCTCTTACACCAACATTTCCCAAACTCCCACCATTCACATGCCACTTTCACTTTTGTCCTATCCATGTAACAGCTGTACTTTTCTTTACTGAAGAGTTTTCTTAAAAGTGACTCCAAAAATGTTTTTAGTTTATTAAATTTAGCAATACATTCAATGAGCTGGTTCTTTTTTTCTAATAGACATTAAAACATATACATAACCAGGTTTTAATGTTCATCCACATACTCATAAATCACTATGTATCACCAGTTGTATATTTGGGGAAATCACTGCATCATTCCTCTTACAGGTATGAGTCTTTTTTTTTTTAATTTAATTTTTTCCATTATCATTTATCCCTCTTATAATCCCTCCCAACTCCATCCATCCCCCACCCCAAACTGGTACCAGTCTTATCAACAAAGTCCAATGGCCCACACTGAACACATCAATTCAAAATTTCATCAACTTTACCAATTCTAAGATGCAGATTATTTTTCACATTTTATTATCTATGATGCATCTTAAAATGCATCAAATACATCTTAAAATTTTTAGTGTACATGGTTATCTGGAAGCTTTCTTTCCTAAAAGAACTTAAAATATTTGTGCATCTTTTAATCAGTGACATCTTAATCAATATGGTAAATTACCTCTATAGGACAATACTTGGTGAAGAACAGAGTCTACAAAAGCATTTCGTAACTTCCAGGTCACCTTCTCCCAGACCACTAAGACCATCCAAGCTTCAGCCACGCTAACCGATCATCAGTTTCCCCAATTCTCCATGCCTTTGTGCACGCTATTTCCTCCCAAAGCTGCCCTACCCTCCCTCTGCACCCTGACCACTAACTTCCTATGGCTATTCGGACTCTACTCAAATTCCATGAGGTCTTGCCTGTCTTCCCCCAGGCAGACCTAAGCATGTCCATTCTGGGATCTACCTTACAGACATCTCCACTCTAAGATGAACCATGTCGTATTTTGTTAGGGTTTTTTTTTGTCGTTGTTGTTTTTCAATGAATTACGTCCCTCTCCCTGCACTAAGCTGTGATGTCCGCGGAGCTCAGGATGTCCCATAACACCAGGCTAGGCACAGAGAAGATATCTGGAAAATGCCTGTTGAATGAATATAAAAGTGGCTTATCTTCCTATTGCCCTCGCTCTGAAGTCACCTTTAGTGTTCACAGTAGCGATGCATTTGGTAGTCCTCACATCCCAGATGCGAATGGTTTTGTCTCCAGATGCGGTGACAAAGAGGTCAGGATTACTTGGATGCCAACAAAGCTGGTCCACGCTGTCACCATGTCCACGGTAATTGTTTTCTTTGACCTGAAAGAACAAGATCCAGGTGTAATTTCACACAGATGTACCTGCCTCACATGTAACTCCTTAACCTCATTCAACCAAGGCACCTGTGACCAACAAAAAAATTAGAGCATTAAAGAGTCCGGATCTTCCAAGCTTCTTCCCCAAAACTCTTCCCAAATCCCTCCTTCCTTCCTCCGCAATCACCCTGAACCACCTTGAGGCTGGATTCCACCTCCCCGCCATTACTCTCTCGCTGGTCCTGACCGTCCCTCCTCCTCCTCTCTGGTTTTCCACCCTCACTCTGCCACCAAAGTTCCCAAGGCCCCTGCTCATCCCCACAAGAGGCCCTATCGGGGCCAAAGGGGCCCGCCTCACCAGACAGGGACCCCACAACAACAGCCCCAGCCCCCCCTCACCACAACAACCCCTCCTACCACCCTGCCACCCCCGCTCCCGCGCATCTTCACCCCTCCTTACCACTACACTTCCCACACGCCCCTTCTGTCCCCCTCACCACCCCGGCGCGTACCCCCGACACCCCCGCACGCCTCATTCTCGCACCACACACCCCGCTCGTCCACGCCCCCTCCTAACCTCACTCCTCTCGGCCCCCCTCCCCGCCACTCTCTTCCCACCACCACACCTGCTACCCACGGCCCCTCTCCCAGGCCTGGGCCGGGCCCTGGCGGCTCACCAACCGGTCCTTCTCTAGCAAGAAGACGCTGGCTGTCTTGTCGAAGGACCCAGAGGCCAGACGACGCCCGTCGCAGCTCCATGCCACCGAGTGCACCTTGGCACTGTGCGCCGGGAACTCGCGCGTCTTGCTGTGGCCCCGGAACAGCTCCTGCATGCCGAGCACGTAGCGCGTCGGGCCACTGCTCACTGAGCACCAGTGGGCCATGGAGCCGGGGCCACTCTGGCCTAGCGCCGAGGGGCCCAGGGCCGCCGCGGGTGCCGCCATGCCGAGCTCCCACACACCCGCACGGAAGCCACCACCTCAGTCCAGTCAGTCCTGCCGCCGCTGCCGCACGCATGCGCTCGGAAGAGCGGCGTCTCTCTTCTGCGCAGCCGCACTGTGACCCACCGGGAACTACAAATCCCGCCATGCAGTGCACGCCAGCCTTTCCCTTTTCAAACAGTAAGGAACCGGTTTTAAATGTGGTGCAAAGGTAACGATTCTGAGGTTATTAGGGTTCCTAGTACCCGCTTACCTACTGCTTGGTAAGTACATTTGTGTTAATAAAAAACAGAAACCAACGCTATCCTTCTAAGCCTCAGTTCCCCCCTCAGTTAAATATATATATATTATATATATTTTATATATATATAATATATATATACTTCTAGGGTTGCGGCCCACCCCTTAGCCCCCTACCGTAGAGCAGAATGCCTTGGCTTCTTGATGGAGAAGGACGAGCGGGTGAGCTTGTCCCAAGTAAAGAGCTAAGGGGGGTTCGGGGGAGGGGGTGTTGAGAAGGGGTCTGGAGGTTTTTTTAAATACATTGTTTTTAAAAGATACTATATGCATATGATTATATATGCAAAAATACAAAGGAGACCTACTGAAAAAGTAAATGTCCTTATTCCCCTACCCTTCACACACCTACTTGTCCCACGGGTCCAGCAGCTTCTACCTGAAGAAACCAGTGGTGACCTGTCAGCAACAACCAAGACCCTAAAGAAGGGCTATGGGCTAGGAGAGTTTTTGGATGGTGAGGCGGTGGCTGGAAATTTGTTTAAAAACAAATCGTTTATGAATTTACAGCTATCTCGAAACAAAAAGTTTAAAAACAAAAAAAATGTTAAAGGTAACACAGACACTGGGTAGCAAATGTAAAAAGTACCAAAAACAGAGTGAAAAGGAAGTTTCCTTCCCTCATGTGTCCCCAAATTCCCCTTCAGAAACATATTGTTAAGTTACTTGTGGGCCTTCCAGAAACAGCGTAAGAATAGATAAACACCTTGGGAAAGGTACGTAGATAGGTATATATCCTTCCCAACTGGCCCCCCCAAAGCATTCTGTTCCTTACATATCTTGCTTTCTATAATATACACATATAAGAAATCATTTCTTTTTTGTATATGCAGATGTCTCATTCCTAATGGATGCAGTATTTAATGATATGGATGTATGCTCATTTACACATGCATATTCAACTAAGTATTCAACTGATTCCCTTCACGGACATGGACTCGCTTACAGTACAATGCTGCAGTGAATATCCCTATACAAAGTTCATTGTGCATACATGCTCTTTTTTAGTTGAGTACGCATTGCCAAAACACCCGTGAAGAAGTGCTCACAATCATTTCCCCCAGCAGACTAGGGACGTGTCATAAGATACTGCACAAGTCCACACAGAAAGCTCTAAGAAGGGCCTTAGGAAACGAGCCCCTTTCTTTCCCCAATTCCCTTTCTACCCCACGGCAACCAGAAATTCTTGGAGACCACAACCCTTTTTAGACTCCAAAGAAAACCAAGGAAGTCACTAAAATCTTGGAGTAGGAGAGTATTTGGTGTCTAGTTTTCCCTCCTTAACTTTCATTTTCAGGAATCTTTTCCATATGCTAGCATATTTTTTATCCTAATACACTGACAATGTCTACCTCCCAGACCCAGGAAACTGAAGAACAAAGAGATAAAATGTCCCACTGCAGGTCACATGGCTAGTATGTGACAGAGCAAAGATTAGAATTCAGATGTTACTGACTCCAAAATCTACCTTCTGTTTCTTAGTATCTGAAACCTCCATTTTATATAGATTATTTTTGGTATTTCTGTATTAATTTTGCATTTGTATGTTATATATGGTTTTTATTTCATTTTCCCATGTGTTCTTTTTCTATATTCTGTAAACAGAAATGTTAGGATCTACTATACTTTTCATAGTGACTGATACAGAATAAATAATCAAAAAAGGCTCACAGTAACAGGCATGGCAGTTTTGTGGTGGTTTATTTCAAAGCTTTAGTTGATGGGTCTTTGTTCCCTCAGACCTGATATAGCTGCCTTACCAGACAGCTAAAACCACCAGCTTCAACAAAAATCACAAGAGCTGCCTGTTGAGGGAAGTAGGGTTAGGACTGACTAATGGGGTGTGATACATGTGTACTGTATATAGGAATCCTGTATGGTTTGAAGGATTCACAAGAAACCCTATTTATTTAGATATTTAGCCTTGGGAAGAGCTAGGAAAGGGAGGGTGGCTTTCAACTTTCACTTTTTATTTTGTATCTTTTTGTAGTATGCATTTTCTAATCTCATAGATATGTTTCTTTTAATTTTACAAACTGTTCATTGTAAGATTTCAAGGATAGGAGAATGTGATACTCTTGTTTGCTTCTTTGTGCTTTTCTATAAAAGGAGAAGAGCAAATGTCATACTATTTTAAGAATATTATTATGAACCGATAAAATGGACCATGTAGATAATGTAAATCTTTATTCGCTGACAGAAAACTGTAAAGGCATATTTCTTGATTTAAGAAAGCCAGTTGCAGTACAATGTGTATAGTATGATTCCACTTACCTAAAATTATCTACACATTTGTACCTGTGAGTATCGACCATTCAGAAATGTCTGGAAAGATGTTATCAAAGCGTGATATGGTTACACATTCTGCATTGTAACCATTCTGAATTGCTTAGTTTTCTCAAAATGAGGATGTGTCATCTTTGAATGTCGAGGATAAAGCAAAATCTTTACAAAGCCTTTGACATCTACTTGATATCCCAGCAAACTAGAAGCTGGGAGGGAAAAGGGGAAAGGATAAGAAAATTATTTACATAAAATCCTGTACGCTGAGAGGCTCCCTACTAAAGCAGTCCAGAAAAGCTAGGAGTGACCTAAAACTGGGAAATGATGCCTAGAATCCAGCGGGGGGGGACAGAGTGTTCCCTGGTTCAGGGGAGAAACCTGAGCTGGCTAGTGTTAGCATAAACAATAGCAGATCTGCAGGCACCAACCTGCCGTCTGAGCAAGAGAAAATGAAAGAAAAAAACCTTTTAAAGATGTATACTTACTCAGAAAAATCCCCATTAATAAGGCCAGAAGCCTATTACTTAAAACATTTTTACTGCAAATGATGGTTTCAAACTTCTATACTAAAGTAGACTTACTCTTTGGATAAAACAAAAAATACATCATTTTGATAAGTACATATGAATACCAGTAAATATACAGAAAAACTCTAGAGGAATTAACATGGAAGCACTAAGGGAGGGGAATTGGAGTCAGGATAGAGGAGTTGGTCAAAGGGGCCTTTGACCTGGTCTGTAACATTTTAATTTGTTAATAAAAGGTAAACAGTCACATATTTTTATTGCAGTAAAATATACATAAAATTTGCCACTATCATCATTTTAAGTGTGCAATTTCAGTGGCATTAGAACAGTGATAATATTGTACAACCAGCACTACTACCCATTTCTAGAACTTTTCATCGTACCAAACAGAAATTTTGCCCATTAAGTAACTCCCTATACTCGCTCCTTCCAGTCCCTGATAACGTTTATTCTATTGCCTGACTCTGTGAATTTGCCTGTTGAAGTACCACATAGTAGTATCATGCAACTAATATCATTGGTAGAATCATACAATATTTGTCCTCTCTTGACTGGCTTATTTCACTTAGGACAACGTCCTCAAGTTTCTTGCATGTTGTAGCATATGTCATAATTTCCTTCCTAACCTTGAGGCTGAACAGAATTTTGTGGTGCAGGCAGGCCATATTTTACTTACCCGTTTATCTGCTGTGGACACAGGTTTTTTCCATCTTTTGGCTATGATCAATAATGTCGCTATAAAGATTGGTGGATAAGTATGTTTGTGTACTTGCTTTCAGTGCTTTGGGACAAATTCTACCTAGGGGTAGAATTGCTAGACCATATGGTAATTCCATGTCTAACTTTTTGAGGAACTGCCAAAATGTTCTCCACAGCAGCTGTGACATTTTACATTCCCACCAGCAATGCATGAGAGTTCCAATTTCTGCATATCATCACCAACGCCTGTTTTCTGGTTTTTTGTGTGTGTTTTTTTTTTAAATAATAGCCATCCCAGTGGGCGTGAAATGGTAGCTCATTGAGGTTTTGACTTGCGTTTTCACATATAATTTTTTCATGTATAAATTTTCAACTGAAAATTACCTTTAAAAAGAAAGTAAGGGATCAGGGTTTGTTTTCTTCATTCGCGGACTAAGGGATATCTCCTTCCCCGCAAAGCTCTGCGAGGACAGAAGCCATGGCCATCGTGCCCACTGTTACATCCCCAGCCCCTAACGAGGCGTCTGACGCCCAGCAGGCACTCAACAAATCCAGTATTCACTGGACGAATAAATACCTGTGTTAGGCTCTCAGTTTACATGGGATTAATGTGTGATCTGAAGGGAACAAGTCTATGAAGAAGACATGAAAAACACACACACAAATATTGTTCAGCCTTAAAAAAAGAAGGAAATCTTACCATTTGCAACAAAGTGGACAGAACTTGTGGACATTTCGCCGAGTAAAATAATTCGTACAGAGAAAGACAAATACTCTATGATCTCACTTATATGTGGAATCTAAAAACATCAAACTCATGGAAACGGGGCATCGAATGGAGATTGCCAGGTTCGTAGGGGAGGGGAGGTAAACGCGGAGATGCTGGTCAAATGCACAGACTTTCAGTTCCAAGATGAGTAAGTATTAACTGTAGCATCTTGCCTACAGTTAATAATCTGTATTGCTTACTAGAAAGCTCCTATGAATGTAGAGCTTTACTGTTCTCACCATAACAATTTAAAAACTGTAATTATATGAGGCAAAAGGACATTTAACTAACCTTATTATGGTAACTATTTCACAATATACCATATACACGTATCAAAATGACAAATTGTACCCCTTAAAAACTTCTTTGATGTTACATGTTAATTATATCTCAATAAACCTGGAAAAGATAAGGCATTACTCAGAAAAAAGAAAAGAAAAATACACTAATTTCTGAAAAAGATACTGTCATTTTGGACGTCTTGGGTAAACAGCATATTTCAAGATGTATCCAGGATGGCAAGGAAAACATCAGTGACACTACTTACAGTTTTCAGGAAAGCAGGTTCAGGGCCGGTATTCATCCAGCTGGGTTGCCAGATAAGGACAAGGAAATTTTCAAGTGTACTCATATTTTACAACCATAAACCCTGTGTTTCCTGAGTATCAGACAGGATGGCTGATGAGAAAGATATATATTATAGTCAAGCCATAGTACCACTGAAGTCATATCACTATTTTTATGCTTGACAATCAGCTACCAATATAAGTCACTTTATCATAAATTCTACAACAAAAGAAGGTATTTGAATTTTTCCCAATTAGTTCATCTACCCATGGATGCACATTACTTGTTGTAGATGGCAACTGTCCATTACTTCTCCCCAGCTAAAGAAAGTTCAAAGTGCAGCAACTATTCCTCTCCTCAATCCCAAGCCAAGGACTTGTCTGAAAGTCACTGAACCATTGACCTGGACAAGCCCCCGATACCCTTGGGGGTGAGGAAAGGAGGAGAGAGAGAGCTGGTGCTGAGAGAGGGGCTTGGAGATCCGAGCTGCCTGCATGCCCTTCCTCCTTGAATCCCGCATGGAAACTCCCCCTGTGTGAGTCAACTGGAGAGCACAGAAGGTGGCGGCTGAGGCGAAAGCTTCTGCTGGCACCCCCCAAAAAGCCCCTCCAGGCAACGATCCCCCATCAACAAATGGTTGCCCCTGGTGGGGATATCCAGGAGAAAGGGGTTAAAGCTGATCTCCCCTAGATTAGGGAATGCACATAAGAGGCCCCAGAAAGTAATGCTGAGCCCAGCCCAAGTAAGAAAGCTGGCATCTGGACTCCTGACACACGGGGAACACAGTTACTGACGTAGCGACAGCGAGCGGAAAGAGAACAGACAACTCTCCGTGCACAGTGTTGCAGAGAACACTCTTTCCCCCTCCTCCTCATCCCTATCTGGGAAGAACAAGAGCCAAGGAGAGAGGAAGGGAATGACGCGTTATCACTCCTCCACTAAGAGCTGTGCAGCCCTGTGTCCACCTGCCCCAGGAGAATGGGAAGAGGTATGAATATGAAATTAACGATCTAAAATAGGCAGGCCTAAGTCATAATACCTGGCATGAGACCGTAGTAGTTACAGAAAGTGACTGCGCAGTTATGGGACCAGATCACGTGAAGTCCTCCACGACTCTGTCCAGCCAACTGAGCCCCACCAGCCAGGGCCAGGCCGCTAGTTTTCAACGTGTAGTCCCCTGATAGCAGTATAAACAATAGCTGGGAGCTTGTTAGAAATGCAAATTTTGGGGCCCCACCTCACAGAACTGAATTAGAAGCTCCAGGCCGGAGATGGGGACACAGAAATCTGTGCTTTAACCAGCCTCTTCTGTGATTCTGAGGCTCACTAAAGCCTGAGAGGCTCAGCAGAAGACAGGGTTAGATAGCACCTGGTAACGATCTCTTTAGGAACTGATTCCCCTTCTAATACACACAATTACATTCGGACCTGTCAATATTTACATTTCACCTAGTTGCTGGAGCCTGAGAGGGAGGAATTTGTCAATACCCCACATTTATTGTAACACAGATCCTATCCTGATTTTAATGATCTTGCCTAACAGCCAACCACCTATCACGTCTCCCTTTACTGGGTATATCTTTCTTCATCGTTATGGTCATTCATAACATCTAACTATTCAAGCGTATACTACCTCATGCATTTGTGCATTTTTTTTTTTCAGTTTCTGATCCTACTACCAATTGAACAAGTCCCTAAATCTCACAGTTTAAATCTCTGAGCGACATGGATTGTTTGTGAAACTGCAAATTGGAACAATTTGGGAGAGTAATTTGGCCGCGTTTATTGAAACTACGGAAACGTCGCCTTCGACCCAGTAATCACATTTCTGCGAATTTTTCTTACAGATGCACTTGCATATGTGTATCAAGAAATGCGGCCTCCCTCCTTTGACTCAGCCCCGCTCTCAGCCGCAGGCCAGGTCGCCCACGGGAAAGACCCGCCGGGCTCAAGGAGTGAGGCCAGATTAGTCTCAGTCCTGTTCACACCTCCCTTCACACTGCAGTCGGGAGCCCCTGGGGAAGCGCTCGAAACCGCCGTTTCTCACCCCCGCCTTCAACACCTGCCCAGAAGGGCTGAAGCTTGATTTTCTTTTTTCTTCTCTTCGATAAGACAGGGTGAGTGCCACCACGAAGCTCAGTGACCATGGCCTTGACCCGGCATCAGGCGGCCGGCAGCCCGCGGCCGGCAGGGGCGGGGCCCGGGAGGGGGCGGGGCCCGGAGTAGGCTTCTGGGGAGGGAAGGGGCGGGGTTAGGGGCGGAACTCGGGCGGGAAGGGGCGGGGCCGGCGGGGGGGATGGCCCGGTTTGTTGCCGCCGCGGCCGCCGTCTCCTCAGCCGCAGGAACCGAAGTCGCTGTCGCTGCCGCGGTCTGGGTCGCCAGCCGCCCGCTGGCTGGTTCGGCCCGGGCCCGCAGCCATGGAGGACTTCATCGTGATCTCGGACGACAGCGGCTCCGAGAGCTCCGAGGGCACCCGCTCGGGCCGAGCGCGGAGGCTGCGCCGGGCCCTGTCCCGGACCTCCGGCGCGCTGCCCCGCCGGACCGTGGTGAGTGAGCCAGCCGCCGCGCCCGCAGCGCCGCCTCTGCTGGGGCCGCGCCGTTTAGCGACCGTCGGCCCGGCGCGCTGTGCCCAGCGCCCCCGCCGCCCCCGCCGCCCGCCCAGCGGCGCCTCCCGGCTGCAGCCCGTTCCCGCCTTGCCGCCTTTCGCGCAGCTCCGGCCTTGAGGAGCGCGGCAGGCCCGGGCGGGGATGGCCTCCGGGCTCCGCGTTCAATCCCGAGCGGCCGGAGGCTGAAGAGGGGCAGCCGAGCACATGCGCGACGTCCCACAGCAGGCGGCCGCCTCAGGCCGGGCCGTGGGCTTGCCCGCAGCCTTGAGGGGCGGGGGCGGGGGTGGGAGCTGGGGGTTCAGGGGGCCAGGGAGTCCTTGGGGGAGTCCCCGACCTCGAGGCCGGCACGCGGGAGCGTGTAATTGTCTGGCTCGTGGTGGGTGCAGATGTGTGCAGGGAGGTAACGGGAGCCAGGGCTGGGGGTGGGGGAGCGGCGAGGGGGGAGGGAGCGGCGGGCCTGGGCAGATGGTGGCGGCGCTCCAGGGCCTGGCAACGGAGTGAGGGGCCGGCCTCGGAGTTGTGCAGGAGGGCGATTGTGTCGCTTGGCAAACATTTACCGAGCTCGGGAGGAACAGAGAGGGAAACATCTTGCACGTTTTCTTTTTCCCTCGGCATCCTTAGTCTTTGTCCTCCTTCGGAGATCATGACTGAAACCTCTGTGGTCCCTGCCTTTCTAGAACCCTCCACACGTATTTATTGGACCCCTAGTATGGGCCAGATGTTTTGCCGGGGTGGGGGGGCGGACACGATGGAGAGCGCGACGTCCGTGGTCCCTCTCATAGAAGGTGACACACTCCACAAGCGGCTGCCGAGTGCTCAAGGGGTAGGAAGTGGACAGGCCTTCTATCAGAAGACTTCCAGCAGCACCGGACTTACGACAGTCTCCTCAGCCTCCCAAAGCCGCACCCCAGGAATGAAAGGATGGTCGCCTGTCTTCATATGCAAATACTCCTTCAAGACAAACCTCTGCTCCTTCAAACCCCTTCCCAGCCTCTTTGCTCCCTAAGCCTCCATGGGAGCCCCTTCTGTGTCCCAGGTATAATGGTCACGAGAGAATGAATGACATGCAAAACCAATGAACACATAGTGCTGCGTTGCCATGGTTCAGGCACCAGGGGTTCCCAATAAATCTCAGTAGAGAATTTAGATGAGTGGACAGATGGGAGATTTTCAAGGTAGAAGCGATCCAGCTTGGTAGGTGAATGGATGTGGCAGTGTGGGGGACAAAATCAATCCGCAACACATATTTGTTGGCTACAATAATAATGACTGAAGGAATAGGGGAGAGAGCGCAGTTGAGGCGGATGTTTGATAGGGGAGAGCAAGTTCAAGAGTAAGAGCAGGCTTGGTGTGGCGGGGATGCTGCGCTCATTCTGCACCCACTGGGTTTGAAGGGCTGACGGGAAATGTGCATGGATGTGGCCCACACAAGGAAATTGATCTCCGCAGATCAGGCAAAAGGGAGAGATTTGGTGATTATCCAAATAGAAAGCACAGAGGGCCTAAGAGTGACTCAGATCACCAAGGAAAAGATAGGGAGAGGAAAAAGGTGGAAGGAAAAAATACTGGGACGGACTCACAGCTGCCTTTCCTTCAGGTTCCTTGTCTTTCCTACTGCCCCTTCTTCTCAGTCTTCCTTGAACTTGGTCCTCCTCATCCACTTCCATTAGTCTCAAGTGCTGTCTCTCTTTCTTCCTCTTAGTCCAGCTTCCTTCTTCAAGCACACGTAGCATCCTTATCCCAGTCTGCTATGTCTCTTGTGGCCCTTCCCACACATACGTGGACACGCTCTCTAAATGCTCACCATCCCATGACCACCCAACTAGGCATTTTGCTTTTGAGCCTTCTGAGTTGAAGGGAAATGAAGGGCAAGTTCCAGAGAGTAAACTATCTCTAGACATTTTAGTACAGCTTTCTAAAAACACCAAGCTTTTCTTTTATCTCTCTTGCCAAGTAGATAAGGGTGGTAGGATAACCCATATAAAAGATCAAAGGCATTGAGAGACTTGCAAGGTTATAAAACCTCAAGAGCCTTTGTCTAGCTTTTCCTTTTCCTGAAGGCCCTGAGGTCAGATATACCTCTGTAAATGATGACCTCAACATACCAGCCATCTGAACTTTGGCCAGTTCTGTCACCTCTCAGCTTTTGCTCTTGGAAACATTAATACCTACCTTGCAGGATTGTTAGAAGATTTGCAACACGGTAATGCAAGGAAAATGCCTGGCATAAATGAAAACTTTTGCTACGCTCTGTGTTGTTTCTCAGCCAAGTCTGACCTTCTCAAGGATGGCAGGCAATGAAAGAAAAGAAACAAGTTTTATAATTTTTTTTTCTTTTTTATAATACTCACTGCGGGTAACCAACAGGCCTGAATTCAGGAAATCAAAAAGGTATCTCCAGTACTGTAGTTAATATTTCTGAACTACTGGTTCTTAACCTGGGCTTCAGTCTTCACTAAGTTGATGAAGTGTGTTTGTGTTTTTGATAATCTTTATTGCTTTTTCTTTTCCACGCAGACCATGTACATATAGTTGATTAATTTTTGTTGACCTATTACAAAAAATTTTAGAAATATATATAAAGAAGAAAATTAAAATTGCCCTTAATCTCACTATGTCTGTCTGGACTTTTATCTGTAAATGTGTATGTACACTCATATGTACCCACGTGTCCCCCAATACATGTTTTTGCAAGTAAAGTCTTGCTATATATGTGTTCTTTCAGCTTTTCTTTTTCTGTTAATGTATTTTTTATCTCTTTCCACACTAATAAATACATGTCTTTACCAATATTTTTAGTGTATTTCATTGTACAGATTTATAAGTTATAACCTATCATGCTGATTGTTTTTAAATTTTCTCTGTTATAAACAACCCAGTGAGGAATTCCCTCATAAATCTTTGTACCCTTGTTCATTTTTTCAATTAGGGTAAGATCCTCTGAGATGTGAGATTGCTGAGTCAAAAAGTATAGCACCCTTTGAGGACCTTTGACATATATTACCAAACTTCCTACCAAAATTGTGCATCAATTATAGTCTTATCATACCCCTTTCCTCATTATCTACTTACCCCACCCCTAGATATTGGCAATTTCTTCAGTAGATATTTATTGAACACCAGGCTGTTATAGGTGCTGAGACTACAGCTATGAACTAGACCAAGCCCTGCCCTCATGGAGATTTCATTCCCGTCAGTGAGAGACAAATAGTAAACAACTACGTAAGTATAGTATTAGGTGATATACAGTGTTAGGAAGAAAAATAAGGCCTTTTCATTCTTATCTTTGCTGATTTGATAGACAGATTGTGTGAGCTATCATGTTTTGACTTTTTTCTTTGGTTGTGACTCATTTTTTCAATAAATACTTGTAGAGCATCTGCTTTGACTCTGGGGGCCAGAGGTGGACAAGATAACAATGGACCTACATTCTCATGGAGAAAGACAAACAATACACAAATAAGGGAACAATTTAATAGAAAGTAACTTGGATGGGGTTGGATACATTGATTGTGTTTTCAAAGAATTCCTCTCTGAAGAGTTTAATATTTGATCTGAGACCACAATGACAGAATAGATTTGTTATGAGAGGGTCTAGGGGAATAAGGGAGGAGCAAAGGGTACAACAAAATAAAGTCTTAGAAGTCGGAATGTTCATGACTTATTGGAGGAATAGAAAGGCCAGTGAGGGCAGAACATAGTGAGTGAAGGACAGAGTCAGAAGAAATGAGAAGAAGGTGGACTAGGTTACACAGGGCCTTGCAGACCACATAAGGAATTTGGATTTTATTCTATGTATTAAGACATTTTTGAAGGATTTTAAGCAGGGGAATGACATGATCTGATTTAGCTTTCTAAAAGGTGATTCTAGCTGTTGTAAGACCAAAAAAAACTATAATGTAAGGCAACTGTCTAATTTATCATCCAAATGGGGACCCTTTTGCAAATGAAATGGGGTGCTAACTAGACAGGTTATCAAGCAACAGGTAAAAACTGGAATCGTCCTAGACAAGCCAGAGGTACAGTTAGCTCACTGTAAGAGGACAAAAGTGGAATCAGGGAGTTCAGTCTATGAGGTGTCTGCAATAGTCCAGGCACAACTGAAGCTTAGGCTACAGTGGTGGTGCAGGCTCAGAGACTGTCAGGATGTGGTAGAAGTAGATATTTAGGAAGTAAAATCAATAGATCCTGATGGCTTGGATGTGAATAATGAGGGAAAGGGAGGAACCAAGAGTGATGTCCTCGTTTGGGCCTGAGCACCTGGATGTCATTCATTAAAATGAAGGAGACTTGGGGAGACACAGAGTTGGAGGAAAGATTTGCAAGATTACTGTTTTGAAGGTGCTAAATGTAAGATACCTGTGGGTTAGCCAACTGGAGATGCCAGGTATGATGTTTATATTGAGTTTGAGGCCAGAGAGGAAGGCCTCCTCAGGAGGGACACAAATTTGGTGTCATTAGCACATAGGTTGTAGTGACTTGGATATGATCACCTAGGCTGAGAGGCTACAAGAACTCCCAGGGCCTAGCCCTAGGGCCACAGTGCCTAGCCCTGGTAAAGGCAAGGAGCAAAAGAGCAGCTAATGAGGCTGCAGGTCAGAGAATGTGCTCAGCAGGTTGTAGAGCTGGACATCGTGCACATGATTATTGGAGATATAGATATAAAACATGTGTGTGTGCATCTGTGGGTATGAATTGCCTATTACTGTCCTATTGGGGTTTTATTTTTCTTACTAGAATGTAAATATTACTTATGGGTTAGACTCATAATGGGTCAAATTGGGTCCTCCATAAAAGATATGTTGAAGTCCTAACTCTTACTACAGAATGTGACTTTATGTGGAAATAGGAGTGTTGCAGATATGGTCAGTGAAGATGAAGTCATGTGGAATATGGTGGGCCCTCGATCCAATATGACTGGTGCTCTTAAAAGACAGTGTGAAGACAGAGGAAGAACACCACATGGTGGTGGAAGCAATGACGGGAACTATGCAACTGCAAATTAAGGGTTGCTGGCATCTCCTGAAACTAAAAGAAAGGCATCGAACAGATTCTCCCAAAGAGCCTTTAAGAAAGTGTGGGTTTGCAGGCACCTTGATTTTGGACTTCCAAACTTCCAGAACCAAGAGGAAAAATCACTGGTGTTTTAAGCCAACCAGGTTTTGATAATTTGTACTAAAAAACTAATACAGCCCCCTGCGTCATTCATGTTATATTTTGACCCCAAGTTTTGAATTCTTTGGGATTCCTTTACAGAAGTTATAAATTTTTAAGTAGTCAATTCTGTCACTCTTTTTTATTATTTGACTTCTGTCTTTGTTGTCATGCTTAGAAAAGCTTTCCTCACTCCTAAGGTTATAAAAATATTCTTTACATTAATTAATTCATTAGTCTACCTGGAATTAGTTTCAAAAAAAGGATAAAATGGTAATCTAATATTTTTCTCTCCATGTGGTTAGCTAATTATCCCAACATCATTGATTGAATTATTCATACTTTTTACCCAGTGGTTTGAAATATTACCTTTATTAAATGGTAAGGGTAAATATTAAATATTACCCTCTATGGCCTTGCAGCTACTTATGTTGTGTTCAGCTAGCAGCAGAAAACCCCCAAAAGCAGTGATGCTCTATGGCTGCTTCTTAGGAAGGACGTATTCAGTTTCAGCAAGCAGTCCCTATTCCAGGATGAGGTGTGTGCCAACTCCTGACCCACCCAGAATCCTGTGCCCTGCTTTGGTGCCACTGACAGTGGTGACCCTAAAAGCTATTAAGAAACAACATAGTAGCTGTTGTAGCTCAGCAACTGGTACACAACATGCCAGTGGCAAGGTAGCCAAGCAGGTGAGAAGACACCTGGAAGGGAGAGCAATATTATTCCAGGCTCATGAAAGGTTGATTACAGTACCCCTGGCTGGCATCATGAGGCTTTGTGAACAGCCGAATCATTTTATAACCCTTTATTGTATTATCCTTCATATCTGACTACGGACTAATTATATATTGAATGAAGTTGTACATTCCTGGGCCCTAACAGGGAAAGAAGGAAACAGACTTGGGTTTGCATGTTTGTCTCTGCTACTCAGCTATATAATCCTTAGGTAAATAACCTAATATCTCTAAACTTCAGATTCCCCATCTGTGCAACAGAGATGATAACGCTTACCTGTTAGGATCATTGTGAAACTTAAAGACATGTAAAAGCTCTGAACATATTCTCAGCACATGCTAGATTCTCTTATATTACCTTCTCTTTTTCTATAGCTTCTGTTGTAGGTTATCCTGTATATTTGCTTTTCCAAACAAAATTTAAGTCTATCTTAGGTAAAGCTGAGACTTCCTACTTGACCCTTTATCTTCTCACAATCCTTCAACAGGACTTCATTGACTTAACTAGAGAAACCAGACCAAGGCCAAAGGATCGCAGTGGAATCTGTGTGATTGACCTGACAGCAACTGAGGAAGAAACCAGACCTATTGCCACTTTTGACTTGACTCTAGAACCTGTTACTCCTTCCCAGAAGGAGTCAACCAATCTTCAAACATGTGCCAGCATCTCCAGCAAAGAGGTAATGGAAGGGCGGGTGGACAGAAGCTCGTGGCCTGGAGCACGGAGAATCATTAACAGTGATCCTGTGGACGTGGACCTCTTGGAAGAAACCACATTTGAAGACCCCCAACCCCCTACGTCCACCAGTGGGGACTCTGTTTATCCAGCAGAGCCGAACTGTAGCTCAACCACATTCAAAGGGGACTTCAGCTTCTTGGCCAGCTTACAGCTCTCTTCAGATGTCCATTCCTTCTCCCCAGTAAGCAATAATGGCAGCAGCAGTCAGAGGGCGCCCTTGCCATGCCCGCAGCAAGATGTACCTTGCCCACCGCAAGCCTTGCCATGCCCACTGCGAGCCTTGCCGTGCCCACGGCAAGACTCACCATGTCCACCACGAGCCTCTTCATGCCCACCGCGAGCCTTGTCATGTCCGTCACAAGCCGTGCAGTGCCAACTACAAGCTTTGCCTACCCTGCCCCAAGAAGGGCCATGCCCTCAGAATATGCCATGCCCACCTCAGGACCCATCATGCCATCCTCAGCACTCACCAAGCCCACCTCTGGACGCACGCTGCCCACCTCAAGACTCTCCGGGCCTTCCTCAAGGTGTACCAGGCCCACCTCAACACATACCAGATCCACCAGATGTGGCACAGCTGCAAGGCATGCCACAGTCGCTAGGAGACATGCCACAGTCACCAGATGTGCCACAGTCATCAGGAGACGTGTCACAGTTATTGCTAGATGCGCCACAGTCACCAAGAGATGCACCACAGTCGCCTAGAGGCGTGCCGCAGTCACCTGCAGGCGTGCCGCAGTCACCAAGAGGCATCCCGCAGTCACTAAGAGACGCGCCACAGTCACCACGAGGTGCACCACAATCACCAGGAAGCGCTTCACAGTCACCTGGCAAAACTTCACACTTAACAGATGTGCTACATTCACCTGGAGACCTTCCACACTTGCCAGGAGACAGGCCTGGCTCTCCCCCAAGTGATGGGCAGAACCATGACACTCCTATGGAGATCTCAGCTCCTTCCTCTCCGAGCTGCTCTCCCAGCCTGCAGTCTCCACAGTCTGAAACTTCCTTAAACAAAGTCCCTTGGTTCCCTGTCACAGAAACTCCAGCCAGAAAGGAGATTTCACTGTCAGGGCCTGCCAACCCCGGGGCTATCCAGGTACAAGCACAGACACCACACGGTGTGGTGTACAACAGGCCATGTCTGCATAGACTGAAGTACTTCTTACGACCTCCGGTGCATCACCTCTTCTTCCAGACACTAATTCCTGATAGAGACACAAGAGAGGTGAGCTAACCTATCTTCCCTTAGCAATTAGATGTCCTCTGTACAGGCCTAGCCTAAAGTGAATATGCTAAAAGGAGTCCATGCATGAGAGAACATGCCTAGTACGAACTTGACATTTTTATCTCCCCTCAACTGGTGGAACCATTTAGTATACAGTCAGATCTGGGTTCAGATTTCAGCCCCACTCTGAGCCTTAGCTTTCCTGTCTGTAAAGTGGAAATAAGAATCTACCTCACAGGATCACTAAGTGAGATAACATATTTAAAGTGCATTTTATGTCTGCTCTTCAATTCCTAGACGTTTCCTTTCAGGACACTCTTATTACAGCTTCCATATCACACAAATAATAATAATACTCCTGACACTTCAGTGCCTCCAAAATTATTAGTCTCTGATGTTTTGGGAGGAAATTCCATTTTAAGATTTTAGTGGGAACACTACTTCCCATTGGTCCTCATTGAACTAAATGAGATGTGTAAGGAAAAAAGAATGTGAAGCTAATTTCTCATTATCCATAACCACACATTGGAACAACATCAGGAAGGCTGGCTTGAAGTAGCTGCAGAAGTCACAGGTGCATTCTCCATGCTGGAGATCCCGCTTAGCAGGTCAGGCACCCACCTTGATTTGGCCTTGAAGAGTGAATTGTTCCCTCTCCTGATTGCTGATACATCTTCTAATACATTTGTCTTCTTCTGAGTGATTCTCCCAGCCCCTTGCCCATTCTCATTTTTCCTGTGGGTGGGCCTCAGGTTGATGATACGTCTGTTCATTACCAAGAGTGCTTGGGGACTTGAAAGAATGAATGTTTCTGTGGTCAAGGCTATAGTATTTTTTTTTTTAAGTGCTCCATAACTAGAGGAGCCACCAGGAGCTGCAGACAGGGAGACCATGTCCCCCTTCTGTGTACACATAGCTCAGATTATAAGGTGGCAGTTAGTTTAGACAAAGTGGATTTTTCTTCATCTGTATTTCTGACCTTCTTACCTCAGTCATCTAGAATACAGCTGTACATCTTTCCTGTCTGTCCTATGATTTCTTTGGGGCCTTTAATAAGTGCTTCTTTACTAGATAACTTTCCCCAGAAAACTTCTTAGCCAGTCCCTATGCTGTCACTTACCAGCCATTCGCCTTAACTCCTCTGAGCCTCTCTTTGTTTAGCTTTAAAATCAGTCATAATGCCAATATCATAGAGTTATTTGACTTTAAGGTAAACACATAAAACACAAAACCACCTTTCGGGACCTATAAAAATTCTCCATAAGTATTAGTTCCCTTTAAGGATACAGGTATCTAAACAATTGATAAACTTTATAGGCAGGAAATGAATAATTCAGGTTCAAGATTGTAAAATGCATCACACGTGGAACAGTCACCAAAGCAAGATTTTTGTTCTTCTCTTCTCTTGCCCTTCATTACTTGCAACCTATGGTATTGGTCTCTCATCAGCGAGATCAGGGGTGCCCTCAGGGGATCTGAGCAGGAACGCTAACTGGGGCAATCCCAGCCATCACTGTTCTATTGTCACACAGGCTGTGAAGTCTTTGGTTGGTGTTTTAAAATTAATACCTAATCTCAAATTTTCAAAATAATGCTTGCTTAATATAAAACATTTAAAAATATAAACTATAAAAAATAATTATCCATAGTACTATCACTCAGCATTTATTATTTTTAATAATTTGGTATATTTCCTTCCCCATTGCCTTTTTATACGTATGCATTTAAACATTTTTTTAAAAGATTTTATCTTTTTTTTAGAGGGAGGGAGAGAAATATGATGTGTGACAGAAACAGGGATTGGTTGCCTCTCTCACATCCCCAACTGGGAACTTGGCCTGCGACCCAGGCATGTGCCCTGACTGGGAATAGAACTGGCAACCTTTTGGTCTTCGGGCCAGCACTCAGTCCACTGAGCCACACCAGCCAGGGCTGCATTGAAACATTTTTAACAAAAACATAATGTACTATTGTTGGTTTTGTTGTTTATAGAGAGTACAAATTTACAGGATAACTCACATGATACCACCAATGTATGCCAGCCATCTGTTGTTTGACAAATGACTACTCTCTAAATCTCAGTTTTCTTTCTACAAAGCAGGAATAATAATAGTATGTATTTCTTAGGGTGGTTGTGAGAATTAAGTGAGGATAAATTTTATGTTCAAAAATTGTTTTATAATTATTGCTATTATTATATTCCTATATCAAACTTTTTAATGTTTGTTTTTCTTTTGATTATAAAAGTAATATATGTCCACTATAGAAAAGTTAAAAAATACAAAAGAGTATGTAGAGGAAAGCTCATCTATAATTTCACTACCCAGAAAATAGAAAACACTTTTCACATTTTCTCTCCCAGATATTATATATATACTTCTTTGGGGGGGAAACAACTTAATATTTACTATCAACTCAAAAAAATTAACATAATGGGATTCTTCTCCTAACAATAAAACATATTTAAAAATCTTTCTCCCTCTATTTATTTCAGTATCTGATAAACTATTATAACTACCCCTAAATATTTTATTACCCTTACTCCAAAATCAGCTTAGGCTAGCTTTTGACTCTTTCGTACTTTTCTTTCTATGCTATATTTTAACACAGATGAAATCATGGTATATGTAGAACACTGAATTCCTCTTTTTTAGCTTAAAATCAGCATTTTCCCATGTCACTAAGAGTTTTTTAGATAAGACTTTCCAACCTCTTTTTTAAAAATTATGAATATTTTTTCAAAGGCATGGAAAACTTTGCTATCTTCAACCTGTTCCAGGACCTCTTGTTTTATGTCTATAGAAACCCATCCTAACTTATTTCTTTTTATCTCTACAGAGCAAGGGTCAAAAACTAGAACCCATCCCTCATCGAAGACTAAGAATGGTAACAAACACCATCGAAGAAAATTTTTCCCTGGGGACTGTGCAGTTTTTGATGGACTTCGTGTCACCCCAGCATTATCCGCCCAGAGAAATTGTGGCTCACATCATCCAGAAAATCCTGCTCAGTGGCTCTGAGTCTGTGGATGTCCTCAAGGAGGCCTACATGCTTCTCATGAAAATTCAACAGTATGAACCGTAGATGCTGGCAAACCTTCTAGGGAACCTGGACCTGGGGCACAGCTTTCTCTTGCCTAGGCTCCATTCAACTAACCATTAGAGAGAGTGACTTAGTATATCAGTGTTATTTGGATTACAAGTGACAGGAAACCCAATCCAAACTAGCTTTAACAGCTAGTAAAAGAGAATTTAATGACTCATGTTACTAGAAACCTAAGTATAAGACGACTTAATTCAGTTCAAAAATGGTTGCAAGGATCCATTTTTCAGCTCTGTTTTGCTTCTGTTTTCAGACTTCATGTGGTAGCCTTCTCAGCCTCTAGCTTTTATGACTTTTATGATGCTCTCAGTGGGAGAGCGAGTCTGCTTCCTTTATAATCACACAAGAGTTCTGAAATTGAGTCCTGTAGCTTAATTGGCATAACATAACACATGAGCCCATCTGTGGGCCAATCACTGTGAACTGAGGGATAAAATATCATGACTGGCTCAATATGTTTCATAGGCTTCATTTCAGGGTCCTGGTAGGTAAAGCCAGTAGGCTGACTAACAAAGCATAGATTTCTTCAAGGCAACATTGGGTCACTTTTGCCTCCCAAAAGAGAAATGGCTACTGTGTAGAAAAGCCAAAAACACCCACGAAGTTCCACTGCCCTCAGATGACATGGTATCGTGTCAACATGGGGACAAGAGCACTCAGGATAAGGAGGCTTCTTGCTTCTTTCATCTTCCAGATCCCATCCCCCTTTCCACTAAACTCTGCTAATTTCCTGTCACTTGACTTTCAGGCTACATCCAGCTAATGCCAAGACAGTGGAGTGGGACTGGAAGCTGCTCACTTACGTCATGGAGGAAGAGGTAACATAACAATTATGAGGGTGTATCTTTTGGAGAGGAAATTTTAACTAGAAACAAAAGTAACAGCAAATCTGAGAGTAAAGTCTTTGCCATTATTTCTTCCTTATACGCTCATCCCCACTAAAAAATTCCTGTTGGAATGGTATGTGCTGTCTTCCAGTTCAGGAGTGAGTACATTCACACTTACCCCTCTCCTTGAGATCCCATAAATGCATAAGGAAAACTATAAATCGATGGCAATGAAAATAAGTGGAAGGACATTAGGTCTGAATGGAGATGGGAAGAACTAAAGGAAATGTGAGAGTGATGACTGACGAAGTAGGCGGAGAAAGCCAGAGGCTGGAGTACCTGTGGAAGGAGCTGCAGTCCGGGAGGAGGGAAGTCTGTCCTCTGGTGCAGAGGGGTTTTGGACTCAGAAACAATTTATAAGAGGCTTAGAGTCAAATATGGGGTATAAATTTGTTGGAAGTTTGTAGATAGAACTGGCAACCTCTCCATTCTTGGGTACAGAAATTTCAGTCATCAGGTTACCTAAGGATTCGTAGTCTAAGAAATTTAATGAACCATTTGTCAAAATGAAGGCAACTAGTAGAGCTGGTGTTCCAGAAAATAATTCTTCTGCATTCTGACCTGAACTTGCCATTTTTCTGTCTGCTCACCCAAAAGCACTTGGATGGAACAAATTATTTTCAACTTAGAATTCTATATCAGCTAAAATATTAGTCAACTGTGAGAGTAGAATAAAGACTTTTCCAGACATTTAGGAACTTGAAAAATATCCTCATACCCCTTTTCTTAGTAGGTTACTTGAAGGTATACATCCAAAAGAATGAAGGAACAGCCCTGGCTGGGTGGCTTGCTGGTTGCAGAGTCATCCCATATACCACAAGGTTGCAGATTTGATCCTCAGTCAGGACACATACCTAGGCTGTGGGTTTGATCCCTGATTGAGACACAAATGGGAGGCAACGGATTGATGTTTCCCTCTCTCTCCTTCTCTCTCCCTCTGTTCTCTTCTTTCCCCCTCCCTCCCTCTCCCCTCCTCCTTTCTCTAAAAATCAATAAACATGTCCTCAGGTGAGAATTTTTTAAAAAATTATAAACATTTATGCATGTAATGACAGATTATCAAATTATCAAATATGAAGCAAAAACTGATAGAATTGAAGGATGAAATAGACAGTTTTATATTAATAGTTGGAGATTTTAATACCCACTCTCAATAATGGATAGAACAACCAGGTAGAAGATAAGAGAAGAGGGGACTTAACACAATAAACCAACCAGATCTAACAGTTATATGCAGAATATTCTACTCAACAACAGTATACACATTTTTCTCAGTGCATGTGGGACATGCCAAGATAGACTATATGTTAGCCCATAATTAAATTTCAATAGATTTTATAAGATAGATATCATACAAAGTATCTTTAGTCTGTGAAGCCAGCATCACTCTGATATGAAGGCTAGACTAAGACACAAGAAAACTATAGACCAACATCCTTTATGAACATGGATCCAAAAATTGTCAGCAAAATACTAGCAAACAAAATTCAGCAGCATATCATAAGGATTATATATCATGACCGAGTGGGATTTATCCAGGAATACAAGGATGGTTCAAATTACAAAAATCAGTCACTGTAAAACACCACATTAACAGAGTGAAGAACAAAAACCATATGATCATCTCAATTAATGCAGAAAAGCATTTGACAAGATTCAACACCCTTTCATGGTAAAAACTCAACAAAATAGGAACAGAAGGAAACTAACAAAAGCCCCATGTGAAAAATCTACAGTGAACATCATACTCAGTGGCAAAATACTGAAAACTTTTCCTCTAAGATCAGGAACAAGGCAAGGATGTCTGCTTTCATGTCTTCTATTCAGCATAGTACTGGATGTTCTAGCCAAACCAATTAGGCAAGGAAAGGAAATAAAAGGCATCCAAATAGAAAAAGAAGAGGTAAAATTATCTCTGTTCACACATGACATGATCTTACATGTAGAAAACCCTAAAAATTCCATACAGAAAATTGTTAGAATTAAATTCAGCAAAGTTGCAGGATTCAAAATTATGCAAAAATCAGTTGTATTTCTATATACTAACATGCTCTGTAAAGAATATTAAGAAAATTCCATTAACAGTAACATCAAAAATAAAAATATATTTAGGTGTAAACCTAACCAAGGAGGTGAACAACTTGTACACAGAAAAATATAAAATATTGCTGAAAGAAAATAAAGACAAATAAATCATAAGACTTCTCATGGTCATGGATTGGAAGACTAAATATTGTGACAATGTCATTACTACCCAAAGCAATACACAGATTCAATACAATCCCTATCAAAATCCTAATAGCACTTTTTTTGCAGAAATAGAAAAATCCATTCTAAAATTCATACACAATCTCAAAGGACCCAAAGTAGCCAAAACAATTTCAAAAAAGAAGAATGAAGTTGGAGTATTCATACTTCTTGATTTTAAGCATATTACAAAGATGTAGTAATCAAATAGTGTAGTACTCTTATAAAGAGAGACATATGGATAGAATAAAGAACCCAAAATAAAACTTTGTGAATATCATTAAGTGACATTCATCAAGGATGCTAAGACCATTCAATGGGGAAAGGATAGTCTCTTCTACAAATGTTATTGGGAAAATCTATAACCACATGCAAAAGAATGGAGTTGGACCCTTACCCAACACCATATATAAAATGGAGCAAAGGTCTAAACATAAGATCCAATTTTATAAAGTTCTTAGGAGAAAACATAGGGGAAAGCTTCATGACATTGGATTTGGCATTGATTTTTCTGGTAAAACACTAAAGGCACGGGCAAAAAAAAGCAAACATAGACAAATGGGACTACATTAAAGTTAAAAACTGCAGCAAAGGACACAAGTGAAAAGGCAATCTATGAAATGGGAGAAAATATTCTTAGATCATATATCTGATAAGGGGTTAATATCCATAATACATAAAGAACTACAACTTGACAACAAGCCAAACAGATTTTTAAAAGGGCAGAAGACTTGAATAGACATTCCTCTCAAGATGAGCTGCAAATGGCCAACAAGCATATGAAACTATGTTTAACAGAAAGTAAGAAGTAGAAAGCATGTGGAGAAATTAGAATCCTTGTCCACTGTGGTTAAGATTGTAAAATGGTGCGACCACTCTGGAAAACTATATGGTAGTTCCTCAAAAAAATTAAAAATAGAATTAAAACATGACCCACCAATCCCACTTCTGGGTATATATGCCCAGAATTGAAAGGATGTAAGAGATACTTGTACACCCATATACATAGGAGTGTTATTCATAATAGCCCAGAGGTAGAAGCAACCCAGGTGCCCATCAACAGGTTGCAGGCTAGACAAAATGTGGTCCATATAAGGGAATATTAATTCTGCTTTAAATAGGAGGGAAATCCTCTCACATGCTGAATCAAGGATGGTAGTGTAATGAGGACATTATACTAAGTGAAATAAGCCCATCACAAAAAGACAATCACTAGATGATTTGACTTACATGAGGTATCTACTGTAGTCAGAGTCATAGAAGCAGCCAATAGAATGTTGCTTACCAGGTGCTAGGAGGAGGGGAATTGGGATTTACTGGGTGTGTGTAGAGTTTCAGTTTAGCAAGATGGGAAAATTCTGGCGATCTGTTGCACAACTATATGAATATGCTTAACACTACTGAACTGTACACTTAAAAATGGTTAAGATGCTCACTTTTATGTTAATTTTTTTTACCACGATTAAAAATTTCTTAAAGACAACAAATGTTGGCAAGAATATAGAGACAGACATCTCATACGTTGCTGGTGTGAACATAAATGGTACAGACACTTTGGAAGAGTTTGTCAGTTTCTTTAAAAATCTTAACATAAACATATCATCTGACCTGGCTATCCTATGTCCAGATATCAACCCAAGAAAAATGAAAACCTTTGTCTACCAAAGACTTGCATGTGAATATTCATAGCAGCAGCATTCATAATAGCCCAAAAGTGGAAAAAACCCAAATGTCTGTCAATTGATAACTTGTGCTATATCCATACACAGGAATACCATTCAGTAAGGAATGAGCTATTTGTACACACTCTGACATGAACAAATCTCAACATTAAGCCAAGTAAAAGGAAACCACACACACACACACACACATATTGTATAATTCTGCATATGTGAAATATCCAGAAAGGCAAGTCAGTAAAGCCAGAAGTAGGTGAGTGGTTATCTGGGACTGGAGGCCGGGGCAGGGATTGACTGTAAACAGTCTTGAGGACGGTGGTCATGGTTATGGTGACAGTTGCCAAACTAAGTTTACAACAAATCATTGAGTTGTACATTTAAAATGGGTGAATTTTATGGTTTGTCAATAAAGTTGCGTTTCAAAATACAAAAAAAAAAAATTGGGGAAAGAAAGGTATTCTCAAAATTCAACACCGTTCTTGAGGAGATGAAAAAAGTGATACTGGCAAGCAACATAGAGAAGATAAAAAAAGAAGCTTTAAGAAAATAAAACTTCACAAGAAACAAATGATTTTCTTAGTATACTATATCGATTTCCAGTGTAATAATTTTAACATGGTCCTCACACTGTAAGCACTAGTTATGTTTAGAATCAGTTTTATACAAAGCATGGAAGACAATTTTATTAGTTTTAACAATGGAGAATAGAAAAGTATAGGAAATAAAGGTTGGGAGATGAAAAGAGACAGTGTCTTTCAGAATAGTAGGGCTGTTAGAGCATCCTTATCTTACAATGTGGAAAGACAAAAGATATCTATAGATGATGGAACATAAATTGAGGTAGTTATTTTAGGAAGAGAAATGGAAAGTGGCATAAATGAGTCAAATCTTTATGTAGAAGAGCAGAAACCAGTACATAATGTATAAAGTTGATGAATCAAGAAATAGCAATTAAGAATCTATGGCCACACCACCGTGAATACACCCGATTACGTCTGATCTCGGAAGCTAAGCAGGGTTGGGCCTGGTTAGTACTTGGATGGGAGACCACCTGGGAATACTGGGTGCTGTACTTGCCCTGACCAGTGAGACTCAGTTGGGTGCTGTCCTGCAAATGGAAAGGTCTCGGGTCTGATTCCCAGTCAGGGCATGTGCCTGGGTTACAGGTTTGGTCCCCCTGTCAGGACGCATGCCAGTGGCAACAGTTGATGTTTCTCTCCCTCTCTTTCTCCCTCCCTGCCCCTCTCTCTAAAATATAAATAAATAAAATCTTTTTTAAAAAAAGAAAAGAAATAGTGATAAGAGCATATTTTTTGGAGATGTTTAGGGTAACCTGCAGGAGCAAAAGGTGAAAAGTTATTCCCCCGAGGGTACTGGAGGGGACAAGTGGTTGTGGAGACTGGTGTCGCTGGAAGACTTGTTTCTTCATAAATCCAGCACGAGTACTGTAGTTTTGAAAAATCATATCAATAGATTAGAGATAATTTAGAAGACAAAGGTATTCCATCCCAACCTCCTCCAAAAAAAGAAATGGTAGATACTTAGAATGGTCGTTCTTTTTCCTACTGACCAAACCATACCCTACTTCGAGAGTTTATGTATCTAGAAAATATGCCTACCCTCTGGTGTTCCCCACTAGAAACGGTTTGGTGACTGGTGCTCTCTCATTCTTTGAAGTTTCAAAGCCTGAGCTCCCAGGCCTGGATCCCAGCACTGGTGTCCCCAGTAAAGGGAAACTACCAAATTGTGCATACCCGCCTGCTGAGCGGTAGGGACTTGCATTGGCTTTGGTTAGAATTATCACCACATACATCACGGGGACACTGAGACTCAGAAAGAATACATTAAATAAGGGGTTTCAAACAAAAATCAATAAACAGGGTCTGTGTGCCAGCAAAGCCCATGTGCTCTACCTGCCTCAGTTGGGCTTTCTGGGTTAGGATCATCTCACCTAAACAGAAAACACAGTAAGGCCGTGCATCCGCTCACATTACTGGGAGTTCAGCAGCAGGGTGGGCGTTGCAGCTGCTTGCTTGATGTAGCAGCTCAGCAGAGTCATTTGGGAGCTAGTGCTTCTCTGTTCTGATAGCCAGAGTTTAGGGTTTGTTCTCAAAGTGATGAATTTAGTGAGAGAATGGGACTGATTTCCTATCATTGTCTCTTAAAATCGGGAAGTCTGCATGCCTGGGCCACCAGGCTGTAGAAATGCCCCATCTGCCCTCTTTTGTAATGACCTAGACTGCCTGCTCCCTGCCTTTTAGGTATAGACATGCTTGTTGACACATGCATGGCCTTCCTTTGGACTTAGTATTTATGAGGGCCCACGGCTGTCATCCGGGAGATGAGAAAATACTTCTCATTTTTTCTCCCACAGGGACAAAATCTGCCTGGGCGAGTCCTTTTCCTGCGTTACGTGGTACAGACCCTGGAAGATGACTTCCAGCAGACCCTGAGGAAGCAACGACAGCACCTGCAGCAATCCATCGCTAACATGGTGCTGTCCTGTGACAAGCAGCCCCACAACGTCAGGTAACCAGCTACCCGAGCCCTGGGAGGACAGGAGGCAGGGGGCGTAGGTGAGCCAGAGAACACAGATGGGTGAGCTAGTCTAGGTGTGGTGGCATGACTGGTTGTTACTGAAACTAACAGCCTGAAACGAATTCTCTCTGTACCAAGTGAACGTCAGGCGCCAGAGCTTGTGCCATCGGACTTGCTTTGCTCTATTTCACTCGTCCAAACCACCTCATAAGATTGAAGAGAAACCTTAACTTGTGTGAGTCAGTCTGGGGTAGAAAATCAGTAAGTAGAGAATCTGCAAAGAGCACAGGATAGCATAGTTGGGTTTTAAATTAAAAGATAGCAATTTGAATGAGAGTGACCTGGCTGACCATTCTGCTATGTGAGCTAGGCTTTGGCCAGAGTAGATGATGGGAGACAGGTCCCCCTCAGGTCAGTCGCTTTCATTTCCACCTCTCCTGAGGTGAGCCTCTCACTATACAGAGCGTGATTCTGGGGGTTAAAAATAGGCATCTGTGGCCTTGAAATGCAAACTAGGTCCTCCTTGTGCTTTATCAGTGAAAAAAGCCCTGTGTTCCAGATGGGAAACCAGCTGTCTTTAATCCAAGTAAGATGGATATGGGATAAATGTTGTGGTTACATGGATGTACGCATGATTTATCAAAACATCACACCAAAACCTGTGTGCCGTTTATTGTATATGAATTATTCTTCACAGATAAGGTTTTAAAAAGAGAAAGATGGTAAGTCAGTCTCCACATGACGCCTTTGTAAGGGGTTTACTTCTCTTACTGTCCCTACAAAGAGTAAACCAGCCCTACAAGGTCTAAGAGTGATCCTGATCCCCAGATTCCCTCACTTGCATTTTCCTGTCCCACGAGCAAAGAATTGTTTAAGTGATTCTTTGGATATTTTTTTGTGTGGCTAAAAAACCTGCTTGCATTACCAATTCTTGACTATTCATTACTAGCTATTATCTATCGACTTCCCACATGAAAGATGAGGAGTTAGCTCTTTTTGCTCCCTTCCTCCTCCCTCCCACACATATATTTTCCAGCCCCCACATCATTCATATAGTTATATCATAATTTTGTGTAGGTCAGTATTCGATATTTCTATTACCATGACTATGTATGCTAGTCAGAGTTTAACCAAGTACTAAACTATGATAACTTTTCCTCTCCTACCTGTTTGTTTTCCTTAGAGTTGATAATTGCCTTATTTTTAGTTTTATACATATTGGAAGTCGATTTCAAATTCTCTTCTATTTGGTCTGAGTCTCCCCTCAGATGTGTATTTGCAGCCTTATCAATTTCGTCTTCTGGAATATCTGCGGTGAAGCATTGCAACCTCCTTGCGTCTGGACTGGTTGTCCTCTCTGCCAGTCCTTATCGTTAAGTGTGAGAATTCCTCCACCTATTCCCAGTGTTGGATCTCTTGTTTGCTTATTTGTCCTGAATTTTCTCTTTCTTGGTTTACTGCCTTGTTATGATGGATCAGTCCCCAGTAGCTTCTTAGAAAGGTATATGGGAAGTAAAATTTTTGAGATCTTGTATATCTGAAATTATCTTTATCTTCCCACACATTGATGGATAACTGAGTATAGGCATTAAGGTTAGGAATAACTTCTCTACAGAGCATTGAAGGAAAGCTTCTGTTGTCTTCTAGCTTCCAGAATCGCTGTTAAATCTCAAGCTATTTTGATTACTGATTCTTTTTATGTGCTCCAATTTTTATCTCTGGAAATTTATAAAACCTTTTTTTTTTGCCCAGTGTGTTTTCTGTAGGTCTATATCCATCCATTGTTTGGGCCATTACAGTCTAGAAACATGTCCTCCATTCCTGGAAAATAGTTTCCATTTCTGTTATCATGTTTTTAATTTCCAAGAGCTCTTTTACTTATTTCTCTAAATGTTCTTTTTTAAAGTAATAAATAATATTCTGTGGTCTTCATTCATGGATTCATGTCTTCACATATCTTTGATGATACTAATGTTAGCTTTTGTTCTTGTTTATTCTCTGCATAATGTCTCTTTTTTCCAAGTTGCTTTTCTTTTGGTCAGGAGGGTTTTTGGCTATTTTGGTCTTTATCTCTCATGTTAGAATATTTCCATAGATGTCTGATAAACCTTGGTAGTCTCTCCATGTTTATGGGTGACAGACTCAAAAGTTGAATTAAAGCTCTAAGTATTGGGAGGACTTGTCATTTCTGAACTTTCCTGCAGGTGGAACTGGCTGTGCATTACTTAGACAGTCCCTTGTCCAATGTTCTTAGGTCTTTCCTCTTGGGCTGGATGGGTTTTCCACAGAAGACTTCCAGTGTCCTACATGAAGGGTAAAGACTGGGATGCCAAGGTTCGGGAAGTCAGGTGCAGGGAGACGGCCAGGGTCTCTGCCTGCAGCATGCACGTGCTCCTGCAGTGCCCTGTGTTGGCTTCGGTGCCTTTGCCTCCCTACCGGGCCTAGTATCCTAGTCCAGAGACCCTCCGTTTTACCTCGCCACAAAGATGACCTATAGTCCTCCGGGTTGGGGAAGATTGAGGGGTCTGAAATTTTCTTCAACATCTCATAAGCCATCAGTTTACCCCTTCCACCCCCACTTCAGAGAAACCTTGTACTACCATTTGCAGAGCTATGGAAAAACATTTGTTTTCAGTTCTTACGTAAGTGAGATTAAGTAGGATTGCTCTTAACTTAATATTAATTTAATATTAAATAGGAAAGCTGGCTTAGAATTCAGCTTTCTCAATTCTGCTAAGTCAGTTAAAACGTATCCCTTTACCATTTAGATTAAACATTATCCTTAAAATATGACTCACTTGCCTTATTTACTTAGTTAATTGGTTACTTTTGATTTTGTAATCAGCATCTCTCAACCACCCCCCAAATCAAAGGCTGGGACCTAGACAATTACCTACATCTGACAACTCATCCATCTCCCTTCGCCTCCTCTTGCTCCTTCCTGCACCCAAAGTCATCGGTGCCCTGAATATTAGTCGTCCCTTTTCTTTTTGTGTGGTTTTATTGCACCTGCATGTGTTCCTATAAAGTATATATTTTTATTTCAGTTCCTTTTAGCTGTAATAAAAGGATATCATGTTGTATGTAATCTATTATATAAAAAAGTCTTTTATTTTTCACTTAATATCACAAAGTACTTAGATTTGTTCGTATTGTTATGTATTACTGTAGCTATTCCATTTTCACTAATATGTAATATTCTATTTTGTGAATATACTTCATTTTCCTTCCAGTTTCCCAAATTTCATTATTAGTGTTTCCTCTCTTTTTCTCTTCTTCTTTGTAGATGTTTAAAAAATTATTTACTATAGTATTTATTAGTGGGATTTTAGGAAGGAACAAAATTAGATGTGTGTTTTCAACCTACCATTTTTACCTGGGTTACCTAAGTGATTGTCAAAAGTAATTTTGAATATGAGATATTTTTACCTTTCAGACTTTTAGAGCCGACCCCCTGTGTAAACTAGGAATCCCATGCATGCACTGTAAACCTGGGTTATTACCTTTAATAGATGACACCTAATAAGTGAAAGCCAGCAAGAAGCTCCTGTGGTCATTCAGTCCAACTTACCACCTGATCAGGAAGCCACAGATAGTGCCCTTTAACCTTGGAAGTACCTCTCAGTGGTGACAACTCAGAGAAAACGTTGGTATTTGAGTTACTTTTGTAGCCCCACTGCAGTTAAACATGCGGCTTCCAGTAGGCTTGTTTACACAGTGAAAATGGCCTGTTGGCCCTCTGTTGCCACTGGGGAGACCTAGGAGTCTTGGAGCCAAGGTTAAGCTGCAGTTCTGAGCACCACACAGTGAGACAAAAGTCTAAACTTGCTCTTTTCCCTTGCAGGGATGTGATCAAGTGGTTGGTCAGAGCGGTGACTGAAGGTGGACTAACTCAGCCCCCAAATGGGAGTCACGCCTCTTCGGGAACAGGCGTCTTGAAGGCCAGCAGTAGCCACCCCAGTCCCCAGCCTACCCCGACGAAGAACACCACTCAGGTGTAAGGGCGGAAGCTGCCCTACCTGGGGCCGCTGGGCCTGACTGCTATAGAAACAGCCCCACAGCCTCGGGGCAGGTTCCCCAAGTTAACAAGCCCTATAACAGAAGGGGTCTTACTAAAAGGACTCTCTTGTGTGACTAAAGACTAAATTTCTAATTCCAAAGTAGAACAACAGCAGGTGCGTCCCCCTAGATGGACAGGACTCCACTAAGTGATCACAGATTTACAGACTGCAGTGAAACAAAAAGCGAGGACACTGCCTTCCCTTTCCTAGACACCAAGAGACTGTACGTTTACAGCTGCCACTGACAACAGAAGGGGGCAGGCAGTGGGCGATCCCGCAGCCCCTAGTCCTCAAGGACCTGCCTCTGTCTCCTCCAGTGCTGGGAGGGGTCTGGCCATTCCACCTGCCGCTTCCACCAGGTCGTAACAGCAGTGGCTCAGGTCAGGCCAGTCCCAGACCTCAGATGGCCCAGGAAAGAGATTCCTGGCGTTTCTTTTATGGGGTTGAGAGTGGTCTTGGCATTTTTAGAGATGCGAAGATTCTAGGGGCTGGAGCTGCCCTTATACAAGTAACCTACTATCCCTCGTCAACTGTTAAAAACCAGTCACAACATTTCAAACACAGCATTTATGCCTAAAATCAGAAAGCCATATTATAATCTATTTGTGCCAAGCTGCTTTTCACATAAGGCTTTTAACTAATTTAGGAGACATTCTTGCATCAAAAGGGAGAATGTTTTGGAACAATGAAGGATTGGCTTAGGCAGATTGGGGGAGGCCCTAAAGTAGAGTTATCCCTGAACCCCAGTGTACAGATCCAAGACAGAGGCAGACACAGTTCCTTCAGTGGAAGCTAATCTCATATAAATAATAATGACAATACATTTGCTGTAAGTAAATAGTTGTGGAAGTATAAAGTCAATTTATTGCGGTCTTAACAACAATGGGCACTACAATTTACACGAATGTACACCTGTGTGCCAGGATCTCCCAGAGCACTCGCAGCCTTCTGAAATAGGCAGTGTTAGGGATTTGTCAAAGGTTAAACAGCTTGTCCCTGCAGACCCAGAATCTGACGCCCAAGCCCCTGGCCCAGCTAGTGTGTCACCAGCTGCATAGTTTCTGTCACAGGAATAATGCCTGTTAGAAAAGTGTGACTTGGGCCAGGCTCACCTTTCAGAGGGGTCGCTCAGATTCCTCCACCGCATCAGCCCAGTGAGGTCTCATGGGAGAGAGGGTCACATTCCACTAGTTGAAGTTCTGAGGCTGAACTTAGTGAAAGATTAGTGTAAAGGAACCAGTGACAGGAGAAAACTGTATGGTAAATATCTACAGGAGTGGACAAAGATAGGTTTACAGTTCATATGGAAAAAGATATAATACAATAATTAATAAATAATAATACAAGAATAAACTGTGTTTCATAACTATAAACTTATTTTGCCCATCCCTGTATTATCCCATGTATCAAAGGAATTCAAGTACATGTTAGTCATTCTGGACCTGTTTCTTCATCTGCACAATCAAGAAGTTATAGGTTAGATGATCCTCAAAATACTCGAGATCCTTAATGTGGTATGTTTCTATTTTGGAATTTAAAAGCAGCTTGCTTTTGCAGCTCAACCCCAGGTTCTGAGAGGTTCAGATAGTATGATCTGGCAAAAGGGATTCGGGTAGGTGAAACTGCTAAATGAAGCATGCCGACAGCTTCAGCAGTTCTACCTCGCCTACCGTGTGCTTTACAAGACCCTGTAGAACACGGGCGGAGACCTCCTCCCGGCCCAGCAGGGTGGCTCCCGCCAGACTCCCACTCACCTGTGCTCTGCCCTGGACCCAGGGTTGTGTGCCAGCTGCAGCGGATGCTGTCCATAGCCGTGGAGGTGGACAGGACCCCCACCTGCAGCTCCAATAAAATTGCCGAGATGATGTTCGGGTTTGTGCTGGACATTCCTGAGAGGAGTCAGAGGTGAGTCTTAGTTCTGTTTTTCTTTTTTATTCTGGGAATATAATTTTGAAAGAAAATTCCAAATTGGAATAAATTGGGGGTGAGGAGGAGAGGTGGGAGGGGAAGCTCCTGTCTCTATAACCTGTGAAAGAAAAAAGTTCTCAATAAATTGTTATTATTTGTAACTAAGGCATAATTGTGGGGGAAGAGGAAGACTACATGTAAATGGAGCCTAAATTTTCCTACTTTGTCCATTTGGCTAAGCTTACTCATCCTTCAAGGTTCACTTCTTAAGCACAGCCTTCTACTCTGACCTTCAGCCATAGAGCCTGGCATAAATGTTCACTGAAGGCCTGGGGGATGAATGAAATAGGCATGTCCAATATTAGAGATTATCCAAGAATGAATAGGGCTGGGCCTGTAGAATGAGCCCAGATAGTAAGAATAAGGAATTCAGTTTCTATAAGCATGAATTAATGAAGCATTCCATTAGGAGGGGATAAAGAATTAGACTCTTGGCTAGAACTATTGAGTCCTCCTTTGAACCAGTAATTTTAGAATCCAGAGGAAGAAAAATAAACTGGAATGAATATGAATTCATGAACAGTTGCTGGTACAGGAAGTAACGATGAGAGAGCCATTGTGCAGTGGCGGCCCTCGGGGACAGTGCCTCCCTTAGTTCCCTGTTTGCTTCCCATCCCCAGTGCCCTGAGCTCCCAGCCAGCAGCCAAGAGTGTTCTTCTACAGCACGGGTTCCTCTGTTAGAACAAGCGCCATGCCAAACAAAACCATCATAAAGGTTAAATTAAAACACCCTGCTGAGATTCAGACAAACATTCACTGGGTCCCTACACTGTGCCAGTCATTGTCACGTTATCTCACATTTTCATGAAACTAACAAATGAGAAAAATACTAACAATCGTGAAATAACTAGCCCAGGGTTACACAGCTAATCAGACAGATTCAGAATCCAAATTTAAACCCAGGACTTCTTAACCCCAAGTTCGTTGCTCACAGGAGGCAGTATGTGAGAGCGGTCGGAGGGAAGGATGTGCATAGACGCCACGCTTGCTCTACCACTTTTTCAGGAGTATTTCATTTGAGTCCAACTCTCATACCATTCACTCATTTAAGCCCAGATTCTGGTGAGAGATGAGAAATCTTGGGAATGCATAACTATAAACAAATTTAGACTTAACATGGGCAAAAATAATTTAAAACCTGGCCCTACCTTAAAATTCTCTCAGAAGGGGCAAATTGGCAACCACCCAAATTATACTAGAAGATCCCTTATTTTAATGTTCTTTGCTGAGCCGAACAGTTTCTAGCACACTGTGAACATTCCAATAAATTTACTCCCACTATTCTCTTAGTCATGGTATGAAGTACTTCTCTTTAATGTGTCCTAAACTGGTCTTTTCCAAATATCATAGACACTTCCCCACCTCCAGCAGTTGTTGGTTCATGAGCAAACCTGCGTCTGCCCTGTCCACAGGCTCCATAGCAGCCTATTTTAGGGCATATGTTAGAGCATTGAGGGGGGCTTGTGGACCACGTTCCTGGAAATAAGAGCCGTGACGGTTATCCCTCTTTCCCTTCTCTGTGCAGAGAGATGTTTTTTACCACCATGGAAAGCCACCTCCTGCGCTGCAAGGTGTTAGAAATCATCTTCCTGCACAGCTGCAAGACGCCCACCCGCCTGCCTCTGTCTCTGGCCCAGGCCCTCTACTTCCTGAACAATTCCACGTCGCTGCTCAAGTGCCAGGTACCTGCCTCCCTGCTTCAGTTCAGGCCCTGGACCCTGACCCCCCACCCCTGAGCATCACATCGGAGTGACTTGGAAACTGCATGGAACCTTTAACTTATTAGCAAGTGCTCTTACTGTCTCCGCAGTCGGACAAAATGCAGTGGCAGACGTGGGATGAGCTGGTCGAGCACCTGCAGTTTCTGTTATCCAGCTATCAACATGTTTTAAGAGGTAAGGAGCATTTTTTCACATGTAGGATGGTGTGGGAGTCTCCCAGAGAACATTATTATGAATTAAAGTTACGTAGGAATTCTAACCAGTGAGCATTGTTTCTTGGTTGTAAGAAACAAGGAATGACATCACTAGAATCACTGCTATGACACAGAAGAATTCACCTATTTTCACTATAATATGTAATACATTGCACCTCATGAGTATTAAGAGTAAGCAAGAACCTTTGTAACCCGGGAAGTGCCCAGCAGTGACCCGCCTGGCCCTGGTATCCTACCCCAGCCCATCACTGCAAGGGCGGGTCGATCGCTCACTGACTATGGACATTATAAGCGCAGTATGGTGCAAGTACAGGGCAAATCAGTGACAAGGTAAAAGTGTACATCTTGCAATAATGGACGACACCCTACAGTCTGTCAAAAGTGGCTGTGCTCAAATCGCAGGTGAAGCCAGGGATCAACAGGACCTGGAAGAGCCGAGTACCTAACACACAGGAGGCAAACACTGACAAGGATAATGGTGCAATAGCTGCTTCAGATGAGAATACTTTATTAGCCAAGGATTAACGAGGTCCTTGGGAAAACTGATATAGTTACTAATTACAAAAAGGAAAGATAGTAACTTTAGAAGAAAACTGGCATTCTTCTTGCTGTGGTGCCTGAGGACACCTCAGCACTTACGCAGTACCCTTCCCAAAAATCCATGACCTAAATCTAATCACAAGGAAGGTTAGACAAACCCATTTAGAGGAAGCTTTTACAGATTGACTGACCTGTACTCTTCAAAAGTGCCAATTTCTTAAAAAACAAAGGAGGACCAAGACTGCTCCTTTTTAGAAAGAAACTAAAGCACATGAATACTAAATGCAAAACATGATCCTAGGTGGGATCCTGAACCAGGAAAGCAGCAGCTAGAAAGTACGTTATTGGGACAATTAGTAAAATTTAAATAGATTAAATAATAGAATTGCATTAATATTAAATTTCCTATTTTTGATAGTTATCCTGGTTTATGAAATTAAACATCCTTGATCTTAAGAACGCCATACTGAAGTATTGAGAGGTGGAGGGGCAGTGTCTTGCAACTTCTTGTGAAACCGGAAGTAGGAAAAGTATGTGTATAAAATTTAGCTGCCATGGTCCTGTTGAGGTTGATTTTAGCTCAGTAGTGATACCCTCTCAGGCCTAGAACTGATGAAGTTGTTGCAGAGCTTTTTTTTTAAAAAGGCACTGGATTTAAGGTGAGTTTAAGGTGAGTTTAAATCCAACCCCAGCACTTACCCTGTGTTGGGCAGCCCTTTTTTCTCCAGACCTCAGTCCCTTCCTTCTGCAGAGGGGGGCTGGTCCTACGTGACCTGCCAAGGCTGACCGCAAGCTGTGAAAACAGTAGGCAGGGCTTGGGCTGCCTGTTTCCCCGGACAGGGGTCAGCTGCAAGGCTCTTCTCTCTGTCTGCAGTCCTGGTGACTAACCTTGAGGGAGTGCGCTGTCAAGGCCACAGTCTGGTTGAGTTGTCGGGGCGTTTTCAGCGCCCTCAAAGAGCGGTGCATAGCGTTCTTAGAACAAGGCCCGAAAGGTAAATTCCATGTGTGCTTAGCCTCACTGAGCTTATGTAATTATTTCTTTTGAAGATCTAGCAGAAAGTTTAATATTAAAGCAACTTTTTTTTTTTAAATTTAAAATTCACTTTAACACTTCTGGTTCATTTGTTTTGCTTCCCAGGAAATACACCTGGGTCATGGGCAGCAGTGACTTAATGTGGACATGGTATCTGGTTTTATGAAAAAATATTCTTATTCTTCAAATAAGGGAAAGGAAGGCCTCAGATCAGTCTACACGGGTGGGCAGAAGTAGGTTTACAGTTGTAATACAAATAATACAATAATTAATAAATGGTACAATAATAAACTCGTGTACTCACAATTGTAAAACTACTTTTGCCCACCCCATATTGAATAAATGGGCTGTTCCAATGCCATTTTATCCTTAACATCCTTTTCAGCTTCTTTGGAGACCAACAGTTAAGGGGAAAAAGTATTCAGAAAGAGTAGTTTGAAAATAGAGTCCTACAAAGAACACAGCTGAAGGGTACCCTGAAATGGTCTGTGTCCTTGCCAGTGGGCATTTTACTGTGAGGGCTCCTTAGTCATCTCTGAGGGGGACGTTGTTGAGGGGATCTGGAGGTCACCCTGAGTTGTCAAGCTCCAGGGGTGAGGGAAGAAGGGACAAGGATGGGAAACTTCTTACTGTGGAGGGAGGGAAGAGGAAGACAGGTAAATTTACAAGCCCTGGCTTATACCACCCAATGACCTTGTAAAAGTCATTGACCTTCAGGAAAGCAAAGGTTTAGAGAAAAGTAAATGCAAGCCAGGATTTGAACTTAAGTCTGTTGCCAAAGTCTGGAAGGAATTACTTTTCTATGAAATCACTGGGCAAGATCAGAAAGTGAGATTCTATAGGAATTTCCAACCACTTTCCTAAACTCCTTATACATGGTTAAATTACTTTTGTAAAGACCCTTCACCTTTTACAAACATTTCCGCAGAGATCAGAGCAGCCCCACTGAGACAGGATGCTGGGGTGTGTTGAACTCACACCCTCTGGCGAACAGAAGCAATCCCCTACACCTGCTTCTGAACACAAATATGTTTACTCATTTGGTCTATCCTACAACACATACGAAATGGTCTCACTTAAACAGAATAACTATAATAAACCAGCATCACAATACACTGAGTACAAGTTCAATATTTCGTTGCAATTCTTTAATACTTAGGAAAAAAATCTCCCTGAAGATATTAAAAATTAATGTGAATATTTCTGAAGTGGTTATTTTAAATGTCATTTCATTGTTTAAACCAACAAAGGGAAAAAATTAAAACAGAATACTTTTTTTTCTTATGAAAAACTTGAGGACCAGAGAGAATGGACATTTTGGAAATACAGTCCCTGCAAGTACCCACTTGGCCTTTGACTTGTATTCCAGTATCTAATTAGCAAGTCTTTGCCCAGACCCTGCCCAGTAAAATTGGACTTCATTGTCTTAAATAATAAAGGAATAAAAAGCAGTTCAGTTCAATTGACTTTTTACTTCTTGCAGAGCATCTACGGAGTTCAGTAATCGATCGAAAAGACTTAATAATCAAGAGAATTAAGCCCAAGCCCCAGCAATGCGATGACATCACAGTGGTCGATGTGGAGAAGCAGATCGAGGCCTTCCGCAGCCGCCTGGTCCAGATGCTGGGGGAGCCGCTGGTCCCCCAGCTGCAAGACAAAGTGCACTTGTTGAAGCTCCTGCTCTTCTATGCTGCAGACTTGAACCCCGACGGAGAGCCCTCTCCCAAGCATTGGAGCACCCCCTGAGGTCCTGCTACACACTGAGCACCAAGAATACCTCCTGAACTCTCTCTCCAACTACTGGAAGTTCTAAAAGTATGAAAAGTAGTTAAGTCTTATAGGACCAAACCTATCTTATTTATCTGTAGGTTATAACTTTCTAACTCTTTAGTAAATACTTTTTTGATAATCCTATCCTAGCCTATTCTCAAATATGGCTTAAATATACAAGGTGTATATATTTTTTGATAAATTATTTATCTATACTTTTTGAAATGCGTAATACTATATGCACTTATACGTTTAACGTTTCCATTCAAGATGTGAAAAAAATCCCTCTGAACAAATCCTACACATCAATGTTACTCAAGGTATTGATGACCTGTTTCAAAAGAGAAAGACATATTCATTTCTCCCTAATGGAACACAACCATCAATATTATATTGCCTATAGATTTGACTTTGTGGTCAGTCTATTAAGATCTAATGTAATGAGGTAGAGGATGGGGGGTTAGAAATAAGAAGATGAGTGTGTTACAAAAAAAAAAAAAATGTTTAAAGGATACAATAAAAAGGCAATGATTTTTCAAAATACCAAGTTTCCTGCTTAGGTTCCATGACTGAGGAGGCAGAATGCAGTAATTACTCCTAACAGGATAAAGAACACAGTTACCCACATTTGAGAAAGCAGTACAGATTTTTTATTGTTAAAACAAGAGATCTGAGCATAAGACACAAATAAATTAATTGTTCTCATCATTTGAGACTCCAGGGCCTCTCTATGGAAAGGTCAGCCCAGCTGGCCACGTAGACATGGTCCTTCCAAAGCAAGAAAAAGCAGGGATTTGAGACAGTGTTCAGGACAACCACCAAGCACGTCCTTGGTGAGGAGAGATGAACAGGTGCTTCCCCTGGTTCCTTTCCTCAGGAGGCTCTGTGTGTACACAGGTATGAGCCTCATTTGGGGGGAAATGATTACATATAGAAAATTTTTTCATCCTTCCACCTGTCAGAAAAAGTTGCAGACCCTGGTGACACGTGTTTCACACGAACATCCAGACAATAATCAATGTATAATTACCACCATCTTTACTTTTAAAAAGCTTAATATCCATTTATACCAAAACAGTACGCTGAATTTTCTCCTTAGAAAGTTTTCCACCAAATTGGAGTTAACTCGATTTCACTCTAAAGTGCAAGAAAGGACATGGAAGAGAAGCACTGCCTGGCACAGCTGCCGCGAAGGCCCCGCCCGGTAGCAAGGGCTCCAGTCTCCCAGCAGGAGGGGTGTCCCTGCCAAGTCTGCTTTTCTTTGTGCCCAGATCTCAAACAGGCGTGGGTCCCCTCACCCACATGGCTGGAGCACACAGCGCCAGCAGCGTAGGGCAGAGACCAGTCAGCGGGCGCCACTCTGCCATGACTCCTCCACACGCGCTGACTGTGGTAGAGGACGACGCGAACATTCCCTGCCTAGCACGGGGCGGTCCAGGTCTTGTCTAGGTCACGTGATGCAGACATAGGTGATGAGGCCCCACACATTGCTGCTGAGGTTATTTAGTCTAACTTTACATCAACGCAACACGCAATAGCTTCTTCCACACAAGGACAGGCTTTACACTAATATTTCTCAAAAACCAATTATGTCTCCAGTTCTAGCCTCAGTTTAAAGGATTGGAAAAAAAAGAAGAAAAAAAAAAACAACCCAAACCCTTCCTATGTCAGAGCCAGGGTAATAGAGGAGTGGGTGTAAGAAACCCTCTATCCAGAGTCATTGGAAGAGAAAACTCTAGAAGCCGGTGGGTGTGAGCACATTCAAGTCACGGGGTTTGAGATTATGGGTACGCGGCGGTTGTTTCTTCCCTTCGATCACTGGGACGTCCATCTTGGGTGGCTTGAAGGCTGCTGGATCTTCGGCCATTCGGGTGGCCTGCACGCGGATCAGCTCCATTGGAGAAGGTTTCTGAGCTCCCCTGTAGGGTTGGGTGGCAAAACCTCCTACAGAAGTAAACCAGAGCAAATGAATTGAAAGTCAGTAGACAGCTCCTGACACCCATGGTGAAATGCCTGCCACACTGCTTACTCTTTTGAGGGAGCCGCCTTACCCGAATCAGACTTCTGGAGAGATCTTGGTCCAAAGAGGCTCCATTTATCTGCCGAGTTTCTGTCTTTATCTCTGCTTCCAGAATCCATGGTGCTAAGATTTGGGCCAGGTAAGGCTGTGGAAGGGCCAGATGAGAACCAGCCTCTGGCAGAGAAAGAATAAAAGAGCCTGATATATCCTCCTCCTAGCCCTCTGCAAGTGTCTTGCGCGAAAAGCCTAGGAACTCAACGCCCCCTCCTTGCTCTGAAACCACAGGCTTAAGTAAGTCCCAGCTTCGTAGGCACACGGCTGCTCGGAGGGGTCACGGGCAAGGCTCACCTAGGCTTCTGCTTAGGGGAAGAGTGGGGGGTGCTGCTGGGGGTGGACTGGGCTGAGGCCGGATTCTCCTCTCTCGTTATCTCTCCACTCTGTAGTTTTAGTTTCTGTTCAGATGGGTAAGAAAAGAGACTTCAGCTCAGTTTGGGTATAAACAACCTGGTCCACATCAACTTCAGGCAAAAGGAAAACAATAGGTGGAATAATTTTGGATTACAGAACAGATAGTCCTTTGATTTTGCCACACTAAATAGAACTCCATCTTAAAAAAAAAAACGTACAAGTTCTACAATATATCTTACACATTTCCATACTCAATACCACACTAGAGCTTTTAATTTTCCCACCTTGCCCAGCCAGTAAGTGGAAGAGCCAGAACTCAAGCTGCAGGCCTTCTGAGCATGGCCGTGAACTCTGCTCTAGCTGCCTCTCTGGCCACAGACAGCCTGCCCCTGCCAGGCTCTCGAAGCCATGACCCTGGGGGGCGCGCTCTTCCTCTGCAGCTGCCCACCTCCTCTGCCCCGTCTGGTCCCTCTTCCCTCCGCTAACCAGCCACGCAGGCTTCCCTCCGCATTGTAAACGCACCTCTAACACACAGACAAGCGTCTGCCGGGGGAGAGGCCAATCTGCCTCTCAGGCCTTCCGGAGCGAGGCTCCCTGGCTGTCTCTACGCTCCATGTCCACTGTGCCAATGCTGAGCCCAAGCCACGTTCCAAACAAATGACCCCGACTGAATCTTCTCGAACACTCCCCATGTCAATTTACGTAAGCTGGCATTTCAGCCAGCCTCATGTTCTACTCCTGTGGCCAAGATGCAGAAAATGGCCCAAAGTCAATCCTATACTATACAGGGTGGACAGCTCAACCAGAATTCTGACCAACATGACAGTGTCCCCTCTCCGGAAGCACCTGTGCTGCCTGGCAGCTTAAACTGGCCACCAGCCCAACCCTGATCCCCCACAGCAGTGGTTTTTACGCTCCGCGTGTGACCATCACCTGGGACGCGCGTTACGAAGCGCCGCGGTCCCCAAGCCTCCCACCCCTCCCCCCAGGCCGCCAGAGCCACGCTGCTCTTCCTCCCACACACTGCCTCCCGGTCCTCCTTTGAGCCCCCTCACGAGTCAGGTTCTTGGGTCACTTTGGAACATGGGGAAAACCCAACAGGAACGAGGGCATCAGGAGACCTGAGTTCAGGTGCTGTGACTGGTTAAATACACGACCTTGGACCTCAGTCTCTTCATTTACAGAACACGGAGAACAGCTTCCAACTCAAGGGAGTGACACAAAGATGAAGCGAATGCAAGCGCCTCAGAAGCCGCAAGGCACTGTTAGGTGCAAAGCGGGGCTCCCTGAGCCGAAGTCATTGGAAATTATTTCACTCATACCACTACTCGGTCCTTATTAACCTTCCCAAAAATTAGTCTCATTCATTCCAAGTTTAGAAATGAAAGAGCAAAAACATTCCAATTCTACGTCTGCTTTCAATTTTTAAAAAATTAAACCTAGAGCGTGACCTTGCTTTCCAGCTACAGTGTCACCTCCGTTGAGGCTGCCCGAGCCGCCTCTGTCCCTCAGTGTCGCTCACTCTGGTGCACCAAGGGACCCAGATCGGCCTCACCGTCTGTGACACGCTCGCACAGATCACATGGAGAGCGCAGAGGCTCCCTCTGCCTCGAGCAGAGGCTCGCCCTTCACCGACGGAGAAGAGGACCTTCCCACCGCAGGCGGGGCTCACACAGTTCGAAATGCCTCGCCCCGCAGCCCCCGCCGAGCCGAGCTGGTAACTTCTAAACCACAGCCACATCTCAAGCTATGAGTGACGAGGACGCCGTTTTTTCCGAAGTCCCTGAGCAACAAGCTTACTTGGAGTGCTTCTGCCCCTCGAAGGTACTTGGTCTCCTCGGCGGTAAGGCCCTTGTGGGGTGTGTAGCCAGCATCTCTCAGCCCTGCCTGTTGCTCAAAACGCTGAATGCTCTCCTGGGTCTGTTCTGGGAACAGAGGAGATGACAGTCATGCCCGTCCCCACCGCCCCTCACAAACTGGGGGAGGACAACACAGACACCCGCCATCCTCCCCGGGAGCGAGAGACCGCGCCGACCACCCGACGAGGGTTCCCCAGGCCAGCGGCGATCCTGAACCTCGCACAAAGGTTCCCTGACCACAGGGACACTCCCCTCACACCAAGATACAGAACAGATAACCTCCAGGGGAACTCCTTGCCTCCCTCTTACTTGTACACTGTGCCATTCTCTGTGTGTTTAGAAATGCAACATGGGGAAGCCAGCTGATGTTTAGAAACTGGGGAAGTTCTCCAAATAGTTTCCTGAGAGGGACTCACCACCATCACAGCCCACGCAAAGACCTTCACCAAAGAGAAACGGGCCACATTTCGGCTAGATGGCACCGAGGTACCAATTAGCGACAAGCCACAGAGAACGTGCCTTGAATTAGCCAAGTCTACCGAGCCACGCCGGGCACAGAAGACAAACAACCCCATGTTAGGTAATCAATAAGTCAGTTATACTAGGAAATGACTGACAACTGAATTTTTTGCTCACTCTATATACACACTACCTCATACAGCCCCATATACAGGAATGTGGCAGACAGGGACCAAAAGTCTAGATCTCTGACGTCTTTTATGACTCAGTCATTCCCCTTGGAAGGAACAATTTTATTTCTATCAGAATTAGAAGCACAAGGGGGTGGGGGAGGGGGACCTAAACGTATAAACGTTATCTTCCTGTTTTATCAGGTAGTTACCTGAAAATTTAAAAGGCGGGAAAAGATTTAACGCATTATAGCACACTAATACCAGGATTTTACATTTTTTTAAAATGTAAGACTATAGCCACATCCAAAGAAAGCTGAAACAAAGGTATGTCTACTCTGTCTGCAATTATGTAAAAATATGCACACAAGTGGAAGTGAATAAGCCAAGTAAGAATCTGAGTGACAGAACTTCCAGATATTAGAACATTCTGGATGCTGGGGAAGTGTATCTTCAATGAAGAAGTTATCTTGTGTTGGAAGAACAGGACTAAGAGCTTTCTTTCTAACGCTGCCAGAACATTCTCAGGCTTACACGGTGCAAGTAATGGTTGCAGATTCAAAAGGTGTGTTTACGCGTGAATGAGAGAAAGTCCAAGAAGAGCTTGGACTTTTGGTTCTTGGGCGAGTTCTCCAGAACAGGCCAGATAAACTGACCTCTCCCAGAGCAGATAAACAGGACCTTCAGCTTCAAGACAGAGCCAACAAGGAGCACCTCTATGCGCCCTGTCCCTGGCAGAGGCTCCTGCTGACTGGCCAGGCTGTGTATCTAATAATTAATTGTTAACAGCAGAACCAAGGCTTCAAAAACAGGCAAGCTCCCTTGTTTCCAGTCTCATTAGGACCACAAATCACACACCCTGAAGCATAAAGAAGCTTCAGGCAACAACATTCAGGAAGGGGGAAAGCTCTGAGCCACTTAAAAAAAAAAAAAAGAAAAAGGAATACAAGGCAGGTGGGGGATGTCTCTAGTGTCATCTTTCCCAGCAGCAGCTCCCAGCCACCAAGCACTGGGCCACCTAACCCTCTCTCTGCCTGCCAGCCAGACTCCTGTTTCATTTACGAGGAAACAGTCTCAATGGTTAAGTAACCTGCCCGAGGCCACACCGCCGCACATGGGCAAGTAAGACCGCATTAGCCAAGCAGCAGGAATACCGAGTAGGAATACCTCTATCAACCAGAGTTGCCCTGTGTTTGGCAAATCTTCGCCTCCACGGAGCTACACTGGTGACGGCAGCCGAGCTGGCACCTGCCAGGCGCGGCCAGGACAGGCCCCGGCCGGCGTGCCCGCCGAACCCCAACGCGTCCCGCCCATCCCACTCCACTCAGGGGTGCAGAGCGCTTACTTGTGATCAGAGAATTCATGATGACACGGGTGGCTTTAGCCTTCACCACGGGGACCTTGTCCATACTGTCAATGGCTGATGACAGGGTCATGGCAGGGGAGGGGACACTGGCCTCTCCTTCCTCCACCTGTTCGAGAGAGGTAAGGAGGCACTTGAGCAAAGCAGGGGGGTCGCACACTGAAACCTACTCTTCTGGGGAAGAAGTTACTGAAACACCTTGAATCTGATAGACAAGGAAACCTCTGAAGGGAGGGGATTTGTCCTCTCTACCCGACTAGATGTGTATCATCCATAGTGACAACAGATAAAGACATACAAATAGCCTGGATTTATAAAAGTGGGAAAGCGAAAATGTGAAGCTGCGGCCTCCCCATTCCCAGCCAGTGTCTGTCCAACAGACTGAACTAGGACCCACCGCCGAGCGCTGACCGCGTACCAGGCGCCACGCTGGCTTTGCCTAACTCATCACGGCACTCTGCCGGCAGCTCTGGCATTCTGAGTGAGGATCAGAGGCCCTGGAGGGCTGGGCAAACAGGTGGCCGGGCCCCGCCCCAGAGCTGACTCGGAGGCCTGGGGTGGGGCTCAAGAATTTATTTTTCTAACAAATTCCCACGTGATGCTGATGCTGCTGGTCCCCAAAAACACACTATGAGGCCCCTAGCTCTAAAGGTTCAAGGAACAGTCTTTTAAAACGACCCAAAAAACTCCACATAGCTCTTCACCTTGAACAGGAGAGCTGACAGCTTGCCTCCTTCTGGCATGCCAGCCCCTGGCAACTGGCAGGGAGGGGGGAACTGGCTTTATGTTTTGTTGCCTGCTTGTCCAAGGGAATTAATAAAGACCGGCAGGAAGGAGGGGAGCAGAAGTACTGGAATGCCGTGTCTGCGTTACAAAAGAGGGCTTACACTTCTCAGCTGTGACTTCGGTAAAACCTGAATCTCTGCTTCCTTACTTGGAAGGCGGTAGAAAGCCAGGACAAATGAAAGAATGCATGCAGAGTTCAGCTGGGCTTCCCATTAAGAGCAGTTGTTCCCAACTGTCAGCTGTCCCAGCTGGGGCACAGCAGCAAGGGGGAAGCCCACCCTTTGCCTCGGCAAGCACGCAGCAGCCTTTACACATGAAAGGGCGCGCCGCCCCGAGGAGCACCAGCAGCAGCCTGGCCTGGCCTGGCCTTCCTCCTGCTCGGTGCGAGCGCTGGGCTGGCGCTGCAGGCCGGCAGCCAGGGTCCTTTCCTCCCGCTACCACCAGCCCGCCTCACTTGCGACCTTTACTCCTAACAGCTGACTGAGCGGATTTCGGTCAAGGACACAGGGACTTTCCCCCAGAGCTGGAGGGAATGCTTTTGCAGAACGGAGCTCCCCGTTCTGAGAGCCCAAGGGAAGGGGCGTGGGGAGGGCCAGGAGAAAGGGAGAACCAAACACAGCTCTACCAGGTCCAAGGCAGGCTGGGGGCAGCAGTCTCAGGGGCCGCTACACCCCGAACGCATGTTTCGGCCCTCCTTCATTTAATCCGCACAACACCCCCACGGCAAAAGTAGCCCCATCTCTCGGGTGGAGACGCTGTCGCTCAGGGATGAAGCTGTGTGCCCAAGGTCACTGCTAATACATAGACCATTAGGGGACTCATATCCAGGTCTGTTGAAGTAACTGCTCGCTATGTACTTCCAGTCAGACCCTCAAAGTTCAGGGAAACTGTAGCTGTAAATTCAATGGCTTCGACTGAACTTGGCAAGCCTAGTTTATTCCGGCACCAGAACCGAGAGTCGGAGGTGACCGTCCCCACAGGCCGGGAGCACGGGCTCAGTGACATGTCTGCAACGAGCACAGGACAGCCAGGAGGCACGCTGCCCAGAGGGGCTGTGCGGCAGGCGCGGCGGGACGGGAGTGTGTGTCTGAGAGAGCCAGGCCCCGAGGGAGGCGGCGGCGCTCGCCACGGGGGAGGCGTGCGGGGAGGCCTGCGGCCGGTGGGAGAGCGTGACATAAAAGAACAGCACATGCTCAGGAAACGATCACTCAGTGAACATTTTCTTTTTCGTTTTGGAATCTGCTTCGTGTCAAGTCCTCTGCTTGGTACCGCAGACAGACTACGACACTGGCCCCCGCTCCTGCCCACCAGAGCCAGTGGAGGGTGATAACAACGCAGGGCATGTGACAGGGGCAGACGGTACAGCGGAGGGCTCAAGGGGAGGGGCCCGTCTTATCAGGAGGGAAATCCTGCAGGAGAGACGTCTGCGCCAGGCTTAAAGGACGCCACTGTCCAGGCAGGCGGGCGGGAGAAGAGCGATGGGATGTAAACACCCCAGGCAGCGGAGCCGCTGAAGTGAAGACTTTAAGGCATCACACACCCCGCCGAGGGCGAGAAACCTCAGGTAACTTGCGCGGTTGGATCACTGGGGGCAGCGGCCCACAGGACCCAGATCACGCAGAGCCAGACTAAGGAGCTTGCATGTTTAATGCCGTAGCAAACGGGGTGGGGATGGGAGGGACAGAAGAACTGCAGGACGGGGAAAGCACAGCCATTCTAGTTTGAATTAGAAATAACAAAGGGCCCGCCGCCTCCAGCGGAGGCACAGAAAACGCACGTAGGGACTGGAGGCTGCCAGACTATACGGGTGCCAGAGCCACGGAAGCTCCTGGAGCCGAGGAAGGAGAAGGAAAGGCCGGGCCTGCCAGCGGCAGCCGGCGGGGTCAGGTACCTGGGCGAGGTGCTGATACTTGCGCTCTGGGATCACCGGCTTCCAGGGGATGCTGCCCATGTCCGATGGAGGAGGGGTCATGGGCGCCGGGTCCTCCAGGGCATCATCATAGCTGAATGCCCGGCGGTGCATCCCGATGGGCAGGGACATCTTGCCTAGAGGCCCACTGGGCTCAAGAGCTAAGAACAGAGACACCTGTCAGGATGGGTTCAGCAACTGATCACGCTCATCGCTTTAAATCGACCTGTAGGCAGGGAAGCTCTGAAACACGCATTCAGAGACACAGAAGAGCAGCTCGCCCTGGAACTGCGAGCCCACTCGAGGCACGGGAACCTGCAGCACTGACCCCGGCCTCCGTGCCCGGCCCTCGGGTTCTGCTCTTCGCCCACTCGGCAGCCCCATCCATTTGTATGGTTCAGAAAAACGGGAAGTTCCATTTAAATGACCTGAGCAAGGTCACATGACTTCAAAGTGCAGCAAGCAATCAAAAGCCGATCCTGTCTGATTTCACAGCTTGCGTTCTTTATGCCACAGAATCTGTGCCCACGGCATTGCCAAGGCTCTCAACTCACGCAAGACTGAGGGTGTGATGTTCTTGTTGCCATTTTATAGATGAGAAAACTCGGGCCTAGAACGAAGCAACTTGCCCAGGTTCATTCAGCAAACAGCCAGCTGGGCTCGACTGCGAATCCTCTGCCCTCCCTCCCCCACCAAAGAAAACAAGAGCACAAGGACAAATCTCTGCGATCTGCTGCCAGCTTCATCGCCTGGCTCCGCACGCTCTGCATGATTTAAGCGGCCGCGCCAATTACCACACAGGAACTGCTGACAGCCACTCCCCTCCGGCACTGCCGGCCGATCGTGCCAGGCTGCCCACTGGACCTGACTGGCAGTGTCCCGCTGGGCCACGGGCACCCTGTTTCAAGGGCACTCTCAGCTCTGCCAGGCCAGGGAGCCAAGTTCATTTTGTTTGTTTCATAGCAGAACTAATGTCCAGGTCCTGCCTGCAGCGTGACATTTCCCTGTTGCTAAAATTGTATTCTCTCCCCAAGACATCAACCTGCACGGTAGTTAAGTCCCAAACCAGCAAAGATACTTCATTTAAACAGCAAGGGACCAACCAGCAACCATTACTATTACTGTTAACATCAATAATAATTACTAACAAATCCACAAAAACAGAAAATGAGTGGCTGCCAAGGAGTGGGGGGGAAGGGAGTAGTAGGTGGGCGGGAAGACTGATGACGAATGGATATGAGGTTTTCTTTTCGGGCGATGATGTTCTGGAGTGAGACAGCGACAATGGTTGCACAACCTTGTGATACTAAAAGCCACTAAATTAGTCACTTGAAACGGGTGACTTTTATGGTATGTGAATGATCTCCATTAAAAAACCAAATAAGAGTCCTGACTGGTGTGGCTCGGTGGGTTGGGCACCGCAAACTGGAAGGGCACCGGTTCAATTCCCAGTCAGGGCTCATGCCTGGGTTGCGGGCCAGGTCCCTGGCTGGAGGCCTGCAGAAGACGACCAATGAATGTCTTTCTCACACATTGATCTTTCTCTCCCTCTCTCCCTTCTCCTCTTTATAAAAATAAAATCTTTAAAAAAAGAAAGAGAAAATAATGACCAAGTACCCTTCCTTGCCAAGCACTTACATCCCTCATCTTACCTAATTCTCATTAAACAGATAGTCTTCCCAGGTTCCAGCTCAGGACATGGAGGCATAGATCTTAAGCAACACCCAGCTAGCGCGTGTGGGCGGGGACTGGAACACAGACCCGAGCCAGCGCCCACTCTGCATGCAACACTGCATGCTCCCCACACGACAGAGCCTCAGCACCAGGAGCGCAACCCTGTGGTCGGGTGGTTGCAGCGGAGCTTACGGTCATCACGACAGCACTGAGAGACAGACTAAACGCAAGCTGATGACGTAGGAGGCCAGAGAGGGACCTACGTCGGGAGACGCTGGGGAGACTCCTGTTAACTCCACTTAATTTGGGAGCAATTTCAAAAACATCTTAGGACTCCTCCCAAGAGCCATCTCAGTAGCCCTCCTAAAGATAATAATAAAGCCAGCTTCTATGTACTAAGAAACACAGTCCTGCACACAGAGACCCCAAAGTTTTCTGGGCAGTCAATGTATATTTATCACTAACTTTTAACTCACATTTTCTGCCTAATCTTCACAGCCACCCCGAGAGGTAGGCAAGGTCATCTGTACTTCACTGATTATCTATAATCGAGTGATGCAGATTTGATTAAAAATCCCTGCCCTCCCCGCTAAAACAGTCCAAGGCGGGATCAATGACTTCGGTAATCCAGAAATGACTGACCTGTAGAGACCCAGGACTCACTATATTGTTGCTGTGAGCATTTTCATGACTAAGTTCCGCTTGCTGCCTTCAAAGCCGGCTGGGCCCTTTCTGCCCAGACCTCCATTCCACCTGCCCTCTCCACCCCCCTATAAAGGGGGATGAGTTTAAAGTTTTGCTACACACCACAAGAACTCCCCAATTTATTCTGAATTCTTATTTAATACCTAAGGAAAGTAACAAATGTCATACCCTTGAGTGAAAACAACTACTCTCTTTCCAGTTAGATTCTGGGTTCATACCCTGGCTGGGTGGTTAATAAGATAATATTTAAACGATGCCAATCTAACCATCAATATACGGTTCAGGAAAAGTGGTTTCTGGATAGCAAGGTTGAGGGCGAAACATGACTTTACCAAAAAGAATTAAGTTTACCAGGCACTTCTGATTGTCTCGAAGCCATTGAAAGACTGGGATCCAGGTGCTTTTTCTATATAGATTTCAGAGCTGAGTCCCTGCCACCTAATAAAAATAACAGAGAGCATTTTCTTACAGTGAACACCAAAGAATAGCACCAACGCTGTTCTTTTGACAGGCACACAGAGTTTTATGGCTTGTTTACAACGCTGAAACACACATAAAAAAGCCAATGGGTGAGAAACATGCCAAGGGGAAGAAGCAAGGATAATGTCAAAGGTCTCACCACACCCGTGGCCGACCTTAAACCTGTGGCAGGACGAAGACATCATACCTGGTGAAAAGGTCACCTTACCAGAGTGAAATGACCTGACGATTACGCCGACAGCTGGATATTAATGAGGAACATTGTTCAGCTGCTGCCAATTAGCTGAGCTGCTTGGGAAGAATCCATCCATCCTTTCCGGAGGCACTGAGAACAACGAACCAGGTCAGCACGGCTGCTCGGAGTCCGCCAACCAACCTCCTCCCGTGCATTCACGCCTTCCCCCGCCTTGCAAGAGGGGTCCGGAGTTTGTTTGTTTTTCATGTTTTAAGTCAGTTAGGGCTCAGGGTTCTAATAAACTGACCCACAGGGAGGGCCTGGGTCGCTAGAGGTAAAATTCATTCTTTGTTGCTAACACCGACTACATTGACAAGGGTTTTATACAACACTTGTGTTTTAACCCTTGCAGGAACGCTGAAAGCGGCATTATTTGTCCCCAATTTTAAAAGAAGGAAACTGAAGATCAGGAGATAAGTGATTTATTTGTCCAGGGTCACAGCTAAGTGGCTCATCTGCAACATAGGTAGTTTCATACCCTTTTCAGGGGAGTTCAAAGCCCTACGAAAGCAGTTATTTGCTTTTCAGCTTGCTACCTGGCTCCTCTCTTCCAACGGAGCTCAGGGCAAACCAGTTCCTTCTTCACTAAAGAGCAGCGCGGAAGCCAAAGTTCAGCCGTCCTCTGGGCCCAGGGAGCTTTCGGATCCGCGTACATCCCCTTCCCGCCCCCGTCCCCTCCCGCGCGGAGCGCAGGCGTCTCCCACAAGGGACACCGGACGACGCCACCAGGATGTGCTAGGCCAGCTTTGCCTCAACCCCCTCTCCCTCCTGGCGGGCAGAGAAAGACTAAGGCGATTAGGGTCGGGGCCTGGCACTAGCAGAAGGTTCCCCGAGGGCTGCGCAAGAAGGAAGCTTAAGAGGTGAGGGGGCAGGGCCAGGCAGCTCCGAAGAAGCAGGGGCGAGGCCCACCGGGGGCCCCAGAGCCTGGGGAAGCGGAGAGGACTCGGGCCAGCGCCCAGGCGGAGGGGCCAGGAGCGCGCGCCTCTGGCTGAACCGAGGATGTGGCCCCAGGGAGGGCCGGGCCCGCCCGGCTCATCTACTTACCGGCTTCGCCTCCGCGGAGCTGCCTGCAGCCCGAGCTCCAGCACTAAAGAGGCTCCGAGGACCCACGTCTCTCTAGAGGTCGTGGCGCACTGAGGACCCAAGGCATGGTGTGAACGGCGTAGTGTCAGTCGCGACCCTAAAAGGTTCGGGCTCAGACCACAGAGTGTTTGAAGCCAGGCCGATCAGCAGCCTTCGTGATAAAGAATCCGGGACCGCACCAGTCACGCGAGACTTTGCCCGGAAGGCTCTCAGGGTATGCTGGGAGCTGTAGTCCACGATCGGAAAGCCCCCGCGACTACGGCTGCCCCTCTGCGCAGACGAGAAATGAGCAGGGACCCTCTTCCAGGAGGAGCGGTGTTAGTCAGGGTTCTTACTAGTAGCAGAACCAAAACAGGGAGCAAACTTCTTCTGCCTCCCGTCCCCTAGACGAGGCGGTCTGCGTTGTCACTTGCCTTTTACACCAACAAAAGTGACGCTTGAAAAGGTGTCAGCAGAGAGGTCACGGACCGAAGGAAGACTTATTTTTCCCCCACAGGGTTTACAAATGTGCTAAAACGACACGTTTCTACCCCACATCCCAAGCTTGCCATTAAGGAGGGCTGAAAGCGGGGCGGCTGGGGAGTGGATCTCACACTTAGATTTCGGCATTTGACACTTGCCACGTCTACCGGCAGGACAGAGAGACTTTCTCCCGGCCACTTTAAACTCGAGCGCCTTTACCGGGCCACCGGGCCACCGGGCCTGAGTGCGCCACGAATTAGTCTTTTAAATTCTGTCACTACCTTATGACTAGCACGGTTGCGTTGCCGTGGGATGTGTGTGTATCTTAAAAGTGTCACTTCGTTAATTTGGAACTTTTAAAACACTACATGCCATAACTTATTTACCCTCTGTGGAAGTAAAACCAATACCTGGTCCTCCTCCATCAGAAGGACAAAGTGCACAACACACCTCGGTCAGAAGGGGAGGAAAAACAGCGCTTTGCATCCTTAAATAAGCCAGGAGACAGGATCACCTTGTTTTGTTCTTAGCCCTCCTACTCCCAACTCCCCCCACCCCCACAAAAAAGGAAAAAAGAAAAGAAACTGAAGCCTTTCCTGGAAGTTACTGAGTCTCTGACTAAAACAACTTTATCCCTGACTTTTGCAGTACTGCCATCTGAAGCTACAGCATGGTCGAGGCACACAGTAGCCATGTGAGAAAACTGCTGTTTACACACACACACACACACACACACACTCCTAACCATACCTTTTTAAATTTCACAATCTTATGAAATTTTCTTTTTTAGATGAGTATTGTATTTTTTTTAATTGGAGGTCTTACTCATCTAAAGCCTTCCAAGCCTTTTGCAAGTAAACTAGTTTTCTAAATGGTTTGGTCGAATGAGGAGGATTCGGTCACAACTGACCCACAAGGCCCAAGAAGGGCGCTATCTGAGCTGTTAAGTTCAGGCCACCTCTCTCAGCTCCTGGGGTGGATCTCTTGTGGCGACAGAGGTTCCCCTCCACCCCTGTCCTGTGCTTTCTTTCAGACTCTGGTTTTGGTCCTTAGCCAAGCCTGATTCCAGTTCTGTGCCCAACTACCTTACTTCCCCAAGGGCGGCAGCCGCTTTGGGAGGTTCCTCTTTGAAGTCTGGCTGTACGGTCCCTTCTGGGGGCAGACACAAGGCAAGCTGCCCTGTATGTGGCTGACCGGGGAATCTGGTTGTCTTTTTATGTATGTTTACGACATACGCTTATTGGGACACTACTTTTCTAAGTGCTTTTGGCCCTGAATTGTCTTTTTGCAGTTCCTTGGGCACTTCATACTTTTATAAACTTGGAGCCCCACACATGAGAATTGACCAGGATCCCTCCTGCATTCCCCCTGGATGCCCCAAACCTTGCGCTCTACTTCATGGGGGAGGGGCACCTGCTCCGCTGTAGGCGCCTGCCCTCTCTGGCCAGGCCAAGCCCTCAGACAGTCCCATTCCCTGGACAGAGCAGCCAGTGTTCGCAGGGCCCATCAGCAGACGGGACCTTGGTCCCTGGAAAGGCAGCAAGAGGGCCATTTGCACTTCTGGGGTCTCTAGACTGGAAGCTTTACCTGGAAGTCTGCCCCCTTTTTTGTCACCGTGGGTGAGGCTTTCCACCTTGCAGTGCTCAGGAATGTTTGTTTCCATTGCCCAATTGACAGCAGAGGAAACTAACACACTCAAGGGGACCTTGGCAAAGGTACCTCAGCCAGGAAGCAGCAGAGTTAAAATTCAAGCCCAGGGCTGAGTGTCTACCTGATAATTTAGCTACTGGCTGTCCTTGGCCTCAGCGCCTCCACTTTCTACTTCCCTGGGGCAACAGGTTGAAAGCGCCCTCCGGAGGAAGAAATAACCGGACGCAACACCTCCCTCTAGTGGTGACGGGGAAGAACGATTTCATTGAAATCTAGCTGGGCTAGAGGGTCAACAGTCGAACTGTCCTTAGAAACCGGTTTGTCCAACCTGATATTACAGATGGTGCAACTAAGGTGAGGAGAACAGGAGGAACCAGGCCAGCGTCACACAGCTAGTGCGGAACAGTTGGTGAGATAGAAAACGTGATCTTGTCAGGCACTACGCTGGGTGCTCAGGATACACAGGGACCCAGTTTCTCGCTGCATTGGGCTGAGCTGTTTGTTATCAAAATTTACATGAAGTCCCAGCCCCCCAGTACCTCAGAATGTAACGGTCTACGGGCTTTTCGGGGACCCACAAAAAAAGCCTCTAAATACTTAAAGTAAAATCATTGGCTCCTATTTTGTTTTAAAAACTGCATAATCAAAATTAGTTATGTTTAATGAAATGTCTGCACAACAGATTATCACGTCAACTTCGTTTATGACCATATATAATTTTCATAAAGATGGCATTTGAAAGTAATTTTGGAGTGATTGTTCTAGGTTTGAAATAAATCCCCAGTGAGCACCTTAAGGCACCTAAAAAAGTCACAATCACAAATTAAGACAAGTTACTGCAGCCATTGAGCGATGCTCACTCAGGAAACAAGGTCGCTTGGGTTTTAATGCGAGCTGCACCAATGCACTACAGTGCGACCTGGGCCTCGATTTTCCCTCCTACGAGGTACTGTTTTAAGGGGTAACCGAGAACATCCGCGAGTTAACCCCTTGGCACACAGCAAGAACTCGGTAGATGCCGATATCACCATCTCCGGTCCTGCCCAGGTACAGCTTCTCGCTCCATCCCGCACCTCGCAGAGGGGGCGGGAGGTCTCTCTCTCCGGCCCTCGCCCCCACTCCCGCCGCCGGGGGCGGGTGGCCTGTCGCGACAGCGGTGGTGCATTGTGGGGCTTGTAGTGCAGGGCTGGGTTGGGTGGGTGGGCGCGGCTGCAGCAGTCGCAGCGGGGCCATCTTCGGCCGGCCGGCTGGTTCGGCCGGTGCACTCGCGCCCCGCGCCGGCCTGATGGCGCCGCGGCCGCTGAGCCCGTTGGTACTGGCGCTGGGCGGCGCCGCGGCCGTGCTCGGCTCGGTGCTCTTCATCCTTTGGAAGACCTACTTTGGCCGCGGACGGGAGCGGCGCTGGGACCGCGGCGAGGGCTGGTGGGGCGTGGAGCCCGCCCGCCTCCCCGAGTGGGACGATTGGGACGTGAGTGTCGGGCTGGGATCGGCGCCTCCCCGCGAGCGACCGAAGCACCTGGTTCCAGGGCTGAAGCTGCCGCCCGTACGCCCCGCGCGGGTAGCCGGGCCGTCGCGAGCTGCGGAACCGGGGAACGGGTGGACGTTCGGGGTGGGGGTTGGGGAACTGCCGCCGCCGGACGCCGCTTCCTCGCGAGCGCTGTCGGGGCCGCACCGGGTGCAGCTCGCGCCCGCCCGGCGCCTGCGCAGTACGCGGCGCGCGGCTCTGGGGATGTCGGGAGAGGTCCTACGGCCCCTCGTGTGCCCGTGGCTGCGCTGCGTCGTGCCCCCAACGCCGTGGCCCTTGCGGCCCTGCCACGTGGGCAAAAGGAGTTTGCCCGAGATCACTCAGGGGGAGCATGCAGAACGAGGGTGGGGATTCGGGACTCCAGAGGCCACGCTCGTCCCATTGCACCAGGCTGTGCCCCAGGCTGCCCTGAACAGGTGGAGGGCGGGGACGGGCGCTATGGAGCCTTCGGTCTGCCCTCGAGAAGGGCAAGGCGGGAGGGTGAGGCTGAAGGCCGATCTGTGCCCGCAGCCCGAGGATGAGGAGGACGAAGAGCCAGCGCTGGAGGAACTGGAGCAGCGCGAGGTGCTGGTGCTGGGGCTGGATGGCTCTGGGAAGAGCACGTTCCTGCGGGTGCTGTCCGGGAAGCCACCGCTGGAAGGCCACGTTCCCACCTGGGGCTTCAACTCTGTGCGGCTGCCCACCAAGGACTTCGAGGTGGACCTGCTAGAGAGTGAGCAGAACCCCCCCACCCCCCGGCATCACGCCCCACCAGCCCGGCTCATGTAACCGTCTCCCCATCACCTGAGGTGGATCCAAGCCTGGGCTCTTTGCCTGGGGGTAGCTCCAAAATGCGTATCTAAGCAGAACACACCCCTGTATGACAATCCTTCCCGAGCTTCTGGGGGCACAGAATACAAAACAAACTCTGTATTCTGACGTCGGCTCCCTTCATGAGCAGGCAGCTGCAGCCGGGTCCCCTGGACTGACCCCCACTCCAGCCGAAGCCTGCATGCCCAACGCAGATACCGACAGCTGGTTTCCTGTATGTCATTCGCTAGACATGCATCACTAAAGGACAGGGCTGCCACCTGGGAAATGTGTCATTAGGCGACCTCATCCTTGTGCGGCCGTTACAGACTGCATGGTACACAGCTAGGCTGTGTGTGTAGCCTGTTGCTCTTCGGCTCCAGGCCCGGATAGTGTGTTACTGTACTGAATACTGTAGGCAACTGTAATGTGTTCGGTTAAGTGCTAGGGAGGGGATCAGACTCTGAGGGCCGGGCTGTCAGCCCGACTGGGCCCAGTTCCTCTGATCTCAGGCCCTAGCCTGTTGGTCTGACCTAGCTACATCTTCCCTCCCCGCATATAGCAAACACTGGTATTCACCTCGGACTTGGCCTTGTCAACAAGCTTTCCCCATCTCCCTCTTTTGTGCCAGGGACATAGAAAGGTCAAGTGGGGGTTCAGCACTCTGCCTGGAAGAGTACCTCACCCCCATACCTGGGAGAGCGTGTTTGGTGTTTTCACGTTACCCCAAGACTTGGTGGGTAACAGTCCAGCCTCCGCAGGGTCCCTCGGCCTGGAGTCAACCACAGATCCCCCATCCAAGTCCTGGGCTTTCCCCTCCCACTTTGCTGTGGACTCCTACAATGTCCAGCCTGACACCTGGCTGAGAATGGGCTCATGACTCTCCCTCCAATATCCATTTCGCTTTATCCTTGCCTGCCTGGGCTCTGGTCTGTCCACTTCTCCCCACCTCCACCACCACCTGCTCGGTCCAAGCCACTGCCATCTCCCAGGACTTTAAAAGCCTCCTTGCCGGCCTTCCTGCTTCCACTTCCGTCCCCAGTGTCAGCCGGTGGTATCTATCAGATCATGTCACCCTTGCTAAAAACCCTTAAGGGGCTCCCCGCAGCCTCACGGTGACTCTGCCTCAGGCCTGGCCAGCCTTGCTGGGCGTGGTCTCATTCCGTGGCAGGGCCTCAGCCGCCCTGGCCACCTTCTGTCCGGCTTGCTCTTCTCTCTGCCTGGAGCGCTGTCCCTGCCTCTCCGTGGCTAGCTCCTTCCCATCACCCCAGACTCGGCTCCACGGAGCCTCCCTGGGGAGACCTTCTTCAATCACTCAGTCCAGATCCATGCCCCTGGCCACTTTTACATCCTTCCTTTCTAAAATTGTGTGTGTGTGTGTGTGTGTGTGTGTGTGTGAGAGAGAGAGAGAGAGAGAGAGACAGAGAGAGAGAGAATGAGTATCAGTGCTGGGTTTGTCCTGACTGCGGAGGGAGCTCCTTGAGGCAGGGCCCCTGCCTGCCTTGCTCACCTCTGTCTCCGGCACCCAGATCAGCGCTTGGCACCTCGTAAGCACTCAGTAAATACCTGTTGAGTGCCTGCTGTGTGCCAGGCATTGTGCTGAGGGCTTTGGGGGGATCCAGAGGTAAATGGTTCTAACTTTCAAAGAGCTTAGAGTCCACATGGGTCAGAAGTAGAACCAGAAACACTAGGATGCAGGGTGACCGGCAGAGAGGAGCAGGAAGGCCACCCGTGCTGGGGGTGCACATGGGCAGCCAGGTGGTAGGACTGAGTATGATGTTTCCAGAGGAAGAAAACAGGGCGACCTGACTGAACAAGAGAAACTGAATGGGGAGAGGTTGTGCACGGGCAGGGCAAGGAGTCCGGCTCCCGACCACAGCTACCGAAGACCCAGGAGGAGGCTAGGATTAGGCAGGAGGCCACACAGCCCAGGAGGAACTGTTCTTTCTCCTGAGCACCTACTACACACCAGCTCTCAGAAAAGAACATTGTATTTGTTCCTTCGGGTTTTTTAGGTAAGTTCAGTGAGGGGGAGACCGACGTTCGAAGGTAGCAACTTGCCAGGGAGGCCCAGCTGTCTGCTAGAGCTAAACCCGGTCTGATCAGCTCTGAAACCTGTGGTCTTTCCCTTGTTTCTGGTTCGTGAAGCCTTGGGGAGCTGGAAGCAGGGAGGGGATGGGGCCGGGTGTAGCGGGTGTGGCCCAGGAAGGCTCTGAGCCTGCCCCTGGCCTCTCCTTAGTCGGCGGCAGCCAGAACCTGCGTTTCTACTGGAAGGAGTTTGTGAATGAGGTGGACGTGCTGGTGTTCATGGTGGACTCGGCTGACCGGCTGCGGCTGCCCTGGGCCCGGCAGGAGCTGCACAAGCTGTTGGACAAGGACCCTGACCTGCCTGTCGTCGTGGTGGCCAACAAGCAGGTGAGGGCCAGACTTGATCACAGGTACCTGGGCGGAGGCGGGCGTCCTGGAGAGGGATCTGGGCCCGGGCCCGCGATCTGGGGCACTTGGCGGAGATCCTGCCCCCTCCTCTGCCTGTGCTCTTCCCTCGTCCCGTAGCCCCATCCTGTCTGCCTTCCCTTTTGCCTCCCTGCCGCCCATCATCCTGCAGAAATGAGAAAGATCGTTGTTCAGTAGCCACTAGATGCCAGGTGTGGTTTTGAATGACATTTCATATTACGCGTCTCCTGAGCCTCCAAGGTATGGAACACTAGTCCCATATTACATGCAGGAAATCTGAAGCTCAGGGATTTTGTAATCTCCCCAAGGTTGCACACCTTGAAAATAATGGAATTGGAGTACCTAACTCCAACACCTGTGCCTTTGTACTCTGCTGTGTCCTCGTGGCTGCTGGCTCTAGGTCGGAGAGCGGAAGCTGGGAAGCGATGAGAAGTTAGCAGAACACAGTAAAACAGCTAGATTGTATTGTGTGCGTGCTTGCAGCCTGCCAGGCCCAGTGCTAAGCACCTGATTGTCATGACCTACAAAAACCCCCCAATAGGCCTTGCTGTTGTCCCTAAGTGCCCAAAGTTACAATTGGCGTGTGGCAAAGGCAGGACTGGAACGCAGATTGTCCGCAAAGTTTCTGCTGTTAATAGCGTACCTCTCCCGGGTGCCAGAGAGGGGCCTCGGGCCCGGCAGCCCTTGGTGTCAGACCTCAAGTGCCATCCTCAATACGAGGTGGAACTGCCACAGTCTGGTCCTGTGAGTCCTGGGCCTGACGTATTCCCTGTGGTCTGTGCTCATGTCCCCAAGGGCCATGGGGCATGCTTCCAGCCTGGCTGGAGAGGCTTACACATTTGACCTCAGGTTCTCCCTGCCCATTGGGACTTGACATTTATAAATAGGTGACCGTATGCCCTGGACTGCCTGGGACGGTCCCCTTTTATACCTGGTATTGTATCATTAATAGTGCCCACTGAGTCTCACAGTACCCCAGTTCGGACAGTGAATTAAATTACATCATGACCCTACAGAAGACACTGACGGTCCCCACATCCTATGAATTGCTTCAAGGAGAATCATTTTAATCTTAGACCAGGGTTGAAATTAAACTGTACCCCCACATTGGCCACGTTTTATAGTGGCCTCTCGCTTCGCTCAGCTGGGGTCCAGGCGCTAGGGAGGGACAGCCCATGTCTGGAAGTGGCCCCACTACGCGATCTCTCCGCTACTGAGTTTAGGAAGCTGAGCGAGGATCCCTAGGTGGGTCCTAGGCTTGGGCACCCCACCAACCTGAGTGTGAAACTTGGTTCTGCCACTTCTCACTGCTTCCCTGACTGGGTGACTTCACCCTCCCTGAGCCAGTTTCCTCCTCAGGGAGGTGTAGGCTGTGCCCAGCACCGTGCAACATGTAGGAAGTACTACTTCCAACCACAGTGGCTGATGATGGGATGGAAAGAGGCGAGTACAAAGGAAAGGCAGAGACGAAGAAGAGCGGAGACCAGGGTCGCTCAGGGCCGCCTCCTGGACGAGGCTGGGCGCTGGGAACTCTGTGGGCTGTTTTACAGGACCTGAGCGGGGCCGTGAGCGTGGTGGAGCTGCAGCAGGAGCTGGGCCTGCAGGCTGTGGGCAGCCAGCGGGAGGTCTTCCTCTTGGGGGCCAGCGTCGCCCCCGCAGGGCCCGGCTTTGAAGACCCCGGCACGGTGCACATCTGGAGATTGCTCTTGGAGCTCCTGTCCTAGGCTGGCGGCACCCGCTGCTCGCCAACCGGCCCTGGGAGCCCCTGTTCTGCTGCTCCATCTTCATCAGCGGCCTGGGCCTGGGGCAGGAGCCACGCGGCAACACATCCCTTCTCTCCTTGCCCTCGCGAGCAGGGCCTGGGCAAGGCCAAGAACCGCGCAGAAGCCTTCCTGGTGAGGCGGCCGTGGGGCTGAAGTGGGGAGGCGGGCAGGGCACCAGGCGGCAGAGTTGACTGGCTGTTTCCGGGCTGGCAGGGGATCCAGCTTCTACCCTTGAGGGCCCCTCCTCCTGACTTGTACCAAGCCGTTCGGTGGGCTCAGTGCGCCCCTCCCTGTGGCTCCCCATGGTTGAGGACTGCACTAGGTGTCAGAAGTACTCCCAGTCTGGACTGTGTGTTCCTGGCAACCTCTCGCCCGTAGGCAGCACGCAGCCACCTGGCCGCTCTCAGCTCCACGGTTCCTCCAGCCCCAGCTCTGCCCATCTGGCCCTGGGGCCTTTGTTTGAAAGGAAGGTGATTTCTGTATTTTTTTCAAACTGGAAGATGCATTTTCCAGCCTCAGAGATAAGCAGCATGAGGACAAACCTGGAGATCCTAGCAGGGATCTAAAACCTCCCTGTTCCCCAAGCCAAGGCCTGGCCCACCAGCCTCTCATGACTGAAGTGGTGTTCACCCCCTGATCAGAAACCAGAAAGCCTTTCCCCCATATCTGGAGACAGAAGCTGCTGCTCTTAGAGTAACTGTGCCAGTGCCCATGTTTCCATAAGTAGGGGAGCAAGGAGTCCCCGTTCCCAGAAGGGAAGAAGCTTGAAGACCATCCACCAGGGCTGGGCGCTGGGCGTCAGCCCAGAATGGCATCGTGATGATTTATTTACAAAGGAACAGGCCAAAGATTTAGTCTGTTTCTAGGTGCTGTTATCAAAACACCAGATGATTGTGATGGGAAGTTTGGATCTTGGAGGAAAATATCTGGAATCATGAATGACAAAGTGATATGCTACCTGTGTCAAAAATCTACAAAGCTGTAGCTTCCCCCGCCCTTTGAATACTTCACTCTGCTCCATGGGAATTGTAACTCCACCAGGACATCAAACCGCTTCTGTGTGGATAACAAATGACTGGGAAAGGAAATGTGAATCATGCACATCCAGGTAAAAGGACATGGGACTTAGCAGACCAGCCAGCGGGCAGCCTGGGGTCCACCACATAGCGTTTCAGGACCTGTCGATGGCGCAGCTAGATGGCACTCCTGTGTCCTCTCCAGGGCACATTCCATGGTCCTCCTTCCAGGGACCAGCCAGGTGGAGGACCATCTTGTTCCTGCAGCAACACTTCTCTTCGGTGCAGGCAAAGACGGAGCCTTTTTTCTGTTGGCGCCACTGAATGATCAACAGCCACATTTCTCTTTTTTAGAGCAGCTATGCGGCTGTTTGCTTTCTCATGACCAGGTCATGTGCCTTCGTTTCCTTTGACGTTCACTCTGTGCTTCGGCTCTGTGGTTGGTGTGGGAGGGGGGACAGGGAGGGCGGCTGGAGAACTGAACTGCTCGGCCCTGGGGCTGCGGGTGTTCCAGGATCCTGGCCTTCGAAATTCCGGTTAACTTCATGCATCGTGACGTCATTTGTCTGCTTTTATTTTAAATAATTAAGCAATGACTTGGGTTTCAGAGTAGCCTTTAAAACTTTTCTGACAACTTCTCACTTTGCCATTGGAAGGCTGAGAGACCTCACTTCTACGTCCTATGGACCCCACCCACCGGTTTCCAGTGCTTGAAAGTTACCTTTGGAACCAGCGTTGGTGAGGGGACTCTTTTCTTCTCATTAAGATCTGCCTTTGGTCTATTACCACTATCGAGTGCAATTTTTAAAGTCCCCAGTGGGGGGAAGTGAACTTGAATAGAGTTCAACTACATGTAGTTGAGCTGCTTTTAAAGACTGCTCAGAACTAACAAGTCCCAGCATCGCTAGAAGACATGCTGGCGAGGGGCACTGCAGGGCCACACTGCGCCCCCGCCCCCAAACTTGTACGGAGTGTAGACCTTCTGTTGGCACAGGGGTGCGTCCGCGCCTGACTCCTGATGGGGATGCTGGTCCGTCCTCCAAGCAGAGTGTCACAGAGCCCATCTGCTCTGGTTCCCAGGACCAAACCAGGCAAAGGACAATGGCCTTAAGAACAGCTAGCTGCCTGGCCTTGCGGTGCTCTTACCAGTTCCTCCTGGATGTGACTTCGTTTCAGGGGACCCAGGCACTCCCTGCAGCCGTTCAGCTGGCCTGGGCCCCACCGCGGTCTCACCACAGCCCCCGCTCTACGGAGCCCACCCTCCCTAAGCGTGGGATTAGGGAGGAAGGCCTCTGCCTGTGGAACTTCTGCCTGCGTCACTCCCCCTAGCCTGGGGGCCTCTTAAGAGTTATTTAAATGAAATCAAGCCTTCTGATACTACATTCTCCGACCTGCTGCCATCCTGTGAAGCGAGGCCAGCCTGGCCCAGAGCTGGGACGTGTGAATGGCCTGGGCAAGAGCACTCAAGGCTGCTGGGGCCGACTGCCCGCCCCAGGAAGCCCGGGGCACATCTTGCTGCTCAGAGCTGCCCTGCGCAGGGGAAGCAGTGTGAGACGGGCGGGGCCGAGTCGGCCCCCACGCCCGTCCTCGTCCTCGCAGAGGTGCTGCTGAAAACCTCCGAGCTTGGGCGCATCTGCCTGAAGGAAGCACTGGGTTCCCCATAAAACATTTCCACTTGCCTTTGAAAAACATTGTGTTCTTACACTGGTTTGGTACCAGCCGCCAGCATCCCGCACCAGCTGCGGAGACCCGCCGGCGGTGCGTCCTCGTGCCATGGCCCCAGGCCTCGGAGCCGGGACTGAGGTGGTGCCTCGCACGCCTGCTGTCTGCTCCCCGGCCCTGACTCCTTCGCGGTGGCTCTGAAAAGAGGAGCCTCCAGCTTCTCCTGGTCTGCTGCCTCTGAGAGATGGGCCCGTTAAGGGACAAGGGGAAGATTCCCATCAAAGATCTGGAGGTAAAGGGGCCTCGCGGTCCCGGCCCTGCCTGCCGATCCCAGGCCCACAGGGCACGAGACAGAGCGCTGGTGGCGCCGGAGGCACTGCACAATAAATGCCAAAAATTCGGCTGTGGTTTCGTTTGAATTCTGATTTTGAGGAGTGTGTTGGGTGCTTACAGCACCCCCGTGAGGGACAGCTACCTCCTGTGACCTGGTTTGTCACCAGCAGGTCCCAGTCCCCGGGCCCTTGGGCCCACAGCGGGCCGGGGCAGTGAGGAACATCAGCTTTGGGCTCGCTACCTTCTGGGGGGGTGTCCAAACCCCAAACCCTTCTCGCACTCCTTGGCCTTGGCCTTGGCCCTGGTGCTGTGAGCTGTGGGAATGGGAGCAAGGACGTCACCTGACGGCCTCCATGCCTGTGGTCAGGACGAAGGCCGCTCCACACACGTTTCCAGGCAAGGTCCCCACACTCAGCTGCCTGGCAGGGGGCATCAAGCAGACTGAAAGGCAGTCCTGACTGATAGGTATCGCTAACGGGAAGTCTGGGGCGCAGGGGCTACAGGACACTTACAGGGCGGGGGACGGTGGTAGGCAGGGAAGGCTTCCTGGAAGTGGCGCCTGAACTGGCTAGTGAAACAAGGTCGGCCAGCCTTGTCAGAGGCCCGAACCTGGGATGCCATGAAGGACAGAAGTCATGAGGCCAAATGCCAAAGGCCACCTGAGCTCTTCAGGCTGCAGCCCAAAGGCCGGGCTCGCCCAGCCTGCCCTGATGGGGGGTCGGGTGGGCTGCCTCCGGGGGCCAGGGTGAAAGACAGCAAATGAAAGCCTACACTTAGCTTTCGGAAAGACTGGACTTCAACCCCTCAACCCCCAGTGCCTCTCAAGCCTCACCGTCCTTACCTGTGAGGGGAGGGTAAAACCACACACCTTATAGGATTTTATGGGAAATGATCTATGTAAAAACTAAGCCCTTTCCAAGAGCAGTGAGAAGAGACATTTTAGGTGCTTGTAGGAGAAACCTTGGGAGCAGACTTTTTGTATTAATAGCCGAGGATAAAGTGATCAAGGCGAAGAAAAGGCCCAGTGCCCACGCCACACCCTGCCTGTCACCCTGCTATGGAGCAGTCGTCACTTTCTCATGTCACCCAAATCAGGCAGGCCTGGCCCTGAGAATGGGCTGGGGCCAGCACCATCTCTAACCGCACACCCCTCCTTGCCGTAAACCCTGGCTCCAGCTTCTCGGGTCCAGGGGGAGGCTTCAGCCTGGGGCAGGCGTAAACCAGTCACTCAACCTCCATCTTACTCTTCTGCAAAGAGTCAATGAAGGCTTGCCACTCCGCTGGGTAAAAACGCTTATAGACATTGATCTTACTCCGAATCTGTTTCGGGGTGTCTTGGTAGTAATTCTTCTCATCCCGGGCCATAGCCTAAGAAGAGAGAAGGGCCACTTGAGGGATGGACAGGCAACGGTTCAAATCCTAGCTCTGCTGAAGGTGGGCAGCCACTTCCTGTCCCGGAGGTTCAGACTCCTCAGCTCAAAAGCCTCGGTGTGTGTGGGGACATGGGTGCAGACACCGCGGGGACCAGCTGAGCCCCTCGTGCTCCACCCACAGCCAACCAGTCCCACCTGGCAAGGGAGTCTCATGTAGCCAGACCTTCCGATTTTTAACAGGAGCCAAAAAATAGGGACTTTGATTTGAAACCTCCCATAACTAAAAAAGGGAACTAGTTCACGTTCTTTGTAAACAAACACCATGCAAACAAAACCACCTGTCTGTGGAGCAGCCACTCCGTCTGTCTCAGCTCCGAGCGCTGCCAGTGGGACCATCTCCGAGCGCCCTCCCTTTGTTTCCACTCAGGAAATGGGCCCGAGACGAGCAGATCAGGCCACAAGTCGCCCAGGGCGCCTTCCCGACGGGCCCAAGTGGTTCTTCCTGCCAGACCCGAGCCACTCACCTTATAGTCCTCCCCGTGGTTCTCCACCATGTAGCGTACATAGTCGATGAGGTCCCGAGACAGTGTGTTATCCTTCTTTTCTGGGAGGCTGGCTTCTTCCTCCAGGTCTGGGGTGAGAGAAGCCAGAAGACATACTGAGTGTTGCTGCCTCCAAGATCTGAGCTGCCCAGTCCCCCCTTCACCCAATCCCAAGCCCCAAGAGTTGCTGCACCAGCCATCTGACGGGCTTTGCCTCTATCCCCTCATTTAGTGCCACAGCCTTTCTCTTCAGCCCTTTGGATCCCAGGCTCTGCCTACGATACTGTCATCTCTTTGGGCCTCAGATGAGTAAAAGAAAGGCAGCAAACTTATCTTAGTGCCAGGTCCTGGGGACAGAGATGAAGGGACCGGGTTCCCTTCCAGCTCTAAAACAATGTCTTTGGTTTTTTTAAAAAGATTTTATTTATTTATTTATTTATTTATTTATTTATTAGAGAGGGGAAGGGAGAGAGAAAGAGAGGGAGAGAAATATCAATGTGTGGTTGCCTCTTGCAGGCCCCCTACTGGGGACCTGGCCCACAACCCAGGCCTGTGCCCTGACTGGGAATTGAACTGGCAGTTTGGTTCACAGGATGGCACTCAATCCACTGGGCCACACCAGCCAGGGCAGAACCTCTTTTCTTGAAGGGTTACACTAATACATGAAATGGAAAGGCCTGAACAAGTGAGAACTAGGACCTAAGGCTGGACCCAGGGACTTCTCTGTTCTGTGGGAGGGAAAAAGCCAAGCTGTGGAGCCATTAATGGCTTTGCTTCTAAAATAGCTGGGCAAACACTCCTGATTTCTCACCTTTGAAGGAAGAAAACTACCTCACTGAAACAAGGTGGTTAAATCTTATCTGGGGTTAAGTGCTAAAACTGCTTTTAGTTAAAAAAATTTTAATTACCTTTGACTACAGTAAGTACTTGATTCTATACATGCCAGCCAGTGCAGCAGTTCTGAGAATCACTGAGACGTCCTAAAGACAGGACCTCAAGGATTTCTGTATCAAACGTCAGGCCATTCAACTGTTAAAAATCTCAGGTAAGAGGAAGGATGAGTGGAGAATTCCTAACCGTCTTCCTTGCAGAATTTACTCTTCTGTTTTAATATTCAGTTTCTATGGCCTAATGAACATGAAATTGATCGGTTATTGGGAAGATTAAATGACATGGAGGAATCTCTAAAAATCTGTTCATCCTTAAATTGAGGAGAAGCTGCAATGTGTGCCTGAGACTTCATGGTTTCCTTTCTAACCTCTCAGGCCCCTGGTTCCGTCCTCCTTGAACATCTCTGGCCTCACTTCACACACTTGAGTTTAATCAGTAAACAATGTCCCAGCTGGAGATACAGCCCTAACTCTGTGAGCCCTGGACCAGCTCACTTCTTCCCTCTGCCCCTCGGTTTCTCCACTTGCCCCTTTCCAGCCCTGACCGTGCCGGATGGTACCCTGGAGGACTGTGGCCGGCACCTACCATTTAGCACATAGGGCTTCCGCACGAGCTGCTGAGGCCTGTCCTCTATGTCCACCTCCATGGCATTGGCCTGCAGAGAACAGAGCCAGTGAGACCAGTAGATGAAGGAAGGATCCTGGATAACGTAAAGTCCTAGGGGCCCTTGCCCATCCCAACACCAATGCATGACCCTTAAGAATCCCTGCACAAGGTTAGGCAGGAATAGATGACAAGGAGAACCAATGCCCTGCAGGCTTCCTGGTTCCCAAGAGAATCGCAGGAAATTCATCTTTCCTGGCCCCTCTGTGAAAGGGCATAACATCCCTTGCCTACCTCCCTCTGTTGGGTGATGATCCGTTGAAACAACAGCCACAGAAGTGCTTTATAATTTACAGTGGTGGGGGTGGGGAATGTCAGACCTCCTCTCTATGGGGAGGAGCAACCTGACAGAGCTTGGCTGCAGCTTCAAATTTGTTCAAGAAACCGTAGCGCCATTCCCCTCTGGCATGAAGGGTAACAAGAAAATTGCCTAAAGGCAACAAGACAGATTCAATCAGCAAGCCCATTCATAGGTTAACTACTTATTGAACATTAGTCGCAGCCTAAGTACCACTGGGGATTTAGTGTGCAAAACACAAAAGTCCTTGTCCCCAAGGACATTCTACTGGGGGAAAGAGTACCAGCCAATACACAGATAAATATTTAACACACCACCAAGTATTTACAAGCGCTACGAATTAAAATAATGCAGGGAGGAGTTACGGAGTGAAAAGGGGTGCTGTTTTTTAAAAGGGTGGCCCAGGAAATCCTTCCTTGGGAGAAACTGGCCCTAGAGAAGCCTCAGACCGAGGATGACAGGATGACTGGGGGAAGATGTAACAAAAAGTAAGTAAAGATCCGCAAACCGAGGGAATCCTTGTTAAGAAAGTTAAGGGCTGACAGAGAGAAGTTCTGGAAAACACCACTGAGATGCCAAGGGACACAAACCAGTTAATTTCAGAGGGAAAAAAAAAAATGAGCAGAGAGAGTAGTTCCAACCCAGGGCCTGTGTGTGCGGGGCAGGCGGCATGAGGGAGGTGGTGAAGGGGCCCTCAACCACAGTCAGCGCCGGCTGCCGAGCCGGCTGCGGCCGGGTCGCAGACCGAGGAGGGCGCGAGGGAGGTAACGGGCAGGACGGGGTCCTCGAACCCCGCGAAATACGGCGGAGCGCGGGGTCGGGGCGGGGACCCTGCCGTGTCAGTACCTTTCTCTTACGGACGGGCACCGCCTTGTTGGGGTCCACAGCCAGCCCCATCTCGGCCAGGTTCTGCCGCACGGATTTGGCGTGGTCCCAGGCATGTCGGATGTGGGAGCTAGAGGCAAAGAGAGGGAGAGCGCGGGACTGTCACCTCGCCAGCCCTCCCGGCCGAGGCCCGCGGCCTCCTGAACCCCGGCCCCCTCACCACTCGATCCGCGGGGCTGCCCTCCGTCGAGCGTTCCGGTTCAGACGTTTCCGGTTAACATTGTAACCGAACTTTTGTTTCCGAGTCTTCCCCTTCGCCTTGGGCATCACGCTGACCACCGCACAGGTAACTCAGACTCGGCGGCCCTCTCTCCTAAAACCTCGTGGAGCAGGCTCCTTCCGGCAAGTGCGCCCACGACTTCGCAGGCTTTTTGGGAACTGTAGTCCTCCCCGTAACAACACCTTGCTAGTACTACAACTCCCAGAATGCAATGAGACGGTGCGCCTGCGTACAACGCTCAGCAAAGTCTTCCCCGCCCCTTTCATGACCTCACCAGGAGGCGGAGCTTAGCGTCCCTATTTTTCTCCTACCGCTGTTGCCTGGGACACGGCGTCTCTTGGCCACGCGGCTCCCGAGGCGTCTTTTCCACCGTCTCAGCCTCCCACCCCCACCCCCGTCATTGCCTCACTCACAGACTCCATCTATCGAAGGAGTAGAATAGTGAACTGTTCCTGTAACCCAGGGTTACCATGTTAGCTGGACAGAGCTTGAAAATGCTGACCTCTCTGAATTCCAGGACCTGGCTCTGCGTCCTGCCCCTTCCTGACAGTTCTGAGCGGACCCCCCCACCCTCCGCCACTCCCCAGCATCGTTAACTCACAAAAATCTCCGTGTGCCCTTCCCAGACAGATACATTTCACACCTTGCACTAAGTAGAACTTGCAACACCAGCCGATACACTGGAGGAGTCCTGTCGGAAACACGCTCCTTGCTCGTTTCACGTTTCCACCAATGAAGCGCTGGGATTACGAATGGATGTAGTTAGTGCCAATTATTTCTTCCCCAGGGGAAATAAAAAGGGTCAGAAAAACCCCTTCCTTCCCCATGAAAGAAGTGGCCCACTTGCAAGCAAAATCCTCTCTGCTCCTGCCACGATCAAACCCCAGAAGTAGGAGGTCCAAAGTTGGGGAAGGCTGAAAAATCTGAGGGCTGAAATCAGTGTGCTGACTGGTTGTTTAATATTGGTGGGAGAAGAAGGAGAAAAAGCAGCAGTAGACAAACCTTTTGATAAGTTTCACTTTAATTACTTTGGCTAAAGACCGCCTAGACCTAACATTGGGGAAATCCCTTTGCTTCCACAGGGCCTTAACTGCTACCTATCACGCTGTTGCGATTTTTTTACTGCTTTCTTGTCTATCTCCTGAATTAGAGGTCCTTCTCGCAGGTGAATTAGATCACTACCCTCCTCTAAATAAAACCCTCCAAAGACTTTTCAGTTCATCCTCATTGCCTGGCCTCCTGTACCTCCCAACCTCATTCGTTCCGTACCAGCCACAATGGTCTGGCTATGCCTCCTTCCCACCTAGTACCTTTGCAGCTAATTCTCCAGCCCGGAATGTTCTCCCCTCAGGGTCCTGCCTGGCAGGCCATGCTTGACCTCAAGTGTTTGACTCTCTCCCTCTGAGCTCCATCCCTTGCCCAGGTACAGAGTGAAGCAGAGCTGGACCCAGGACCCAGGATGCTGGGGTCCAGACTTTAAGGCCAGCTAGGCCTGGCCACCCTCTTTAGGAAAAACACCCTATGGTCAGTTATGGCACATGGAAGCATCTGCTTAGGGCAACGAGTGTCCAAAGAGCAGTCTGGTCACTCCTCATCTCGGTTGTCTGAGCCTTGCAAGGCCCTCCGTGACAGTGACCTCGCTGTGGTCCCAGGTGTGAGCACAAGCTCCGTTTCACTGCAGGCACAGAGAGGGTGCACTGAGGAATAACATCAATCCCTGCGCTCAGGCCCTTCTCTCTGGAGGGAAAGGTGTTTCCAGGCCCATTGCCCAGAGCCTCGCACACAGTAGGCGCTTCATTCTTCAAATGAAGAACTGCACCTCTAAGCCGTGTGCATCAAGAGCGGAGAGGGCACCTGAAGAAGAACCCAAAGGGGTCTGTTTGTGGCTTTGCAGTGCTGCGCGAGCCTCCGGTGACGCTCTAGGGAGCGAGGGGCGCGGCAGGGGAACAGATTGGAGGAGCACGGCGGGGGAGCGGAGGAGAAGATCGTGGGGAAAAGAGGAGGGTGCAGGGCGGAGAGGGAGGGGCGCGGGAAGCGGGGCGCTGAGTAGCTGACGTGGGCTGGGGTCTGTGCCACTGGCTGTGGGAGGTGGCGGCGCACAGCAACACAGTTTCCCAAAGCGAGGAAGAGCAAGCGCTGAGTCCGCACCTCCCCGCACAGCCCGCGCCTCGCGCCCTGAGTAAGTGGGCACCGCGTCCTCTGGGGCTCCTGCTGCTCCCGGAGCCGCCATGGCCCCGGCCCTCTGCCCACGCGTCAGCCGCATCCTCTGCCTCGCCTGTCTCCTGCCCTTGGCACCGGCTGTGGTGGCCACAGGTAAGGAGCAGTGCGGGCGGGCCTGCCGCCCTCCCAGAGCCGTAGCGCGCTGGGGCCTCGCCGGGAGCCTGGGCTGCGGAGCCGGCGCCGTGCCCTCCGCGCGCACCTCCCTCCTTCCCGGAGTCCCTGCACGGCGCTGCGGAGGGGACACGGGCAGCTGGGCGCCGCGAAGCTCTCCACTCTCTCCCTTCACAGCCTCCCCCAGAAATGACCTCGCCACTAAGGGGGTTCCCCGCACCCCTTGGTTCCTGCGGGCACCTCTAGAACGGCCCTGCCCTGGGAACCGCGCGCGCGAGAATCCATCCCGATTATTGGGAACCTTGCAGCTGATGGGGGTGGATGAGGGCAGTGCGGAGAGACCAGATGTGTGAGGGTCAGTCATCACGTGGCAGCCCCCCAGGGAGCGCAGCCAGGTCGTCTGGAGCAGCATTTTTGCTTTAAAACATCGCCCTCCTTGGACAGCCTTTCCGCCCTGTTGGTGTCGGCTTAGGGGAGGATGCGATTTTAAAGCCCAGGAGGCCAGTCTGCCATTTCCTCTCTGGGAACGATTTCCAAAATGGACCCCGAGCAGGCTCCTCCGGGTCCCATCCCGTGTCCCTGCCTCGAGTCTACCATCCTCACTGTCCCCCTCCCCCGTGCGCTGGAAGGCCAATACCAACTTTTCTGCCTCATTTTGGCGACAAAAAAGGACCCTGATTGGAGAGATGCTGGGGGAGCAATTGGGATGAGGGCGGCTAATGGGGGGTGTTAAATACCACCCAGCGATTTCATCCCCCCCACCCCTCCCCGCCTTAAAAGAATGGGAGAGGAAGGAAGGCAATTTTGTGCACTAAAAACCAGTAGGTAAAATAAGAACTTGCATCTCAGGGATGAAATGAATTACGTGGGGACCGAGCTTGGTCAGGAGTTGTGCCTGCCCCAGGGATGCAGAGAGAAATGGGGCCTCTTGTCCTTTAGGTTTATGTCCAGAAATGATTGTTGTGGCATAAATTTTTTTTTAAAAAAGGGAATTCTTTAAAAAGTGAATTCCTGTGTGGTTCCCAGCCTGGCCTATTGCACTCATGATATGGTCAAAAAATTTGGTAATGGGGTTGGGGAAAATCCATAGGAGAAAATTAAAGGCTCAGATGCCCTTGCCACCCTCCCTGGGTCTGGGTCAGCCTGGATGGAACGATCGTACCCCAGAGGCTGAGGTCAGAAGTTCCATCCTGGACCATTAACTCCAGGTTGTGTTACCCAGACTTCAGAGGTACCCAGGGGAGTGTTTTGGGCTGTCTCTATGTGCCATGGGAAAAGGCTGCTGTATCCATTTTCTAGAATATGCAGAGGCCCACATGCTGTGTTGGCAGAGAAGACATGTGTGCTCTGAGTGGAAGCCCCGGGCTTGCTTCTGGGTGCTGCTCCCGGGGGCCAAGCTTTGTGGCCACTGCTACTTTGGTTTTTACTTCGGCCTTCCCGCTCTGGGTCTCTCGGGGCCCCTGTGGCACCCTCTCAGCCATGCCTTGACTGCTCTGTCACTGGGACTCAAACTTGCAAACATGGATTTGGATAGGTCGGGCAACAGGACCTGAGCGTGCTTCCTTCAGCCACACGGGGCGAAGTCTTCGTGGTCCATATCAGCCTGAATGTCCTGGACACTTCCCAGACCCCTGAGGAAGAGGGACAGCATCACCCAGGAACTGAGAAACAACTGCTTTAAAAAAAAAATGCTTAAGAAGAAGTGCCCTTGGAGGCCTGGACAGGTGGGGTCTGCCAGGAGCCGCACCAGCGTCTGCTGTAGCCACAGCCCCTCCTCCCCCCATGTCCTCCTCCCAGTGAGCCTGCCTGCAGCCCCTCCTGATTCCATTCCCCTGGCAACAGGTCTGTGTCATGCTGACACACACCCATCTCTCTGTAGGGGCTGGATGGCCATCAGCATGCAGCCAGCCGCATGTCCCCCCACCGGCCAGCCCCACTCTGGCCCACGCTCCTTGCCTGGGAGTGGGCAGGACCGAGTGGGGGAAGGGGCCTGTTACTGGAGCAGCTCTTTCCGCGCAGCCTGGCCTAATGCTGCCTCCCAGCCAGAGGGAGAGAGAACGGGACCCAGCCAGGTGGTGCTGGCCTGCTCTGCGGTCACAGGCAGTGGCGTGATGCCAGGGGGCTCAGAGGAGCCCCCCTCAGTGTAAAGCATGTACCTTGTCTTCTTGGGGAAGCTTCTGCCACAGCATCTGGAAACCTCTCTCTGGGACATGGGCAAGGGGAAAAGCTAGGGTCGTGGGGACCGGCAGCATTGCCACAAGGCGAATGGGAACTGTTGAGGGCACATTCACTCACCTCCCAGCTTTGCCAAGTCCAGAGGGTCTCTCATGAGCTCCCTGAGGGTGGGAGGCATGTCAGCACTTCTGGGTCCCCCTAACACCTGTGGGGGCGGGGCCCGAGGACAGGGCTCAGTCATTACCACCTGAGTGACCTCTGTCACGGGGCATTGCCAGGTCAGCTGGCCCCTCTGCCACCTCCTTCTCTCCAGGTGCCACTCAGCAGCAGCCATGTTGAACACCTACTATGTGCTGAGCACATTGCTGGGCACAGGATGGAGATGACTGCTGTTTCAAAGGAGCTTGCGGTGGGGAGACGAGAAAGCCATTGTCCCAACGTGGGTTTGTGACAACTATGTGCTCGGGCTGTTGAGAGAGCACCAAGGAGATGAGGGATTCAGGGGAGGCCTCCCGGGAGAGACGATATCCAAGGGGAGCGAGGTGGAGAAGGGCAGTGGGGGAAGCATGTGCAAAGGCCCTGAGGCTAGGAGGCACAGCATGTTGGGGGAGCTGCGTGGGCTAACGTGGCCGGCTACCGCATGGGTGTGCCAAGGTCTGAATCTGGACTTCACCCTAGACTGGCCAGGTTGCCTGTGCAAGAAGCCTGTTGTGTGGGCTGGCTGATAGTGGGGCGGGACTGAGGCCAAGGGTCAGGGACAGGATGCAGCAATGATCCAGACAGGGCTTAAGCGATGTCAGTAGTGATGGAGAGGAGGCAAGCGTGCCCGGAGAGGAGGAGTTAGAGTGGCAGAGACCTGGGGATTGAGCCTTGGGACAGCTGGATCCTCTAACCCCAACAGACAGTGCGGCGTGAAGGGGATGGGAGGTATGGGGAGCGGAGATATTCAGAGGGTCTAGAACAGTACCGTTTCACAGAACTTTGGGTAATGGAGGGAACGTTCTGGATCTGTGCAGCCCAGGAGAACAGCTAACAACCACTTATGACCATTAAACACTTGAAATGCGGAACGGAATTTATAGTGTTAATTAAATTGAGTCCTTCACTTTGATCAGTTGTTCAGCACAGGTCTGGAACCCTGAGAGTAGGTCTACAATACTGGGCTCGATCAGCATTTAGGAGGCACCTGAAGTCACAGGACGGGGTGCCTGGGGCCGGGAAGGTGGAGGGGGGAGAGTGAACGGAGCTGGCAGCCCCCCTTCCCTCTGCCTCACCTCTTCTGCCCTGGGGCGCACTGCAGCAGGCTGGACACGCTCTCACCTCAAGCCCTTCAGAAGTCTCACCTGCAGAGGAAATCGGCAAATCAGAGGAAGAGTCACCAAGCGTGCAGCCGCGTTCTTGGCAAGAGCGAAGGGTGCTGCGGATGGAATACCTGCTTGAGGGATTGTCATGCACGTGCTGAAGTTGTTCTCGGTGCAGCTCTGGACACACTTTTGATATGTTGTCCTGTGAAAACAGAATAACTCAAAATTGTGTGCAGAGTGTGATTATAACTAAATTTTAAAAATTTTATGCATGAAAAAGAGACATGAAGACAGCAACACGATAGCAGCTGTTGTCTTTGGGAGGTAGGATGATAGGAAATTTTTAATATGATTTATGCATATGCATTAATTTTATGATGGAAGTAGGCCTTATTTTTAAAATCTTACCTTGTTTATATGATAATATATGCAGTTATCTAAAGCAGTTGAAGAATAATGACTTAGGAGAATGTCTATGATTCATAATTGAAAAAAACAAGACTATATAATCCCAGATTAAGAGCATGGTTAAAAAAAGAGTAAGAGCTCAGGCCAGTGGGGCTCAATGGTTGCAGCGTCATCCCATAACTGAAGGGTCACGGGTTTGATTCCCCGTCAGGGCACATACCTGGGTTGCGGGTTCATTCCCTGGTCTGGGTACATGTGATCTCTGGTCCAGGCATGTATAGGAGGCAACCAATCTGTGCTTCTCTCTTGCATTGATGTTACTCTCTCTTCCTCTCACCATCTCTTTAAAATCAACGGGAAAAAATGATGTTCTTAAGTGAGGATTAAAAAAAAAAATAGTAGGAAATGCCCAAAATTGGTAAGAATGGTTGTTACTGATTATTGTAATTTTTAATAAAATATTTTAAAATTTTGTTAATTTATTCATTTATTTTTAGAGAGAGGGCAAGGGAAAAAGAAAGAGAGGGAAAGAAACATCACTGTGGGAGAGAAACATTGATTGGTTGCCTTTTGAATGAGCCCTGGCCGGGGACCGAACCTGCAACCCAGGCACATGCCCTGAATGGGAGTCGAACCGCCAGCCTTCTGAGGCCCAACCAACTGGACGTCAAAACACCAGCTGGAGCTTTAATAAAATATTTTTATTTTTTGTTTTATACTTGATTTGCAGGTTGCAGTTAGTCTTCAGTGTGGGAGTCGGGAGGGGTGGGCTATTCAAAGGCCTCCGTCCCATACGCTGAAGGCCCCGTTCGCCACTAGCACCCTGCAGGACTGATGCCGGGGTTCCCCGCAAGAGCTGCATCCCCAGGATTTCAGGCCAATTTCCCCGAGGCATTGACCCCGCTGGAATCACAAAGCTCTGGTGTTGGCTCTGGCAGGAACCATGGAGACCACTGAGAGCAAGGCAGCCCGCTGGAGCCTTCCGTGATAATGAGGAGATTCTGTGTCAGTCCTGTCCAACACGGTGACCCTTAGTCACCGGTGGCTCGTGGCTACCACTCTGGACAGTGCAGATCTGGAGCCTCCTACATATCACAGGCTCAGAGACTCAGACCAAGAGAACTCAACTCGGGTTGGAGGGGACCTCTCGCATGGCAAGGCGCCAGGCCAGTGACAGGGCCGGACGCAGCCGTGTGCATCACGCTGGAATTCTGCTGACATGCGCTAGTCCACGGGAGCGGGTAACAGCGGGCATCTCTCAGCAGCAGCTGCCGGGGCTCCTCCTGAGACGCATGTGGGCAGTCATTCGTCCGAGCTGAGATAAAGGTCAGGCAGGCGGGGGTCAGGCCATCCACATGCTCCGTAATATAAACTGGGGCCACTGCAAAGGGCGTGTGATTTGGAGTCAGTCGGGCCCGGGTCCGAATCCCAGCTTGACGGTGAACTAGCCATATGACTCTTGGGCAAGTCACCGGAGCGGCCCGGGCCTCGGTTTCTCCACCTACAAAATAGAATAATAGAAGCCAGTTCAGAGGGTGGCAGCGAGGCTCCTTGCCCTGTGCCCTCCTGAATGCAGTTTTTGTGTTTGGGCTCCTAGGCCTGTATGAACTTCACCTCGTCACAGATAGTCCTGCCACCACGGGGGCAGAGGTGACCATCACGGCTAGCCTGGTGGCCAGTGACAACGGCAGCCTGGACCTGCCCACCGACACTCACTTCTACCACTTCCACTGGATCCACGCCCCGCTGCTGCTCACGGGGAAGACCGAGGAGGCCTTCAGCTCCACCATCCGTGCTGTGGGGACCGCGCCTGGGGACTTCCCCGTCTCTGTCTGGGTCACCACTGCCGACTGCCGGATGTGCCAGCCTGTGGCGAGGAGCCTCGTCGTCCTCTCTGTCACAGGTGAGGACCTGTCCTGTCGGCTAATCTCCCTTCAGACTCCGTACGGAGAAAAACATCCAGCCCCGTGGGAGTAATCGCAGACATGCAAATTAGACCCTTGGGTCTTTCTCAGTTACCAGTTGAGGTAACAAAGGGTCAGAACGTAGTGATACCCTCCCTGGCAGAGGGGGGCCGAAACGGGCACTGAACGTGCCTATCACTGCTGGGGGTATAAATTAATACAGCCTCTCGGAGAGCAGCTCAGCGATACGTATCCATTAATTTACTCTTCGGCCCATTCTTCATTCTCTCTTTCTCCCGCACCCCCTTTTCTCCTTCTGAGAAGTTCCTGCTCTCTTGGAGTCCACAATCTCTTAAAGAGTTTGTCTGCAGGAAATAAACCTCCATTTGGGTAATGCTTTACGCACAAAGGTGTTCATTGCAGTGGTGTTTGTAATAGCAGAAGAAAATAGAAACCAGCACAGTATGCAGCCGTAAGGGGAATGGTTAAGTATATTGCTATAATTTGTATGATGAATAATAATGATCTTTACATATGTAAGTTTGTAATGTCCTCGGAGAATACTCACGCTTGTAAAATTCTAAAAAGCATGACAAAATTTTAGCACAGATTTGATCAAGTGTGTTTAATAAACGTATACATATGCACGCACCAACACTTCGCATTTCTTTAAAAGTGTCAACAATGGTTGTGTTTGAGTGATAGGAAGCTTCTTTTCTTTTCATTCCACTTTCCAGCATTTTCCAAATAAGCATGACTGAGCACGCCTTACTCTGATGTTGTTGTTTAAAAAAAAAAAAAAAAATCAGTTCTTCGTTTATTTTTTAGAGAAAGACACAGACCAGAGGTCTTCGCCCCGCCCATCACACTGGGTGTGGAGGTGGCATCCGAAGAACAGATTCTATTTTTTAAGGCCCATCTAATACTTTGAAATATTTCCCAGAAGCTACTTTTCAAAGCCTGTGTATTTCTTTCTGATTCCGGGCATCTTTTGTGTCAGAAAGTTCAGGGTCCTAGTGAAAGGGTACAGGCATGAAACGATGCACGTCACCCCCGTGTCTGCAGGGTGGGGGCAGTGATTTGGGGGACACGTGCCCTTGGGCACAGTGACCCGCGGAGGCACCCCTTGCCACCACCCAGCTCTGACAGAGAAAGTCAGGTCCGGGAGAGGTCGCGCCTGGCTCCACCCTCTTGACGCCTCAGTGGACTCACCCTCGTTGGTCTCTCTCCCAGAGTTCATTGTGGGGAACCTCGCTGTCACCCAGAACATGTCCCTGCCCTGGCCCAGCTCCTACCTCACCAAGACCGTCCTGAAAGTCTCCTTCCTCCGCCATGACCCGAGCAACTTCTTCCAGGCCGCCTCATTTCTCTACAGCTGGGACTTCGGAGACGGGTGCGTCCTTCCCCCCACGATGCTCCAAAGCCTTGGCGCACGGCCATGGCCCTGTCCTCCCATGCAGGGAGCTCTGTGCTGCCTCACCTTCACCGGCTCACGCTCCTGCCAAATGTTTCTTGAGTGCCTGCTCTGTGCTGGGCCGGGGGTGCACGGGGACCAGTGGTGAGCCTGCAACCTAACAGAGGCCACTTGTGTCCAAATGGCCCTTTAAGGAAGGTCAAGGTAGGAAGGATTTTTCTCCACTTGACTTTGGAGGGACCTGTTCTGGCTTTGTTTCTCCATATTCCTCCTCTCCAAACAAGCCAGGCTACAGGAGGCAGCGGGGGAAGTCGGGGTCAGGCAGCTCAGACACACCCCAGGTTCTTGCAAGGGCAGTGGTCAGTGGAGACCCTCGCCCACTCGAGTCCCCCAGTCCCACATGCGGAGCCCATAGGTCCCACAGTGCGGGGGGTGGGGTGGGGGCGGGTGACCGAGCCTTTGATGACTCTGGAAAGCGCCGTGCGGGTCCTGAGGCCCGAGGAGCTCTCTGCAAGGCGGGGGAGCGCCCGGGCCTGGGGAGGGGGGGCGGGCTGTGCGAGGCTGCCGCCGGGAGGGCCGTCCGCTCACGGGGGACTGCTGGCCAGGGCGTGCCGCTGCCCAGCCACCCTTGACTCTCAGAAGTCACATGAGTCATTTCTGTCTGCTCTCTCCTCCCTGTCACCTTCCAGCACCCAGATGGTGACTGAAGACCCCGTGGTCTATTATAATTACTCCCTCATCGGGACCTTCACCGTGAAGCTCAAAGTGGTGGCAGAGTGGGAACAGACCACGCCAGACGCAGGGAAGGGCGTCATGCAGAAGACGGGGGACTTCTCCGCCTCGCTGAAGCTGCAGGGTGGGTCCCGAGGGCGCTGGTGCAGGTGGGGTGCTTCTTGTTACCTGGCCACACCAGCCTCTGGTCAAGGGCACAAGGCACAGCGGGCTGGGCCTGGTCTCCACACAGGGAGGAAACACCGGAACGCGCCTCTCCCGGGCCTCGGTGAGAGCGGCGGCCCCGCAGCCCCGGCCTGGGGGCCCTGGGACACATGTCCCTGGCCCCCGGGTTCAGTGGGGTCCTGTGCCTTTCAGAAACTCTTCGAGGCATCCAGGTGTTGGGGCCCAACCAAATTCAGACCTTCCAAAAGATGACAGTGACCTTGAACTTCCTGGGGAGGTGAGTGAACCCCAGAGTGCGCTGTGCGTGCGGCCTGCGGCCCTGCCCACTCTCTCCGTCAGGCGATCCTGAGCCTGCCCCTTCCCCTGGGGGGCCCCCGTCTGGGGCCTTGTCCGAGCCGTGGGAGAGCCGTGGGCACGGCGCCATCCTCCGCATCCAGGGCAGGGGGCGTGGGCCCTTCGGGGCTGTCTGCAGTGTAGGCACCAAGGCAAGGGCAGCGAGGGACCACTGCTGTGAAGGGCCCCCCGCATGCGACTTGGGCCTGCTGCCCAGCTCCCCGGAGGGCAAGCCATCTTGGGTAGGACGCCGCCCAACCCTTGGCAAGAATGGCTTTACCCAGTTAGCGACGAGGCACCCAGAGGCCGGGAGGGTTTGCCCCACCGGGGCAGACGGGGCCGCAGGGGTCAGCAGGCAGGGCCCAGCCCTGCGGGGACTGTCACGGGGATGACCACCCGCCTCCCCCACCCCCACCACGGGGACGCGTCCAAGGGAAGCAGGGCTGGAGGGAGGACGAGCAGAGTGGCCGAGGAAGGAGAAGGATGTGCTGCGGGGCTGGAGGTGGCTCCTAAAGCTTTTGGGGGCATTGGAGGCAGGAGCTTCGTGCTCGGAGACGGGTGGGAAGCCACGCGGGCTTGGCAGACCTGACTGTCGGGCGTGTGTTTCATGCGAGCCTGGCGGCGTCGCGTGAGGCGGGAATTCTCACGGGGCGCTCCTCAGGTGGCCCCGTGTCTCCAGCTCCTGAGCCCTTGTAAAGCCACTGCAGGCCGACGTACCCTTTCAGAGGCTCCTCAGAGGCCTCCTTGTCCAGCAGGCGTGCCCAGCTCACCGCACGTGTCCGTGGGCGCCCACTGCGCCCTGTCCAGCAGCCTGAGCGAGGCCCTGCTAGTGTCGCTGGCCTGCAATCCCCTCGGGGGCCGGGGTCATCTCTCGATCCTGTTCTCTGCCCCGGTCTGGCAGGCGTGAAGCGGGGGCCAGGACAGCTGGGTGTTCTGTCCTGGGAAGGCCTCTGACAGTCACGGCCGCCTGGCCTTTCTTGGGCTTGGTCTGCGTTCCCACTCTGCGCGGAGCCACCGCTGACACACCGCCCGCGTTTCCCCGCAGCCCCCCGCTGACCGTGTGCTGGCGCCTCAAGCCCGAGTGCCTCCCCCTGGAGGAAAGGGAATGCCACCCGGTGTCGGTGGCCAGCACGGCCTACAACCTGACCCACGTCTTCAGGGACGCCGGGGACTACTGCTTCAGCATCTGGGCTGAGAATGTCGTCAGCGAGACACACCAGTACCACAGGGTCCAGGTGTGGCCCTCCAGTAAGTGGCACCTCCCCTTCTGCTCCCGGGCCACACCGAGCGCAACCACCGGCCAACCCTGCCACCGGGCCACTCTGGCCAAGCCGTCCACAACCCACCTCTCCACCGCTAGGGTCATCGACAGCCCCACTGACCCCAACCGACACCGCTGACCAAAGCCCTCGCACACGCCGGCTTGGTTTCTGTGAACTCCTGGCTTTGCCTTTTGGAGCTGCCCCACTGGGAAGCACGTACACAAGGAAAAAGCTCCGGTGGGGTTGGCTCCTCTCTCCCCCCAGCCCCGCCGTGGCCTCCTGAGAGCTGGCACCCAGCCCCCACACCCAGGCCCAGGCTTCGCCCTCCCTCCCTCCCAGGCATCCGGCCGGCCGTCTTTGCTTTCCCCTGCGCCACGCTGATCACCATGATGCTGGCCTTCATCATGTACATGGCCCTGAGGACCGCCGCCCACCAGAAGGACATGGTGGAGGTGGGTGCTCAGGCGGGCGCGGGCTGGGCCCCTGGGCCTGCCCTCAGGGCAGAGGATGGAGAGGGCGCGTGGAGAGGACTCGGGGGCGGGCTGAGGGCTGCGGAGGGGTCTGGGTCTGAGCGCCAGGCCCTGGGCAGGGGGAGGGTGTGCCCAAGAGGCATCCCCAGACGGGGGACAATGGCTGAGGTGGCTTCTTCCCATTTGACTTATGTCCTGTGCGCGCCCCTTGCCTGACAGCTGAGCCCATGAGCTGGTAAGGGAGGGGGCCACCGAAGGAGGGAGCCCCCGGGGAGCAGAAAAGCCCAGGGCACAGCGACGTGCTACGTGATACTGGAAAGGCGTTGTGCTGAAGCCGCCAGGCAGCTCAGCTTGCGAGGCCACCGGTGGGGCTCCCGGTGGGCGGGCGATTGACCCGTGGGGTTTCGTTCGTCATAGGTGGCTGATTTTGACTTTTCCCCCATGTCTGACAAGAACCCGGAGCCGCCCGCTGGAGTCAAGTGCTGCCAGACGTGCTGCGGGCCCTTCCTGCTGGAGGCCCCGTCTGAGTACCTGGAGGTCGTCCGCGAGAGCCACGGGCTGCTGCCGCCCCTCTACAAGTCCGTGAAAACGTACACGGTGTGAGCCGCCCGCCCCGCCTCAGCGTCACTGCCTGCCCGCTCGACGCCTGGGTGCGGCGGGCCCGCCACCCGCAGGGCGGGCCCCTGGGAGCGGGGCCATCCGCCCTGGCCGCCATCCGTCTGCACAGTCCAGCCGCTGCCCCAGCCCCCTCGTCACCGCCCCCAGCCATCTGTCCCTCTGTGCAGCCCAGCCACTGCTGTAAGCCCCTCTCAGTCAGCCCACCCCACCCCTCACCTGAGAAGAGGCCCTGAGACGGGACACTCGATGCTCTGGCGTGGTCCCTCCTCTCTCCAGGTGTGCCTGGCTGCCCCTTGCGCGACCCTCCCATGTGGGCACGTCTGAGGTCACCTGGGGCTCGAGCTTTCCTCCCCGGGCAGCCGTGCGCAGGTCAGAGAGCTAGGGGGAAGGTCACGGACGGTTAGGGATACATCATGAAAGGTCACAGATGGAGACAAGCGGGCACGCGCTCACACGTGTGTCACAAAGACATCTCAGATGGTTTTCTCTGGACCATTTTAGGCAGTTGCTGGGGTGTACCCTGAATTAGAACTAAGATGAAATCTGACCTTCCCCGCTTGGCCCCAATGGCTCCTGGGCCTCGTCTGTCCCCTTGTGCCCTGTTTCTGCGGCTACCTGGTCCCATTCTAAGGACACCTTGTTCCCTGCCGGCTTGTGGGGGCCTGGGTGGGGACAGGGCTAAGACTTGGCGAGGGCGAAGCACTTTATAAAGAGCACCTTCCTCTACCGAGACCATGTGAACTTCCACGGAGGAAAAGGCCTTGAAGAAAAAGACAGGTGGAGCCAGTGGGGACTCGGGATCCCTGGGAGGTGATGTGGTCTGGCTGCCCCGCTGAGGAGGGAGAGGCAGAGGAACCAGGCCTGGTCCTCTCCCCTGCAGCCCGTGGCCCGGGCCGGCTGAGCAGGCGGCGGGGCTGGTTATAGGTGCGGAGGAGACACGACTGACCAACCTGCAGGGGTGCTGGGAGCGACTTGGGCCTCTGCTTGGTGGGGGGCAGGGTGTGGGGCCCGAACTCAGCTGCTGTAATCGTTTGCTCTCAGACTTTGTGCAGAAAACACTGTCGTGCGGCTCATTCTCATGAAATACCGCCATTGTTGCTGAATAAAGCTTGTGTGCGCTGCGTGCAGCCAAGCTCCGGCTGGCGGGCCGGGGTGCTTCCTCTTCCACGGGCAGGCGTGGGCGTGGTTCTCAGCCGCAGCAGGACATCCCCGGCGTGTTCTCTGGTGAGGTGGACAGGGTGCAGCTGCTGTCTGGGGCCCCGGGCGCCGGCCAGTGGTTCTCAAGCTGCTGCTCTGGGCACGTCGCAGACCAGGCCCTGATGAGGGTCTGACGAGGGTCCCTTGGAGGTGGGTCCGGGTGCCCCCGGTGCCTAATGTGCAGCCAAGTCTGACACTGGATCAGACTCTCGATCTGAGAGGGAATGTCGGCCAGGCCTGGGCACTTGCTGAAAATGCAGCTCCTTGGGCCCGGCCCCGCGCCTGATTCAGCACCTGGGGCGGGGGTCTGCACCGTGTTCCCCAAGCCCTCGGGGTTCCAGTGCACCAGTAAGTGTGAGGACCCCGGGCCTCCTCCAGCGGGGCTGCTCAAACTTGGACGTACATGAAAAGCACAGGAGGTCTTGTTCAGGGACACGTTCTCATTCAGGGCGGCTGGGGCGGGGCCTGAGACTCTGCCTTTCTAACGAGAGCCCCGCTGACGCGGCTGGCCCCAGGACCGTGCTTTGACTCGAAGCCTCTGGGTCTGCACCCTTCCTGGGCTCTTTTTCTTCTGTAAGAGGTTTGGGTCTTCCTCTGCATTACCTCTGCTCTCCCACCACCCCCGGCACCCAGCACCTGGCAGTGCGCCCCAAGCTGGACACGTGTGGGGATGGGTCCTGCTTCTGCCCCTGCTGTGCCACTCTGGGAAACCCCACTTTGAATGAATGAAGCCTTTCAGGGAGCTTCCTGGGGCTTCAGCATTTTTGGCACGTGGGGCAGATGCTGCCACATGCAGACGTTCTCTGACCACCCCCCCGACCCCCCAACTCGGTGGCCAGCTGTCAGCTGCCAGAGCTGGAGGAGGCAAGGGCAGCTTGCAAAGGCACACATTGTTCTATTGCGCCGTGCTTTGCTGCGCTTCACAAATGTTGCGATTTTTATTAATGGAAGGCAAGACCCTTCTCCAGCAACAAGACCACAACTCACTTTATTGTGGTGTTCTGGAACCATACCCACAATATCTCCAAGAGAGATAGTCTGTTCGGGCTGCAAGCCACGGACTGGCAGTTTAAACAACAGAAATGTACTTAGTCCTGGAGGCTGGACGTCCAAGGTCAAGGTGCCGGCAGACGTGTTCCTTCTGAGGCCTCTGCCCTTGGCTTGAAGACAACCGCCTTCTCCCTGTGTCCTCACGTGGTCTTTCTTCTGTGTGTCTGTGTCCTGATCTCTCCTTCCTACGAGGACACCAGTCCTATTGAATTAGACCACCCGCGCGGCCTTGTTTTAACTTAATCGCCCCTTTCGAGGCCCTGTCTCCACGTTCTGAGCTGCTGGGGCTGCAGACTTCAACATACGAACTTTGGGGGACAATCAACTCCTAACTCCCTGATTTCAGATACCTGGCCTCCAGCCATGGGAGAGAATAGGTTTCTGTTGTCTGATGCCACCCAGTTTGCAGTATTTTGGTGACCGTAGGAGACACACACGCTTTCCTCGTGTCCGTTTTGGTAGCTCCATCTGTCCCAGTCACAGCCATCCCACAGGAAGCCCTTCAGACCAGACCCTGCATCCAACCCCTCCTCCTGGCCTCCACTGCCCCATACCCCGCTCCCCGCCACGGAGCCTTCCTGCCCTGTCCCCTTGCCCTGTCCCCTTGCCCTGTCCCCTTACCCTGTCCCAGAGTGTCCTCAGAACCACACCAGGACCATGTCTTCCTCCACCCAAACACTTGATCATCTTCCAGCTCAGAGTCCTTCTAGTGGCCCCAAGACCTGCATGACCTGACCCTTTGACCTTGGTGACCTCATCCCCGTTGCTCATCCGTTTAGCTCTGTCTTCCTCAGGGCTTTGCTCTGGCTGTTCCCCCTGCCAAACGCTCTTCCCTACACATGCGTGGGGGTCCCTCCTCGCCTGCTTCACGTCTGCTCAAATGCCACCTGCTCAGCGAGGCTGACGCCTGCCTTCTGGGCCTCCCGTACTCTACATCCCCCACCCCGGAGAGCGCTGGTCACTTTCTAACGTACCATTACTTTGACTAATTTTTAATTTCATCTGCCTCCCTCCATAAAATAAAAACCAAGAAGAAGGGCCTTTGCCTTCTTTGTTCATTATTTCTAGTTTCAACTCCTAGAACAATGCCTGGCACATAGTAGGTGCTCAATTAATATCATTGAGGAAAGGAGGGTGAAAAATGTCACCCTCCCCCCAAGAAAAACGCACATCCTCACAGTGTCTAGAATTCAGGAGAGGGAGGAGGAGAGTCTAAAGAAAGGACTTGGTGTCTCCCCAGATTGTCCAGAAGGACAGATGGCCAGGAGCCCTGGCCCGGGTCATGTGGCGATGTCCAGGTGACAGGACCCAGACAGGCAGAGGTCCTCCTGCCTGTACCCTGGAGAGAAAGACTGCCACTGGGGTCGGGGGTGTTCTTCCCTGCCCGGAGGCTGTGGAGCTGCCACAAGTAGGATGGCCTTTCAGAAATCAGTTCTGACAGCCGTCCGTCACTAGAGCATGAAGCCATGGGCTGGCTTCTGAGGAGGGTGCCTTGTTCCTTGTTGAAGAGGGGGGATCGGAAAGAAGGCGGGGAGATGTGGAGGCTGTGCCAGGGCCCAAAGAAGCAAGCTGGGGTTGGGACTGGCTTGGCAGTTGGCCAGGGAGCTGAGGAGGAGCGGGGGCCGCCAGGCAGGGTCTGGGCCAGGGGTTCTCAACTGGGGGGGCCCGACCCCCAAGGGGTCCATGGAGAGAATTCACAAACTTTGGTGGGAGAAATGACATCTTCAGTGTTAAGAACCGTTAATGAAATCGTGGCATTTCCTTCTACCATAAATATAGGCAAATATTGGCAAGGGTGTTCGCAGTTGCTGGGACTGTGTCACCGGTAGAAATCACCAGTGTTTTCACATCGCGTTCTGATTGCTGGGGATCCCTCACACCATCATCTGTGCTGATGGTGCCTTCGAAAGTACCGTTGCTATTTACCTGCTGCTGGATCTTCGTTCACTAAGCAGACATTATAATCACTGTTTTGATATCCATATTTCAGTATAATTGGTTCCCTTTGTATTTTATGTTATGCTTTTAAAGACATTATTCTGAGGCTTGATCTGCCTTCTTCCAGCCGGAGGAAAGGGTCCTTCTGGGGGCCCTAAAGGCTGCTCCCAGGGGCATCTGATCCAGGACACCAGGCTCCAGCCACCAACGGACTCTCTGCCGGCAGTGCCCAGTGTGACCAGCGGGTGGCAGCCTCGCCTGGCCACGTTCCCTGCAGTGTCTCACGCGAGGGAGCCGGCGGGCGCTGCAGGGGGCCGGACAGGACGCGGATGGCAAGTGCGTCGAGCACATTTCAGTCATGAGAGTCATATGCTGAGTCAGTATTTTGGAGACCATGCCCAGCAAACAGCTCTCGGTGCAGCGGCCTTGCCGGGTCGCGTGGAATGTGAACTTTGCTTTGCTTTTCATTTTCTTTCCCCCCAAACCCTAGTGTGCTTCCAGGAACGGGCAGCAGAGGGCGCTAAAAGCCCTTCTGAGAGGAAACCAGCAGCAGAGCCAAAAAACGGAAAGATAAGCCTCCCTTCCAGACTCAGGTGCTCCCACTCTGGCTGCAGTTTCAGACCAGCCCCCTCACTCCCGGGTTCCCAGGGAGCATTTGACTGGGCACCAGGCCACTCTCAGCCTGATCCTGGAGGAGGCAGGTGCGGGACGGGGCTGGGCAGGTGCTGCATCTTCTCTCAAAAGAAACCGCAGCCTCTGGCCCTCAACAGACGTCAGACCAGCTTCCTCCCCTGCTCAAA